CTCCAGCCTGTCTCACCGCGGGCAGCAGTGTCAACTGGGCATCGCCTGTGCATGACTGGCTGCTTACGCAGGCACGCTGGGACCTGGCACCCCTGCTTATCAGCGCGAAACGTCAAAATGGCTTACGAAAAGTCGGGGGTCCGAGTTCTTGTCGGAATACTGGTTGGTTTGTTTCAGATTGCCAGGCTGTGGCAAAAGTTGACATTCGTGAAGTCCAGGAAAGAGATGGGTTTGACTCTGCTCGTTGCTCAGGCAGGGCAAAGGCTTTCATTGTAAAGAATGGAAGGGGCGTCTGAGATGGTGTAAGCAGGCACTTGTTTCCAGCTTGTTTCCACAGGGTTCCCTATCTTCGCCTTTTGGTGTTTTGAAACATCTCCTTTTGGCTACTTGAAAATAGGTTTCCTTTTGTTGGGGTGATGTTCAAAAGAGAAGCGAAACGCAAAACTACTTGATAAGCTTTGCAGCTTTCCGTTTTTGTTCGGTGTTTCATGCGAACTGGCCTGAGAAAAGGTGTTGGCATGTCCCTCGGCTAAGGCCCCCTCCCCATCTTGAATCACCTGTTGTGCTATCGATTTGGCATTTCCCCTTGTATGGGGAAGACTAGGAAATGGAATTGTGGGACCCCTCTATCGGCAGGGAGGATAGTTGTTGACATTCCTGCATGCGCGTGTGAACACCATGATCCTTTGGCCCGCTGCCTGGTTTGGAGCCTTGCCTACTGTGCGAGGTTCGTTTTTGTTTTAAGCGCAGAACGCACGGTTGACCTAGACAGGCTGATTGCTTCTAGGTCAAATCTTGGCTTTTTGAGCTACTCGTATGTGTCAAAGTCAGATTGCCTGGGCTGTTTGAGGTTATCAGCACTTAGGCAGCCCCCTCGGCGCTTCATGTGTGGGTGTATCTTGCCCAGGTGGAGGAAGTTTGCGCGCGGAAGTATGCGCGCCAAGAGAGAAGCGCAGCCGCAGCCCTTGGCTCCATCCGGCTCGGGCCTCCAAACTTGCGAAAGGCCCTGGGGGTCAAACCACCATTGAAAGAATTAGGGTTCATACAACCACCATTTACCAAAAGGATTGTCATCTACATTTGGTCAACGTTTCAATGGGGGTTGAACCCCAGGGTAGGCAGGCTTTCAGAGCTACTGGAGGTCGGGACATGGTAGATTTCCCGCGCCCATAGATCAACCTACCCCTAATAATAAAACTCCCCCGAGCCGCGGCAAAAAATCGGCAACACTAAATTTATTGGCATGCTAAACCAATACTAAACTCCTGAGACTACACATGCTTTCCACCAAGTTCCAAAAATATGCATATTAGGGGTCCCCTCTCCAGATTGCGTTGAAACAAGAAGGCTCCACGTTTTCTTTGACAATCAAGGGTTGCCTTGTGCAACAAGGTTTTATTATTAGGGGAATTAGAGCTCCATCAAACCAGGAGTAGCCTATTTAAGTGTGGGTCCTTCAGGAGTCGTCAGATTAACAGGGTTCCTCCAAACTGCCGTGCGAGAAAGGGATAAATTATTTAGGTGGGTTTCTCCGCTGCCTGCTGCTCCGCTGCCTGTCATTTTTGCAGGTGGCTCGGGTAGTCGGCTGTCTTGCTGCCAGTTGGCCTGCCTGCCCACGAACTCGCTGACTGGCTAGGCTGGACAGGCTCTATCCCAAACACCCCCTTAGAAACAACTACAAAAACATCCCTTCCTTTGCTAGGCTCGTGCTGCAAAGTTGCGATTTTCGAGCCCGAGCTGCGGGAGTACGATTCCTTTACTAGGCTTGTACGATACAAAGTTGAGACTTCCGACTGCGCGCTCACACCGTGCTGCAGTAATTAACGAAGCGCACACGCTCAAGTGCACCCGCTCAGCACTGCATCCATGCCAGCCAAGTGGTAAGCACACCCGCTCAAGCGCATTGAATTACTAGGGGTGCGTTAGCGCATCCTCTCTCTCACTCAGCACTGTAACTACCCCTGCCAGCCAAATGGTCAGCACACCCACTCATGCGCATCCGCTCAGGAAAGTTTTAGTATTAGGGGTAGGTTAGTGCTGTAACTACCCATGCCAGCCAAATGGTAATACTCAAGAGACCTGGTCTTTCCTCTTGCAGCTGTCTCCACTGCCTCATGAAGTTGCCCGGCACTCGCTCACCTGCCTCGCGGTGGTTCCGGATGTTGTCCAAGCGCCCGTGCTTGCCGTGCACCGCCAGGATGGAAGGCATGACGTGTCCCGTCGAAGTAGCCTGTGATGCAAACCAACGACAATCTCCGCCTCAATGCCTTGTCGTCTGCTCAGGCTCACCTGCGTTCCCTTCAGCCTCTCCCTGCGCATCTTCCTCTGCTCGTCAGCCCGGCTGAGACGCCTGAGGCTTGTCAAGGGGGCGGATGGACGCGCACCTGTTGACCTGCTGCTTCGCCTTCAGCTTCAGAACTTCCTTCAGGCTGAGCTGCTCCTCTCTCTCTTCTCCAAGGCCAGGCTCAAAGTCTCTCAGTAGGTTTTGAGATGACAAGAAGTTCTGGCGTGCCGCCTGGCTTCGCCTGGCTCTGGCTGCGCATCTTCCACTGAGACAAGTGCAAGCCTTGCTCAGTGTGGAAGCTCCTCACCGCTGACTAGTTCAGCTTACCAAGCTGCTGTAGCATCTGCTCTGGCTTTTCTGACGCCTGGAACACTCGACGTCTTGCTGGCTGCCTTAGGGCGACCTAGCTTGTTCTTCTTAGGCTTGCTGACTGCTATGTCCAGAGCTGCCTGTCTTACTGCTAGCTGCGCTTCCTGCTCCAAGTTTGCTGCTGCTTCTGGCTGGGGCTAGGGGTAGCTACTGGCTGCGTGCTGTTGCCAAACATGTAGTCTATGCGCCAGTACAGCGCAGGACTGCCTGGCTTCAGCCTCTTACTCAGTTCCTGCACCGATCTCCTAGTCTTTTTACTCCGCTTCGTCTGGATAGGCTGTCTGCGGGAACCAGCTGCTGCTGACTGGTGGGAGACTCACAGCTCTCTTTCTTGCTGGCGGTGTCTGGAACTCTTGAGACAACTTTCTGCTGACTCTGCTTGGGCTTCCTGAGGCTGCTGCTAGCTCTGCCTCCTGCCGCCCTGTGTCTCTTTTTGGCGCTTCCTCAATGACAGCCACACACACATACATACATACATGCATGCATGCATACGTACGACATGCACACACACAAACATAGCTACTTCCATGCGAACGCACAGTCTACCTCACTGACTGCTGCAATTAGCTTCCTGAAATGACTGGCCCTCTCTGTCTGGCGCCAAGGCAGAGAGGTGATCGCCTCATCTGGCTGCACCTGGTCAGCTATCTAGTCCATAGCTTTGCTGTGGCTTGGCCTCACTCGGCAGCAGTTTAATTACCCCTCTGCCGGCTAGAGGCCACGCTGTCCTTCGCTTCTCTGGCTGTGAGCAAGCGAGCTGCTCTGCACGGGCTAGCTGCACGGGCTGTATAGCTGATCAAACAGACTCTTTCTCAAGCTGGCTGACTCGCTAACCCTTCCAACCGAGTTTTATTAGGATGTGTTCACCCAACAACCTGAATCAAGCAGTTAGTTTTATGAAACGGACCATGGGACACTCCCTTTCAAAGTTCTTACTTAAAAGTTGCAATCTGAGAAGCTTTTGCTCCAAACCAAAGGAGATCCACTTTCCATTATAAGTCCAATACTAAACAGCAAGCTATCAACTAGACCTATTCCCAGACCGGCGACCCCTGATAATAAAGCTCCACCCCAGGTTTTTTCTTTTATTTGGGGGGAGGGGGCGGTTTTTTAGAGGGAGAAGCGATTAGTCGTTCACGGAAATCAACTGAAAACGATTTCTTGTGCCCGGCCACATGCCGTCCTAGGTCCTTTTGTTTTGTCAGGATGCCCCTTGTTTGTGGAGTGTTGCGCATGGAAGCCAACAAGAAATTATTGAGGTTGGAGCACTAACTTTCCAACAAAAGCGCATGCCCAAAATCAACCTTGCTAACAATGAGGCTTGAGCTTTTCAGTTTCCGGAGTATCTTTCTGGAGTCTGGGGTTGGTTTACGGATACCGTACAACAATAGGGAAAAATAGCGGGTCCAAAAAAGCTCGACCTTTCAGGCTTGCCCAGTAAGCCCAGAAGGCTACGGCTACTCGCTTCCAGAGCGGTCTCCTTTGAGTGACGGCGGGCCAGCCAATGTTTTTTGGTTTGCAAGACTTGGGAGGTTCTGTTTGTCACTGTTGACCTTTCTTGGGCAATGTGGGCTCAATGATGGTTTCCTAGATCTTGGCAATGACGGTTTCACCGTGTGCTTGCACTTTTCTGCGGCCAGGAGTGGCTTTGTGGCTTCCCCGGCCCTTCAGCCGCCGCACAAGCTCGGAGAACAAAAACCGCTGACACCGACTCGTAGTTAACCCGTCCAAAAGCAGGGCCTGGCCCCAAAAGCGGACAGGGAAGCTTCACAGGGAATCGACTCCGGGGTCAACCAATGTCTTGGCAGGCTTGGTTCGTCAAGGGTAACCTGGGATGCCGCGGCTTTGCTCCGCTCGCGCAGAAGCCTCAGGTCTTAGGTTGCGAAGCTTCTTTGTCGCTGGAAAAAGGGGGGAGAGCGCTCTCATCACCTTTCATCACCTTGGCGGTTGCTCAGATTGACCAATGTTTGTTGGTGTTTGCTTCAGTGGGTTCTTTTTTTTCGGGTTTTTCCCCTGGGAAAAAGTGCTAAAAAAGAAAAGAAAAAAGTGCGAGCCAGAAGGGCACTTGAGCCCCTCAATCTCGAATCCCGTTTTCAGGTCCTCGTTTGAGGGTACTCTTTGGGGCTCTTTCTGCGACGAAAACGATCATTGCCCATCAAGGTGGAAGCTCGTCCACAAGATGTTGATTGCTATGTCGGAGGGTGTTTTTGTTTCTTTTTCCCCCGACGTTATGTTCTTCTTCTTTTCTTCGCTTTTTGGGTTCTATTCATTTTCGTTCTGGATGCCTTCAAGCGCAGTTTCTTGTTTGCTATGCCAAGGGTTCACGGCCATTCACCGGGTGCTCCAGGTACCTTTGGGCCTTTGACGAGCTGATTGCCACCTTCCTCCCAGCCACTCGGCTTGCCGAAGTGCCGGGAAATAGCTCACGGCCCTTAGGGGCCAAGCCCAATGTCGACCTATATTATTTCATGGTTGTTGCTGGGGAAAAAATACCGTTTTTGCTGATTGTGGTTTAGTGGTTGAAATCCAGGCACTGAACTGCCAAAATGTTTGAGAGTTTGCGCTCCCCAAACCCGACGGTCGTCCGGGGTTTCCATCCCGGGTCCATTTGAGGTAACCAAGGGCTGGGCGTTCGATTTGAAAGAACTGGGATCTGGGGCCCCATGGCGAACGCTGCAGCGAATGGAATCCAGCGCGGTACCAGTCAGGCGCTTGCCCCATTTTGCAAGCAACCCATACCCAAAACCACACAGCCACGCTAGCTTACAATAAGCTGGAGGGTGTGCTTGTTGTGCTTGCAATATTTGGGGCGCCCACCGTTCCACCAGACAAAATCCGATTGGTTTGCTGGGTGAGTCGTTGAAAATTTGGCTTCCCGAGGCTTTCCACACCACCTTTTCCTCATGGTTGGGGCGCGCGAAGGAAGGCCGCGTTGCGAGGAATATTTTTTGTGCGTTCGGCAACTCCCCTTACCCAGTTCAGCGGCACCCCCTTTGCCCTTTTTGGTCAGTGGTCGATTCCTGCATTTCCATCTTTTTGGTGGTTTTAAACATCATTTGTTGGGCCCATGAAAGGTGAGTATCCCTGGAAGTGATGTTTTAAGAGGGAAATGCAGGGAGCCCTGTTTGGTGGGTCCCCCACCGATATTTTGTCTACAGAAAGCGTCCTTCGTCTACCAAGGCCACTGGCGAATGAGCATGGGAAAGCTGGAGCCCAAAGAAGCGCTTCCAACACCCCGAACTAACACTTGTCATTTTGCCTTTCTCCCTTAAATAAATAACATAGCAGCCAACCTGACACCCAAGACTTGTGGGGTCTCCCCTAAATAAATAAATTCCTCGAACCTGACACCCGGACCGACTGGGCTGAGGAATTGAACGAGCACTTCTGCAAGGAGAACCTGCAGCACGCGGTCTATTTGTCACTTGCCGCTATCTTGCGATCGTCCCCACCGACTTGGGGTTAAGCGTTTCATTCCCTGAACCTCACTGGTCTTGGCTTTTGGTTAATGGATTTGTCTGTTCATTTTTGGAATGGGCAGTAAAACCTGACAGTGTGTTGCTTCCAAAGCAAGGGTGAAGCGGAGCTTCGGCTTTCGAAGGTCGTTTATGGCGAGCCATCCGACCCCTTCGCTGGTCGGATATCATGACGACCGCCATGGATACCATGTGGTCCATTGCGGGGACAACATGCTCCCGGAAGGACATGCTCCAACACATTCTGGGAACTGCCAAGATTAGAAGAATGGGATTTTAAGGGGAACCCCACCCCCCTCCGCCTTAGGGGGGATATGTGGCGGTTCATGTTTGGAGGTTGCCCGTTTGGGAAACCCCTCAATTCGTTGAGTCTCTCATTTCGATTCATACCCAAATTAATGTATCGGGAGGGGGGTTAAGGGTGCCCCTTTTCATGTACAATTCCCACGCTCTCCTTACGTGGAAACAAGGTATAGCCAAAGGCCCTGATGGTTTCCAATCTGGCCTCTAGATTTTCCCAAGGGATGGAATGGAAGAACGCTCGCTTTGGGGCGCCATACCCCTTCTGTGGATCTAGTTTCATCACAAGGTCGCAAGTTGTTCCCAAGCGTTCGGCCATTTAATGTCTTTTGGACGATGCCCAGGTTTGTGTTCCTTTTCTTTCAGTTGTAAAGGTTACTAAGTATGCTCCAGGGATACCTCGGGCATTTTCTTGACTGACTCGCCTGAGCTCTGGGGCTTTTAAGCTGGCAGGACCATGTTAGTGGCAACCAACATGTAACCTATTTTTGGCTAATCTCCTTGATCGGACCTGAGTTGAGCACTTTGGTGAACGGGGTGCATGTCATCTTCGCCAATGTGGCTGTCGGCGCTTCCGAGGCATCAATGGTTCTTGACGCTCTTCATCAGCAGCCTGCCGCTGCCCATGGTCCTCGTCATTTGGGATGTGCCTTGGCGCAGTGCTGGCGTGTGTGCCCTGTTTTGAGCCGCCTGCTGTTTGGGTGTGTTTGGTGAAGATTCGAAGGCAGTCAACCAAGTAACCTACCTTAAACCCCTCCAACCCAACCCTAAGCCAACGCCAAAACACATTCAACTAATCCAACTTGTCATAAACCCAGCCACACTACGCCTACCCGGTGCCCAGTTGGACACGACCCCGAAAAAGGCCCCAATTGGGCCAATTCGTGCGCTACGCAATGCGATCGTTGGTCAGCTGGCGCCGCTACGCCTCGCGCCCTCGGCGTGACTCGGTCGGCGCCCGGAGATCCAACGCCTCGAGTTTAACACGTGTCCACGTATCAGGGAAACCAACTAGCAGGGATACAGGGGGAACCAGGGGTACAGGATTCCCCCGAAATGCACCTTGACTAAGTTTATGGGTTCGTTTGTCCATGTAACATGTAGCAAACAAGAGCTCGCTGTCACGTAATGCGCCAATGCATGACACACCTGTCTTCAGAACATGTCAGCTGCTAAACATAGTCTAAAGTATCGTCCCAGTGTGAAGGCCGAATGCCTTTGGGTTAATTGCCATGTTGTATACCAACAGCAAACTATAATAGATGCCGTGGTGTGGCACATGCACTGCTTGCAATGTTTCAGGCGTTCGCAGTTTAGCAGATATTGACCACGGTCAAAACATGAGGATACCTTTCCTGCAAGACTTGCCACAACTAGCGATTGATGGACGCCCTCCCTCCCCCCCCCCCGCCCACCTCAAGAAGACACGCTCCTTGAAAAAACAAAAAAAACGTGGGACACCCTGTGGGCCCTGGCTTTGCACTGTGTTTTCGCTGGTTTTGTTGGCTCTTTTTTGGCATCTGAAGCATGGTCGTGGGATCACTCGGGGTTTGTCTGCCACTCCTGTACAAGCGAATCTCCCCTCATGGGGGGATCTTTGGGGTTAGGCCCTTCCTGCGTCACAGTGGCTTCCATTTCCCGTGGCCCAGATCCATCGATGAGACTTCCGAAGCTGAGGCGATCATTTGCGGTGGACTGCAGGCACCGAGAAAACTCGGCCTGGGCTGGGGTACAAATCCACACGCTCTTCACTTGGCATACGGGGGACTTTTAGCTTTGTTTCTTTTGGTTTTTTTGGTGTTTAGGTTTTTGGTTGGTGATGTTACATTCTTTAGTAGCCCCCTCGTTTGGGGCTTTGGTGTGGAATTGGATTCGAACTCCAGCTTCGAAAACCAAATGATATCCGAGTACCCCCCGAATTGAGGTCCATTCCAAACCTGAAAATAGACAGCATGACCCATTGGATCTTCCAGACTCTAGCTTTTTGGGAAGTCAAGGGTTGTCCATTGATTGAACCCACAAACAGGTAAACTTTTTGCAGAGGGGGCGACGGCAACCAAGCATGGTTGTTGACATCCAGGGGGAACCGCCCTAGTTTCTAAGTTTATATCAGTTGGGTCGTGATGGTTTGCGATGCTGCCTCTAAGTGGAGCCCGTACAAAAATTTGGGCGGCGGCGGCTTGCCGGGCTAAAGCCGCCCGCTGGGAATACCCGCTCGGATCAGCCAAAAGCAGCCGATCAACCAGGGAAATCAAGGGTCAGGGCTCGCGGGCTTAGGCGAGCATAGGCAGGTCCGGTTCCCCAGCCATTGGCGCCCGTTCCTTCTCTCCCCTTGTTTTGTTGGGAGGGGAAGCCCCTACCATAGACTACAGGAAAAACTTGGGAGCCTTATTCTAAGCTCTCAAATCTGGAGGACCTAGGGGAGCCCGTCTGCTGGGAGTTTCCTTTTCGGCACTTCCTGAGTTCCGTTTCAGACTTTAAGGTTTTTGGGTTTGGACCGTTGTGGTAGACAAGGCGGGGTGGGCTGCGGTGGGGTGGGGTGGGGCGAGGTGGGTGGGGTGGGGTGGGGTGGGGTGAGGGGGTGGCGTGGGGTGAGGTGGGGTGAGGTGGGGCGAGGTCAGTATCGGGAAGTGAGTTTCCTTCTGGGATCCCTGCGAAACAATGTGGCTCGTTCCTGGGAGCGTTTTCCTCTAGTTCTGGAGGAGCAATTCTTCGTGCTTGCAGAGTTTGGCTGCGCTTTTCAATAGTTGGGTGGTCTGAAGCAACATCTAGGTGTGTCTTTGTTGAGGGGCCCCTTGTTTGATGTTTTTAAACGAAAGTCAAAAGCACGTACAGAACAGACACAGTACATGCTTGTTGTCGAAGTACCCCACCCCAGACGAGGGCCAAGGTCTGTTGAAGCAGCAATAGTTCCACGAGGAGATGTCCACTGATGAGACACTTTGGTTCTAGTCGGTTCCCACGCTTCTGCAGTGAACTTATGACTTCGAACTGTTTGGGAAGACGTTTCATGGGGAAACAAGAAGATGGGACTTTTTTGTTGGCCCATCCACTCAGGAAGCGAGTGCCAGTGCTACCTATTTGCTCTACGGGCCGCCTAGGACATTGTGTACATGAAGACCAGCAAAGGTTTCCCCACTACCCCAGAAAAAATGGACATATACATATACCGCTATATGTTGGCTAGTGGCTATATGCCGTTAACCCCCTGTAGTGAAAACCATGTTTAACCCATTTCCTCGACTGTTTTTTTTCTTCGCATGCGCATGCGTTTCTTCACTCTTGGTGGCGAGCGCAGGAACTCTTGCCCATCTCCTTGTCAGTTTTGCAGCTGCTGCGCTCGACACTTCTGGAAATGAAGCCGGGCCCCGCCCGGTCCGTCGATCCGGTCGATCCGGTCGATGTCCGTCAAGGGCTTGGCTTGCGGATCCGGAGGTGTTCACCGGTCAACCGGTTCCAAATTCGGAAGGATGGAGCGACGGGGGAATTGACCGCTGTGATACTAAGGAAGCTCCAAATGAACTCTCTTGGGAAGGCTTCCTGTCACAAGCACCAACCCCTCATCCACAACCCAACAGAAACGGGCGAACTGACACCCATGAAGCGGGGTTTATCAAGCGTCGAGGTCCCTTACTTGATGCCCTTTCAGGGTACCTTTTTCTGCCTAGCCAAAGCGTTGAAAGAACCGATTTCATATCTGGAAGGTCTCGCAGCCAAAGCGTGTTTGCCCTTTAAAGGGAACCCACAGAGCACTTGTAGCCGGATCTGGTCATATGTTGTCTTTGTTTTGCCGGGGAAAGAGAAGTGGGGGGGGGTATTCCTACCAGGGGAATCCTAAAAAAATGGCGCCCTCAGACGTCCAGTGGCGGGGCTTTCCCTTCACATCACCCCCAGGTATATTTCATGAAAACACGGTTCTTGAAAGATGCCCTAAACAAAGTTGGTGTTTGGAGTGGGGCAACTCATGGCAGCGATCTTCATAGGGGGAATCTATGTGTATTTGAAAACAGGCTTTGGGATTGTTTGTAGTTTCTCAGATCTTCCACGAATCTGCATGGGCAACACCAGTCGTTGTGACACGCGACCCAATACCCCATGAGCTGGGCCAATTCATCCAGGTTTGTGGGCGTTTCCTATGAGACTGTTGCTCGATTGTTTGATTAACTTAGCAAACTCTGAGATACATGGGCCCTATGTGATCCAATACCTAAATTACTTTATTGGCTTCCGATCACAATCAGCGAGTTGATTAATCCGTCAACAGTGGCCATAGGCGCTAAGTCCAGTTCCATGGACTTCCTTCGAACCAGCTCAGATCAGGGAGCCTTGGGAAGATTGGAACCTGGAACGATGATGTGTTCAGTGACTTCCGTAAAACTATGCGTTTTTGTTTGGGTTTCACACCAAAAACACCAACACAATTTCTTATCTCAACCCCAAACCGGGTTTTACACATTCAGTTCCCCCCCCCAGTTCTTCGGATTTCGCTACGCGAATCGACTGGGTTCCCATGATTTCCCATGTTCAAAGGTACCACCAGATGCCTGGAACATACCCCTTACGCCAAACATTTTGCGGGTAACTTGCGGGTGAACATGCTCTCAATAAATATGGCTTAGCTGTCATAGGGCTGAAGTATCACATTTGTTCTGTTTTCGACGGCTTCTCGGGGTGGGGGAAGTCTTTGACATACTGTGGATGGATGAAATCCTGCACCACTTGGAAACCATGGAAAACCTATGTTTGTTGGTATTTACAGGGGAATCATCATTCCAGGATTCTTAGGTGGTGCAGGATTTCATCCATCCACAGTATGCTTGGCATAGATCACGTGATTCCACCCTCAGCCCCAGGGCACTGACTCCGAAAAAGCACAGAGATTCGAGAGTGATGGGGCCATCCATGGCGGTGATGGGCAGCGGTTCCCCGATTCTGAGCAACCATTTCTCAGGCGCCACTTTCGAACAAGAGGGTGTGCCATGTTTGTTTGGTTTCCCTTTTTGGTCGATTGAAAGGAAAGTCAAAAGGAACCCCAGAGGACAATGGGGGAGGGGGTTACCCTATGAGATTTAGCCATGTCTAGTTCGTTCGGTGCAAAAAAAACACCTGCAAAAGTCCAAATGGAAGCCCGGTGTTCCGATTTTGCCGAGCTCCGCGCGGTTTGTTGGGTTCAATTGCAAGGGTTAAGAACAGGGTTGTGGGATCACTCGGGGTTTTTCCCCACTTCTGTGATACAAGGAATCTCCCCCTTTGTATGGGGGGTTAGTCTGTGGGGTTAGGCCCTTTTTGTTGTATCACAGAAGTGGGTTCCATTTCCCACAGCCCTGGTTAAGAACAAAAAACCGCTGGGCTGGGTCTTTGTCTCAGGGTACCCTTTGTTCGCTGAGCCAAAGCGAAGCAACGTGAATTTGGCTCCCTTGGCAAAAATCCAAGTCACTGCGCTGGGGGTTCACTTACTTGACCAACGCTGATTGACCTTTCGACCCTTTCTTTGCTTTCCTCCTCCTTCTTCTTGAGTCATAGCCCCAAAAGGTGATCCACCTTTTGATTAGCTGAGCTCGAAGTTCTCCAGCCCGAGGTTCGAAGAAATTGTCAGCTTCTTCAAGACCATGCGCTGCAGGGAGCAGGACGAGATCCGTGAGATGTGGAGCTTGAACTGGGGGAGGTAGCTTTAAGAAGGCGAACTCCAAGTACTGCAAGCCCTTTAAGTCTTGGCGGTTCCCAGCCATCTTTCCAAGTTGGGTTTCTGGGGTTCAGTGGTCGCTTCCACGAAACCACTAAAACTTATTCTTTTGACAGGGGATCTGGGAACAGCCCAGCAATCAGGGCTGTACATCCCACTTGTGGTTAGCGCATCCTGGGAGCTCGCGCGGCTGACCCCAACATTTCTGGGTGAATTCCGGGGTAGCTATGTCTACCACCTATTTAGATTCATGACCCCTCTGCAGACCCCCGGACCCTGCAACCGACCAATTCCTCATTCAAAACCAACCCATTTTAAGGCCCCAAAATCCATCGAAATTCAGCGCCCTTAGGCCAAACCGAGTCCCACCGAGCGAGTGAAAAGGATGCGTTTCGGACCAAAAGATCGCTCGAGAGGAGGACACCGACTTCGAGAGCATCGGCCGCATCGCCGTTTCGGGCAGCGAATCGATCCGCCCGGTTCCCCGGTGATAGACTCGTTTGGCAGCACAATCACATGGTTTTTGACAGATTCTCTTTTAACTTCACTGTTCTTGGCATGTTTTTTTTTTTTTTGGGGGGGGGGTTGTTTGACAGATTCTCTTTTAAGAAAATGTGTCAACCTCCTGTCTTCCAAGGGGGTCCTCTAATTCAGCTGGTATTGAAATGATTGTTGAACACTCACGGCTATCCGTTAATAGTGGGGGAGAATGGGTGTTTACACACCCGAGAAAAAACAGTTGGTTTCCTTCTTTGGTCTGATGTAGCAGTGTGTTTTTTTTTATTTATTTATTTTTCAGAGTTGCTAGAAAGCTCATGCAGACCGGGAATGAACCTAGGGATCCGGATCCCTCTCGCGATTTGCTTGCTTAAAGCGCCGCGTGCATCCGCTGGCACGCGGTGCTTTCGCGAGGCATTCCGGACGAGGTGGCGGAGGTTCTGCACAGGCCGCTGCCATTGCGGACAGATGACATGATGGAGCCTTGGCTGCTGGTTTAATCAGGTTCCCAGCCTTTTGACCTGTTGGCTTTTTCACCATTTGGTTCATGTGGCATGTTTCCCGAAGAAGCTTCAATTTCTGGGTCCAGGCAATTGAGTAGGTAGTTTCTATATTCAGGGTACCCGTCAGGTTAGTGGTTTAGCCCACCTAAGCACTAAACCACCCATCCAAACCACCAATTTGCGGACAGCTGAAGTTTGTTTCTTTTTGTCCAGCCACGCCTATGCTTGCTTGCATAGAGAGAGCCCGCGCGCATTCGCCCAGGAGCGCACACCGCAGCTGCGAGCTCAGAGCGAATCAGGGCATTCGCGTTTGACGGGCATGTCCGTTTTTGCAAAAGACGGGGCTTGGGTGCAAAGTGTCCCCCTTTCACCTTGGCTTTAAGGGAGCCAAAGAGGAACCCCATCATTTTTCGGAACGAGACGGGCATCAAGGCTTTGCAAAGGGTTGGGTGTAAACAATGTTGACAATGACCTATGAAAAAACAAAAAAACACGTCCCCTGTAGTTGGGATGTTGCACAAGGGTTTGCGTGTGCGTTTTTGAGTGTACCCTTTTTCCCATGCTTTTGAGGGGGCCAACGGGAAACAACCGTGGGGCTCCCCGATTTGGGCACATACCGATTTCTACAATAATTTGTTGAAAGAACCATGGCTTGGGGTAGTTGCAAACATGTGTTGGCAGATGATCTGTTTCTGATGTGGTTTTCTCACGTCCCGAGTTTCTGGACTTTATACGTTTTGGGTGGGACAGCGTTAGTGGCCGACTAAAGGTTTGGACCTTTTGGCCGATCCACTGGGGAAGTGGAGTTGGTAGCCTTTTCAGATTGGAACATCTGGCAGAAGGGGGGTTCTCATTTCAAGCTTTTGGCCCTTTGGGAAAGCAGTGAAGCTGGCGCTTTCCAAAGCACAGCCCTTCGGGACTTCGTTCAGAAAGCCTTATGTGGGCGTGCCAAACCGATTTGGCCCCGGTTTGGTAGATAGGGGTTGTCCATTGACCCATTTGCCAAGGGGCTCAAGTCCAACTCCGAACCAAGTGGGGGTGGCCGGATTTTCAGCTTGGTTCAAAGGGAAAACAGAAGGCCACCACCCGAACCCAAGCTGTGCAGAGGAATGGCACAATACCGCGACACGCTGGCCCAAGACAAATCAGCTACCCCTGAATTTCTGGTTTGGGCTGGTGGCGTGGGGATTTGATCCCTCCCATTTTGAAGCGAAATGGGGAACGTAGGCCCTAACGTCCAAACCACCGAACCTCCAACTAGCGGGAAGCGGGGAAAAATGGAAATCCAACCGCCAAGCTTTTTGCTTCCCGCATCTTCATGTTCGGTTCCATGACCGGACGAGGTCGGACCATGAACCGGTCCTGTCGCATTGGAGACCCCCAGAACCGGAGGAAACCACCTCGCTCACTCGCGCACGGCGCGCGTGCGAGAGGTCGCCACCTCGGAAGATCACTGACTCAGATGAGGAGAGGTCGCGTTGGCGATTCTAACCTCTCTACTGGAGGACCTAGGAGGCCAAATGGAAAGCCGAAGCCATTTTTGGAGCCAACAGACAGACACCCATTTGGACGACCGTGGCAAAGCAGAGATGGTCTCCTTTTCGTTCGGGAAAGAGACCTTGTTCAGGAGCGCCTTTAACCAATAGGATCCAGGTGAATCCGAAGCTGTATGGCCATCCTCCCCGCTGACTTCGATCGCAACGGAAGGGTCCTGAGCAAGAACTTTGGGGTCCCATGGCAAGGTTAGGGGTCGCTCAACTTTCAAGCAGAGGTGGCTGGGCCTTCTGGAGGCTCGATTCCTTTTTTGCGGGGTGGGTTTTGAAGGCACAAACGCACCCCCGAAAGAAAGACACAGCCAGAAATGATTCGCAGCTTGGAAGCTGAACAAATCGAACTGGTTTCTCCTGCACTCGGCGACTCGGCGCGCCTTCGCAAGTCTTCCACAAGTCTTCCACAAGTCTTCCTTGCGCGAGAAAGCACAGTATATCGGGTTTTGCCACGGGACCGGTTGGTTCAACTGCGTAAAGTTGCAAGAAAGGGGAGCCATGACTATGACCTGCGCATATAATCATGACAGACATCGTGGCCCCCAGAAAGCTTCCATGTGCTTAAATATAATTATAGGGAACCCATCACTGGAAAATGTTTTGTCCAAGGGGCTTAAGCCAAAGGAAGGATAAGAACCTATTCTAAGAAGGTTGTGAGAACCTCTCATGGCCTTCATTGCAGCGGCCCCTTTCCTCCCCAAGATGTTTGCCACGCACGTGTTTGCCGCGCGCGCGCGTGAGCACGTTTGACCACGTGAGCAAGCGCGCAAGTATGGGCTGTGGGCTTGTTGGCCACGACTAAGGTCAAACCTTCCGATCGTTCGGGCTCAGAAGTCTAACCCGAAAACGGGAATGCCAACAAGGGTAGCGCTTGCCACTCAGTAACCCGACCTTCCACCAATCGTAGAAGTGCACGGACTCTGGAGAAGTGCTATCCTTTTTGGAAAGGCTGCGCTTGCAACTTTTGATTGCTGGTGCTGCTCTTGTTCATAGTCACAGGCCCGAAGGGAATTGGATCAAGAGCGAAAGCCTTTCTTGGGTTTCGTCAACACCATGGACCCCGCTTGAACAGGCAACTATTCATGCTTTCTAGGGCGAGATGTCACGACAGCCTTCTCGCATCTACCTGAACCCTTTGTTTGCTTCCCGCATGCAAACCATTGCCAAAAGGCCTTCAGAGCCCAACCCAGCTGTGTTTGGCCAGGATTTTGCTGCATCTATCCCTTCTCCTTGCAGCACAGGCGAGAGTAAAGAGACCTGGAGAGGACACAAGACTCCGGGGACCCGTTTGACCCCGACCCTCACCGGGTTTCTCCGCTTCTATTTGCTGAAGTGAACATGTGTCTAGTTCCTCCTGAAGGCTTTGCAGGAAAACTATCACTGATCGAAATATATTCATGCTGCTTCCGATAGAAATTTCACTGGTGGTTTGGGTATACCGGTTCTAGCACACGGGTTCTGATCACTTGCGCCGACTGTCAATCATGCGCATAGCACTCTAGCACCCATTTGTTAGAGCCTTCGAAGCAAACGATCACCAAAATTAAAACACAAGGGTACGCTAAGTGGCTAACCAATTGAATTGGATTGCGGGGTGCGTTGAAACCAAGTTAGGTCACCATCATAAGCGATGTTGCAGGAACACCATGTTGGGAACCCCTTTACAACGGTAAATGCAGGGCCAACTTCTCCAACATAGAACCTTTTCTGTTTGACCATGCCTCATATGCGGCAACTCCAGAAATGATTGCTTGAAGGTGGCAGCTTGTAGGACAAGGAGAAGGACAAGTCGCTCAACTTGTTGCAGAGGGGTCGCTGCAGCAACGGAGAAGTTAACAGCTTTTCGGTTTTCAGGGGTCCCTTTAAAAGCAGTCCTGGTCCAAGCCAGGACCCCCCGAACGTCAGGATCCACGTGTTTGGTGGGAGGGTAATTCACTAGTTGTCCTTTTAATGTTGACCCAGGATTAATCATTCTTAGGGGGGTGAAAACCCATCCAAAAGTGGTCTAAATCCAACCACTAAACGGGGACACCCCCCTTATTAATTAACCAGCTTATTAATCTTAGCAGGGGGTCAGACGGACAGCTTGGGTCTCAGGCCCGATCGCCGCAAGCCAGGCGCCACCAGCAGCGAAGGAGGAGCGTGGGGCTTGCCCAGACTCTGGCGTGGAGGATACCGGACCAGTTTCGGGAAAACCAAAAGCAAAGAGTTTCATTTGTTTCGTGTTTGTTTCTTGCTGGTGCTCGGTAGGGATTGACCTTCCGGGTGTTGGGATTGAACCGGAAGGGGATTCCCTTGAATTAAAAAGATGCCATAGAAAATGGTTCAGGGGTCAGGTCAATTCATTCCCCACTGAGAGCCAGCAAATTTAAAGGGAGTTTAAAGGGAAACCAAAAGGAAAACCACCAGTTTGGAGGGGTTCGCACCTTGTTTTTTAACTGGGCACCTTGGATTTGGGGGTAAGTGATTGAATCCGGACCACCTTTGTGGCCCCATATATTCCCCGCGATAGGACTCTGGGAGTCAGTCAACAGAACCCAAACACAAATTGGACCGCTCCAACATCTTGTCGGGCCGCAAAGGACGTGCCCCCGCCGAAAACAACAACAGACTAACCATCTCGTCGCGGGGTGAGTTTCTCCCTAGTCGGAGCCCTTGACATAGGAAGCACGTGGGCCAAGACCCTCCGTTTGAGGGGGGTTCTCAACATGTGTACCCCATTCTGAACCCAGAGATTCTTCTTTGAAGGAAAACTGGTTGTAAAAAGAACGATGGTTTAATCAAATTGGGACCCCCCCTCGAAACCGGTTGCCCCCTTATTGGGTGGCTGCTTCCTGGAAAGCCAAAAAGGGAAACAACCCATCGCCAGACAGCTGGTTGGCCTCTTCCGGTTTTTCCAATGATTTGTCCCTTTCACCCAGCAGCAATGGTCTTCTTTTGCAGGGTCTTGGGCTGTAAGGGCTGGGTTCCAAGCGATGTTGAGGAAATGCGTGTGGCTGGTCGTTTTTCAGGCGCGGCACTTTTTTGTTTGCTGTTGAAAGGGGAAGCAACAGGAAAACCACCAGTCCGATTCGAACAGACACACCCATACGATCAGTATCCGATCTGTGCTTCTCCTTTTCAATGTGCTCCTTGAATTCAGGTTATCCTGAGCTGGTGGGTTGGATTGGTGGCTTGCGGATTTGAACGGGTCCCTGGTTCTTGTAGAGGGTAGATGGGAAACCCCTCCTTAAGCACCAACCCACCAATCCAGTTGGAGTTGAAAAAACAACCCCGCGCCTTTTTGTTATGTAAGGGGCCGTCCCTTAACTTGTTTTATTGCAGGCCAAAACCATTGCAAACCGATTTTGAGGGAAAAACGATACCCCCAGAAGCCATGAAGACACACGTCAGGTCCAAGTTGTTGTAGCAAACCAAGATTGTGGAATCATAAATTTGCAGGGCCCACACCCATACCCAAACCGCCCAACCGATACCCAACTCAATAGCCGCAATGCCGAATCCAACCAGCTGCCCAGCAGCCTTCCCTGGCGCTGCCAGAATGTACTTCATATACTACACTATACTACACTTACTTGCGCTGAAAGATTTAGATTTGAATCTCTGGCTTTTGTAGGGGCTCAGTGAAAAAGACCACCCCAATTAACCACCAATCCAAACCCAACAATGAGGGAAGCTGCTAAAAAGGAGTCGCCGTCGTTTTGCGGTTTTCCTAGATGGGACTACCTGCGGCAGTTCAAGCGCCTGAACCATGGGGTTCAGAACTCGGAAGTTGGGACGAAGAGACTGGGGGCCGGGGCAATGGAACACAGTCCTAAAACGTCCAAGCCAGGACCCCCCCTGGACCCGAAAGGAACAGGGTGATTTCGAAATTGTCAGGGGTTGTTTCCCTTTCCACTTCAGAAAGGGATGTTGTGAGAGTTGGGTTTTTGGGCCCATTATTGGTGCTGGACCCCAACCCCAAAACTAAACTTGATAAAGCAAAGATTTGACTTCAATTTCACGTGTGTTACTTTGGCGACAACATACTGAGGCTCGAAGGATCTTTAGTTTCGAAGCCGGATGCGCCGGCACACTTAAAGCCAAGGAGACCTCACTTGCCCAAGGCGAACCAACCTGAAATGACAACTTGTGCTTGCTAAGTCTTAGTCATAGCCCCAACGGTGAACTCATGGGAGGGGGAGGGAGCCCAAATACGTTTTTAACAATGCTGAATGAGGGCTACGTAAGGGCTGAATAACCCATGATCCTTTCATGTTTGAGTCATTTGGGCAACTAAGACTATGATGTTTCTGGTTGCTGCTCCCGGAATGGAAAACCTGAGATCTGAAAAGTGCAGACAGCTGGGAGATTGCAATAGCCCAAGCCCAAGGGCCCGCATTTACGGGACTCTTACAGCGAACTTCCAGAGTTCATGGACTCTACACTTCTGGGGAAGGCCTTGTCAGCGGCAAATCGCAAATTGGGCTACTTTTCATGGATCCAATTCACTCAGGTTGGAAAAACAAAGTTCACGAAGGTGGCTATCGCATTGTTCTGCGTGGTATCTGCGTGGTTGCTATTTCGTGAAACTTCTTGCCCAGTGGCCCGGAGAAAAACAGAGAGCCGTCCAGGAATGTTTTGCCGGACCCGGATCCATTTTTCCTGTAAAGTAAACCAACATGAAAATAGCTGGTCACCTACCAGTGTTGCAGCCCCAGTTTATATGGGAGTATTCCCCTCAAGTGATAATTCCCCACATTTCACCCTAGGAAAAGCACCATCAAGAAACACAGGTGGATGAAATTTGGGGCCAACATGAGGTTTTTAGTTCAGCTTGTAATTGGCTTAGTGGTCGTTTCGGAACATATCCCACTAAGAGCTTTGTGGCTCTAAGGGATCTGGCTTTCTGGCGGTCTGTGAGGTCCTCAACTGGTGGACGGACACCAGGGAGAACCTCCAGGGCTGGGGATCCTCGCTGGGACTCCCGGAGTCCGAGAAATGGCCGCGCTGGACAGGGACCCGGAGCCCTGCCATTGGCTGAAATGAAGATTTTCTTACTTAAAAACACAACTTTTCTCAACTTTTTTTGGGTAACATGGGCCATATGTCTGTAAAAGACTAACTTCCCCAGGGCTTGGAGTTTTCAGGGGCAAGTATTTTGTTCATGTTCTGCTCTTGGTTGAAAAAGGACATCGATTTCACTACCGGAGATTTATTTGCTGATTTTTAACTCCAGGGGAGTTAAGGAAATGGAGGTGGACTTATCCCTAAAAAATCCTTGCGGCCATGAAAAAGAATGGCCAGCGCAACAATTCTTAGCTGAAGCCCGGGGTTGTGAGTCCCCGGACTTTGAGTCTCCGTCCCTTGCAGATGTCACACAGGAGGTTTTTCATTCCCGTTGCAGTTCTACGGGGGTCTCGTTTTCCTGTGGGTTCCATGTTATTGTTGGAAATATGCTCTCATTTTTCCACGGGGCAAACAAGCAAATGGAAGAGTTTGGACCTCCTTTGGGGCTGTTTCGTTTTGAGGGTACCACATGTCTTGTTGGCTGTAAACTCACTTCCTGAGTTCATGAACTTTAAGCTTTTTGGGTTTGGACCATTTTAGTGGTACATATAAAGTTTGGACCTTTTTTTGGCCATCCACTCAGCAAGAGAGGAAAGGAAAACCATGCGGCAGAAAATCACCTCTGATTGGGGGTCCTCTCAAAACAGAGACCCATGTAACGTAGCGGTCAGTCTCATACTGTGGGTGGTTGCGAAATCCATTCAACGCACCAGGTGGAAACCATAGGAAGCCAGACCGTTGGTTTTTGGTTTTTTTCAAGGGAATCATTCATTCGTTTCCGGGTGTCTCAGGTGGTGCGAAGTGGATTTCGCAACCATCCGGTTTAAACATCTCCTTCGGTATGCCGTGTTGAACCAGTTCAATCCCCGTTGCAGCTGTCCCTATTGCCTGCCAATAAGGTACGGCAAGCCTAAGGTACGGCTTGAAGTTGCAAAAGGCGAAATGTCACTTGATATGCTCAGCTGTCTACTGCCTCGTGCTGGATCAAAAGCACGCATCACGCGCAGACACAGAAGGCGAAACATAGTTTACTTGTTGCGATGATGTGTTCACAGTTTGGCGGTTTCAAACATCATGTGTTGGAAATAATTTATTGATTCTCAATCGCATGCAAGCATGGCCCTCAGAGAATGCGGTACCAACACGCATACTGCCTGTGATATGTTGCTTCACTGTGAGAACACCACATGCGGAGAGATATGCTGTTTTCCACCCCTTCCCCTTTTTCACCGACCGGTTTTCAACGGCGTTTTCATGTCAAGTTCTGGAGATGACTGGCTTTGGCTCAAGGTCTCGCCTGTATTTTCGTTCTGTTTCGTGACCGAACCGTGTGAGTATGAAGTGTTTCATGTTTGCGTGGCTCTTCGCGCTGTGCCTTGCGGAGGAATGGGAGGTGGTTCACTTGTTGCAGCAGAGGGTGGTGGTGCAGCAGAAGACTTTGCCAATGTACTGGGTGCATTTCCCGAAAGCTGGCAGCTCTTTCGTGAACGTCCTGGTTCAGCAGCCGGGATTTTGTCGCCTCGGCCAAGACATGTTGGTGGATGAAGAACACTTGGGGCAGTGCTTTCTCACCAAGTTCATGGACTTGTGTTGGGAAAAGTGTGACCCTCAGCATCTACAATGCCAGGAGGAGATCCACGAGTGTTTAGGCACGAAGTTCTTCGAGGTGGAGGGCCGTATGGTGGGTATGTTTCGCCAGCCCGAGCAGCGAATTTTGTCAATGTACTACGACTCGAGCCACAGCTTCTTGAATCATGACGTTGAGTGTCCAGAAACCCCGCCGCCCTATCCACCACTCTCAGTTTTCAAGGAGGCTCAGTTGTTCAGTGGCACCCTTTTTCCCTTTTCTTTTGTGGCTGCCCCACTAAAAATGGTCTTCCCCAAAAAGGGCCCGCTTTTTTTCCAGGGTCACTGAACAACTGAGGAGGAGATGGCGGGGTTTTACACTCTACAACTCGCCGTTGACTGTCCCATTCACGAGCCCGGCTTCCAGTACCCCCCGCGCACCCACAGTATGGCGGAGGAGGCTGTGCGCCGGGTGAAGGGCTTTGCGTTTCTTGGACAAAGGGATAGACTGTTCCTCTACCGCTGTTGGGTTGGATCTTTAGACGCCTGAACTTTTTGGAAAATAAGGGTGTTTTCTGTTAACTTGCACGAGCTCAGGCCTTTTTTGCAATCCACAGCGAGAAGCGTTCCACGCTTCCCAAAACGGCTGTGAGTGCAAGTTGCAGGAACGAAGCGCTCTCGATCAAACTGGGGCATGAAAACGGCGGCTCACTTGGGGCAATAACAGCCCCCAAGTGAGCTGTCGTGTTCATGCCCCAGTTTGATCAAGCACTTTTCGTTTCTGCAACCTGTACTCACAACCGTTGTTGGAAGCCAGGAACGCATCTTGCTGTGACAAGGCCTTGCAACAAGGTCGGGAACCGAGCTCGACTTTCCAAACCCAGGGTTGAAATTGAACAAAGTTGGGCTAACGTCAGTTTCTGCGCACCCGTAGCGCCATATGAAGAAACTCGGTTCATTTGTTGAGACTGAGAATAGGGGGGCATGAGTGTGCCGCGTTTGGTGCAAACAGTCCCAGTCTCCAATCTCATCACCGAGATGGGTGATAGGAGGCAGCAGCAAACATGTCAAGACTCACGACTCCTCGGTTTTTTTCTTCGAACTGAGTCCGCTAAGTTCCAACCAATTTCAAACTTCGACAGTTTCTCCAAACTCGGGCTGTTGCGATTGGACTTGGAGAATCTCCGAACTATGGCCCGTTGTCTCCAAACTCAGTGAGGGTTTGGAGATACTCCAAACTCAGGCTCATAATTTCCAAACTCTAGCCTCTAGCCAATTTCTCCCAACTCAACCTGAGTTTGGGGAAACTCAGGCTCGAGTTTGAAGATTTCCAAATTCGGGTCCGAGTTGCCAAACCCAGGCCCGTTTTCCCCCAACTCAGGCCCATTGGGGCCTGCGTTCACTCTTTAAAGTCAGGCTCCTTTTCTCCAAGTTCAGCCTTGTTTTCTCTAACTCAGCCCGTTTTCTCCAAACCGTGGATGACTTTGCAGATTCTCTAAACTGAGGCATGTGTTCTCCAACAACTCAGGCCCGAGTTTCAAGAATCTCCAAGCGCGCCGCCCGAGGTTGGAGAAAACGGACCTGAGGTTCGAGATTCTCCAAACTCGAACTGAGTATCGAATTGTGGCAAACTCGGGCCCGAGTTTGGAGAAAAAGGGCTCGAGTTTGGAGATTCTCCAAACTCAGGCCCGTTTTCTCCAAACTCGGGATGAGTTTGGAAATTCCCCAATCTCAGACAGATTTTCTCCAAACTTAGGCCTGCGTCCGGAGATTCTCCAAACTCAGTTCGGAGATTCTCCAAACTCAGTTCGGAGATTCTCCAAGCTCAGTTTGGAGATGCTCCAAACGCCGGCCCATTTCCTCCAAACTCGGGTGCGCTTGCAGATTCTGAGATTCTCCAAGCTCGGGCCCGAGTGTGGAGAAAACGGGCCTGAGTTTGGAGATTCTCCAAACTCGGGCCCGTTTTCTCCAACCTCGGGCTGAGTTTGGAGATTCTCCAACCTCCAAATTTCAATGTGTTTTTCTCCTGCAGAACGCTTATTTTGCCTGACAATCTCCATCCGAACGCTTATTTTCTCCACCAAAACACTTGCCGAACGCTTCTTCGCGTGTTTCACAAAATGAGTTTGGAGAAAACGGGCCTGAGATTCTCCGAACTCGGGCCCGTTTTCTCCAAACTCGGGGTGAGTTTGGAGATTCTCCGAACTCGGGCCCGTTTTCTCCAAACTCGGGGTGAGTTTGGAGATTCTCCAAACTTAGGCTCGTTTTCTCCAAACTCTGAGTCCAAACTCTGAGTTTGGAGATTCTCCGAACTCGGGCCCGTTTTCTCCAAACTCGGGGTGAGTTTGGAGATTCTCCGAACTCGGGCCCGTTTTCTCCAAAATCGGGGTGAGTTTGGAGATTCTCCAAACTTAGGCCCGTTTTCTCCAAAATCGGGGTGAGTTTGGAGATTCTCCGAACTCGGGCCTGTTTTCTCAAAACTCGGGCTGAGTTTGCGGATTCTTCAAACTCAGGCTTGTTTTCTGCAAACTCAGGTTCAGTTTAGAAATTCTCCAACCTCGGGCCCTGTTCATCCATTTTCCAAACTCGGAGAGCTTCTTGGCTTTGTACAAAGAGTTTGGACTAACCAGGACTGACAAGTCTTCTTCAAACTCAGGCCCATTTTCTGCAAACTGGGGCCTGCGTTTGGAGATTCTCCAAACTCAGTTCGTTTCTCCAAACTCGGCCCGAGCTTGCTCCAAACTCAGTCAGGGCTGTTTTCTCCAAAGTCGGCTTGAGTTTGGATAATCTTCACGCTCAGGCCCGTGTTTTGCAAACTCGCCTGGCTTTGCGTGCGAAGACGCGTTTCGCAAATGTATTGGTGGCGACTATCCGTTTTTCGATGGAAATTGAATGGGTCAAACAAGGGTTTTGTTTGGTCAATATAGACAAGACTAAGTTCGGCAAATCTCGAAACTCAGGCTGAGTAAAGGCCAACTTTAGGGACCCCCAAATTGATTTCTCAGGGCTGAGTTAGGAGAAAGCGAGCTTGAGTTTGGAGAGCTTGGAACATCTCCAAGCTCAGGCTAAGACGTGGAGAAAAGCAAGCCTAAAATTGGGGCACATTCCAAACTCATCCATATTTTTGGAAACCTGAAGGCGAACATACAAGCGAGCATTATCCTCAGAAATCTGCAACTCCCCAAGGAAAAGGGCTGCGCCATCGTGATGTAGTCACTTGCATTACCCTATTCCGGAACACTGCTCGGATCAAACGGGAGCAGCGCTTCCCGAGACAAGCTTGCTAAGGTATGTCCGCATGTTTTGACAGAGATTTGGAGTCCTTGTTTGGCGTGTGTTTTGCTGGCACAGGGCTTGATTGGCCCGGATAGCATTGAAACGGCATGCTGTGGCATGGTCCAAGCAGTCTTGGCGTGTGGGGTTACCGGTTCAAAACCTTTGTGTTGTTTGGTTGCAAAAACGTAATCTGAGCTACTTGAGGCACTGGAAGAGTGGTGGTGTGCGCTATTTTTTCTGAAACCCTTGGAACGCTTCTGCAAACTATTCCCCGGGACCTCGCGCAAGTTAACAGTGTTTTCCACACTGAACCCCCAAAAAGTTTGCACGGGGGTCAACAGCAACCAAGGCTCGACCTTCTTTGATTGCGCATGTGCGCTTTTGACAACTGTTCGGCATGTCCCATAGGTGTAAGTCTTGGGGATTTTTTGGACTAGGCAGGCATACTAGGCGAACTGAAAGAGACATGTGCTGCCTTTGCTGCACGGTTATGGGATCTTCCCCAGCTGAGGTTTGTGGGCATCACCGAGGAGTGGGACCTCTCGGTCTGTTTGTTTCACGCCATGTTCGGCGGGGCCTGCCACGCCGCAGAGTTCGAAAATGTGAGGCCTGGGCCGTCTGAGATGAAGACGAAGTGGGGGTACGACACCTCGGTGCTGGAAGGCTTCCGAGACGAGTTTGACGGCATGGTGTACCAGGAGGCCCTGAAGATCTTTAGACAGAACGCGCTTTTGCACAATGTGTCCCTGGAGTCATGCCAGCGTTGCTTTGAGGCGAGGCATTGATTTCAGTTGTTATAAGCATATTGGATGGAGTTTGGTGATAGCAGAAGGATTGCTACCACATCCATCTCCCAGGTAATAGCAGACAGCGACCCTACCTGGAGCAAAATGTTGCCATGCGCGAACTGGTGCTGAAACGAAACGCGATACATGCTGGACGCTACAGCATGAGGGCATATTGAAAGCTTTGTTCCCACCCCAGGCCACGAATTGACGGTCGCCGGTTTTGTATCCCCTTTCGGAAAGGTGATTTTAATGGTTGTTGGTCCAACACACAAGCGTCCTCCGTCTCAAAGTTGGAGTCGGAACCCCCAAGTTGTCCTTTCGGCTTCCCGAAAAGAATGCCGGTTATATCCCACAAAAGCCATGGCTATAAGTCTCCGTTCAGTGGGTTATAACCATGCAGGCTTAATTAATTACCAACCACTTAATATAATGAGTAATCACGAACGCTAGCGTCAGCAAGCTTGAGTTCCTACTTGCCTTGCAAGTGTTCCGGATGGATGCACCTCCGTGTGATTACATCACATGCAGCCGCCGCTTTGTGCGCTTGCAATCACACGCGCGCCCCCTCCCCCCCCCCCCTCCCAGGCTCGAACCCACCCCTGGCTCGAATCCGCCAAACATGACCATGCTGTCTGGCACGGTTTGTTTTGTGCGAGGGCACGCACTTGCGTCGGAAGTTGGGCGGCATTGTTTTTTTGGTGCGCGTTCCCTGGCACGCATGCGTTGGCACGCAGCAAAACGCACCCGCTTGTTTCGCCCACGGGCGCCCTCGAACAGCCGTCCTGGCACCGCTCATGTTGCGCTGTTGTCAACGCGCTTGCTTCTTTGCGTGTCCGTAACTCACGTGCCCGGCTGTCTCAGCTGTGGGCACGGGCGCCTTCCGTTTCATGCACGCGCACGCACTTGCATAGACATTTGCCCGCACATGCTTCTTTGCGCGGTCCCCTTGCCTGAGCTGGCACGGATGTGCCGCCATTCATGCACGCCCGCACTTGCAAACCCAGTTGCAGCTTCTTTACCCGCCCACGTCAGCGGTCACTCACTTGCTCCCCTGCCTCCTCCCCCTCCCCCGGCGCGCGACGTGGTTTTGCGCGGCTGCAACTCTTGTGCCTGGTCGCGTGAGCTGACACGCGTGCGCCGGCGTGCGTGCAACACTCGCGTGGTTTTCCAGGCTTGTCAGGGCAGCTGCAGCCTTTAACGGACTCGGTCTGGTCCACCAGCTTCTCCGCTTTCTACCCGGCTCGATGGCTCCCAAAGCTGATGCTGCCATTGATCGCGCCTGCCGAGCCTCCCAACTATCAGGTCGAGCGGTGTCTTTCGTTCCTCCAAGTGTTTTCCTGGCCCGTGACCTCAGCAACATCCCTCCGCTCGGCAACGACGGCGGTGGTGGGGGGGCGGTGGGGGGGGAAAGCTCTCACCGGCAGCTCTTCTCCAGTCTTTCCGCTCCAGCGCCTGAATGACCTTGAACAAGTGGCTGTGTCGCTGCTCCAAATCCCGAATCCTGCGGCACGCTCGCGGAAATTTCCGCTCCATTCCTTGGCCAATCCAGATCGCCTACAAGTTCATCGTCGTGTGGTTGCCGAGCCCGCTCAGGGATCCACACCTTGAGTTTGCTGTTCCAGATCGGCCCGGACCACCTCCAAAGGCCCTTCCACCTCCCCATCTGGTAGTACAGCACATCCCCGACAAGTTCCCACCTCCGTTCTTCTTCCCACTGCGCATGATCTCTCAACTCCGATCCACTTCCTCATTTGGTCGACATTCTCGCCCACGAACCGAACGATCACCACATTCGTCCCCTCCGGAGGTGCGGAGGCCCTCCTTTCAATCCATTGAGCATTGGCCGCAGTGCCCGGCCTTCGTGCCATTGCTCTCGTCCATCACCGGCCTGAGCTTGACCTTCATGCTGCTGCTCTTATCCATCGCCCAATGTGATTGTCCTTCGCCTGGCTCCCCTCAAAGTCACCTGCCCAAGAGCTTTCCGGCGCCTGGTGGCCCGATTTCGTCCTCCGCTTGACGGCCTCGCCTGCGACCGTCGCGCTCTCATAAACCGTCTTTGCCTTGCCATTCCGGCTTACATGGCGCCTCAAACCGCGCTATGTTGGGCTCAAAGATCTTACGCAGCTATCACCTGGCGGACTGCTGCCCGTTCGTTTTCGGTGTCTTGGCAGAAAGAGGCCGTGTGCGTGTTGCTAGCTTTCGTCCACCCCTCTCTCAGTTCAACCCATGTTTGTACTGGGGCGTCCCAGGATTTCATGAGGATTCATTACTTTTGGAGGCACATTAGTAAACATGGGTTGATCAATCTGGGGCCAACATTACTAACCACTTACAACGTACCCTGCCCCAAGAAAGTACACATCCAGAGTGGGACAAGTCACTTGCCCCGGCTTTATGCGCTCAGGTTGCGGGAGGAACCATCTGTCACGAGCTGAGCGTGATCTCGAAAGCATACTATTGGAAATGTGCAACCGTCAAGTTGCCTGAGTTTGCTTTTTTGCTTGCCCCTGTGGGTTTTTAAAACGAATCCATTCCCACTGGAAACGTTGGGAACATCGAACAGTGGCGATCGTTTCAATGGAAGCCACCAAGTTGATCAATAATTGAAGGGGGAATCCAATTACCCCTACGCTTTATTTTGCGCAAGGTTCCCCCCTGATGTTTTTAACCAACATAGCAACTGTTGCTGGCAGTAAGTGTCCGAATTGTTCAAGAGGACCAAAACAACAGGAGAACTTGCGGACCCAAGCAGCTTACAGCAGTTTGGGCTTGATCGGTTTGGACTTGGGTAGGCTTTCCCATATGGGTGTGGCTCAAAATTAAACAGGAGTGGTTACGCAGGTTTTGGTCCATGTTTCCACTTACCAGGGCAAGCCATTTTGGCATTCCGGGTTTTCTGAGCCACAGCCATATGAAAAGTGTCATCTCTCGGGCGGTTTCCCCAATTCGAAAGATGTGTAGGGGAATGACACGTAAGCCCTGACAAGCCTGTCTGAACCAATGCTCAGGTTCTTCTTGAATAAGTGGTTTGGAAGGTTGTGGATTTGCACCCCTGGTTCTTGTAGCGCTACAAGTGCGAAACCCCGCAACAACCGCCGGGTTCCAAACGATCAATTCGAGGGAAGCCGAGTTTGTGGCAAACACATCCAGCAGGGACAAGTCGACACGCCTTCTGTGAGGAAAGTTCTTTGCAACCCGTCAGGTTTGGGGGCTGGGCTCGCTAGACAAAACTGGCATGGGAGCCCTTTGGCGCAAGCGAAGCGAAGCGAAGCGTCGTCAACATGACCTGACGTATTTTTTTTTTTTTGGGTTCGGACCCCGGGCAACATGTTCACCCGGCATAGGGGGTCGAACACTCGCGCCTTCTTCGCATGCATGATTTACCCGCAATGGTTTTGTTTGATGGATTCCCTTCAGCAAGAAAGGGGGCTCCCGAGCCTCAACAAAAGAAGCCACCGCCGAGCCTTGTGGTTTTCCGGTTGTGGGTTCCCAGTTTTCGTCCCAAGCCTTGCTGGCGCGATAACCAGGGAATGAGAAATGGAATGTCCTTGATAAACCATCCAGCTGGTGGTTTCCTTTAAGGGGACCGAAACCTGGGTTCATTCCCTCATCCCTACCTATCGCACCAGCAAGACAAGCTGATTACCGTTCATTTCCTCCATGATGCTTCCAGGGCGGGGGGTTGGGTCATGCATGCTTCCTTTCGGCATTGTGTTTTTCCCCTCTTGGTTGAAAAGGGAATCGATTTCACTACTGGACATATGTTTTTCCAGTAAATTTCATGGAAGAATTTGTCGGAAGTTTCCTTGAAGCTGCTTGGATCCTGACGGCATTTCTTCATGCTTTTGAGCTACGGATGTGCATAGCTTGTATTGCAGCATGTACCCTCAGAAAATGATGTGGGATAGAACCCCGAAGCCCGGAAGCCTCAAAACACAAATGTGAAGCTGCAGTTTGGCTGCAGCGGTGGCGAAAGTACGGCGGTTTTACCTTTGGGGGAGAGACTGGATGTGAGCCCTTTGAGTCACATCTCATTGGCCTGGCTGAGAGTTGAAGTGGAACAGCCACAATGGCCCTGAACACTGAACAGGCCATTCTTTGCCGATTCCATCCTATCAATCCGGAGGTGTCACCCACAAAAGTGATTGGAATTCTCACTCAGAGGCGATATACTTCCTTTCAATCATCAGGGGCTTATGAATCGAAGACAGCTAGATCCCCAGACATTTCGCATTGAGTCCAAGAAGGGCAAATTTGTTTTGCCGTTGGATAGGAGACGGATGTCGAGGCATTCGGAAGCTGAGGGGGTTCAAGGGACTCTCCAGTTGGTTTGGAGGTAGGGTTGCTTTTGCTTTTGTGGGTGTAAAAGCCTTCATATCTCCGAAGCAAAGTAGCTGAAAATGGGCTCGACAAGGGCCTTCGCGAGTGTCTTGAGGCGATGTGGACTTAGCCCAGGCAGGATGTATATAAGGCCGGGTTCGTTTTAAGTTGGTATTTGCAGGTATGGGATGCCTTAGACTATTGGGCAGGGGGAGGCAGAACCCCAATTGCGCGACTCATGGCGAGCGGTTCCACCCATGTCAAAGAAAAGTGGATAAAACAAGGTGACGACGCCCGTGACGCGCCCTGCGTTTTCAGCAACTCACCCGGGCCGCTAGGCGAAACGCACGTCGCCGGCGAAAAACATGTTCCGGATGCCTCAAATCCCCCACGACGGTGTTGTCGTTTTGGACCTGACATGCCTTTCGCCTAGGCGAAAGCATGTTTTTCGAAAGAAGCAGGAAAACGAAACTTCGTGTTTTTGCGAAGATTTTAACGATCTGGCCGCCATATAGCTCAGGCCGACATGCACAGCTTGCCAGCTGCTGACACAGTGCTGAGCGGGGTCACTTGAGCGGGTGTGCTTATCATGTGGCAGGGCGTGGATCATTTTGCAGGTAGTGGATACAGTGTTGAGCGGGCTCATTTGAGCGTGTGATAGCGTGTGTGCTTATCATGTGGCAGGGCTGAGCGGGGTAGCTTGAGCGGGTGTGCATTTCACTTGGCAGGGCGTGGATACAGTTGTGCGAGACGTGCGGACAAACGAACCTGTGAAATGTCAAAATTTGCTAAACATGTAAAATGCCTAAAAAAACGCAGGGTACGGTCTGGGCGGTCTCACCTAAAACAAGCGAAGGTGATGATGTACTGCAGGTGCTTTACTTCGGGCTCCCTTTTTTATTGGGTGTGTCCTTTTTGGGGCTGGTTGAAGCATGGGACACCATATCGTTTGTTGGTATTTACAGGGAAATAGGCATTCCGGAGCTTCTTAGGTGGTGCAGGATTTCTTCTGTCCACAGTATTTCAGGTTTTGCATATGAAGCAGACCTCCTGGTTGATTTCGATCGATCGGGGGCGTCCCCCTTTCAGTGAAGCTTCATGACTTTTGGAGGAAAAACCCTGTTTGTTCGATAGAACAGGTTTATTGGGGTCAACTGTACACCTTGCAGATCCCACTAATTGATTGTTGGAGCTGTAAGGAGCTAGCAGCAGTCCTGTCAGGCCACGGTAGCCCAACAGAGGCATTTTGCGTGAGGATGTTACCGGTTTTTGGCAACCTTGTCCAAAGCTTGCTGAACAAGTCGATCCACAAGAACCCCCGTTTGATAGGCAGCACATGTTGTTTGGTACATATGTACGTGTTGTTTGACGATCCCGTTTTTGGGTGTGCTGTTTTTTCTTTGTTTGAAGAGGGGGGGGGACGAAAGGAGAACCGCAAATGTTCAGGGTCACTTTTGAGCTTGGCGCTTGCCAATTTTTGAATGGTAGAGCCCACTGTTCGGCAACTTGTTTTCAGAGCACACCAGAAACTCCCTACAGGCTCGCCTGGAATTCAGAGGGGCCTTTTATCGGGGGGTGCCTCGCCCGATAGACACATAGCTGGCTGTCCTATTCTGGAATGATCCATATTGAATGGATCCATATGAGCCACAACCAAAACCCGGGTTGATGAAGGTAAGGGATAATCCCAACCAATCCCAACCATAAATGGGTGCAGCTGCCTTGTTAATTCTTCACATGGTTCTGGGTAGACCATTTTAATATCAAGTTGTACTTAAGCATGACTCACAGTTCAATTTCAATATTAAGTGGAGTGGGTCATCGAGACGGAAGCCATGGTTTTCTCAGCTGCACTGTTCTTTCCCCAAGGGTGCTGTGTTTATTTGTCAGTGTGGCTGTCGCAGACTGTTGTTCATTCTGCGTTGTTGTGCTTAGTCCAGAAAGCTTTTTTTGCTGGAGTTGCCGTTCTTGCTTCTGGATCCACTGAAGCCCGACATATCTGTTTTGTGGAGATCTGCCTGTGTGAAAGTTGGACAAAGCTGAAAATTCTGGGGCTTGCACGCAAAGGGGCAGCCTCTGCGTTGTTGCACCAACCTGGGGTGGGATTGGGGCAAGCCAAATTTTGTGCGTGGGTGTCGCATCCAGACTGGAAGTGGCCTGAAGTCCTTGCTCGTTGCAATGATCCGGGGAAAACTTGGACTAGCCAGGCAGAATCTTCCCCAGAATTAGTTCCCTTTTTATTTTTTTGTTTTTTTGGGGTTCCTTTTTGTTTGCCACTAACCAAGCAAAAAAACATATTTTGCTGGGGTCCTAATTCCAGCCAAGGAATGGGGTGCCTTCGAAATGACTCAGCCTCAAGCTTCCGTTGAGCAAACACCAATTTGCAAGAGATCCGGGGTTACCTTCTGTTCTCATTAGGCACATTTCCAAAGTGAACCCTATTAAACTTTGCGCTAACTGGTTAGCGGGCCCGCTTGGGGTAAAACGATCTCTCTGAGGATGACGGTTCCTTGCTGTATCCGACGTTGACATGAATTAGTGCAGAAAGATGTAAAGCTTACCTCTTGAACAACACAACTTTTCAACTTTTTTGGTAACATGGGCTATATGTCTGTGAAAGGTTAACTTCCCCAATCCTTGGAGTTTTAATGGGTAAGAAAGGCAAAACTCGCTTTCGCCAGGAAACGCCCTTCGCGAGCTTTACGCCTTATGGAGACTCGTGATCGGCTGGCATGAGATCAACCGTGGCATCGACAGTGGCCGAAAGACAACTGGTGCCAAGTAGCCCAAAGCTCTTTGGCTTTCCAAACGGCCAAGCGGGAAGCCAAACGGGACTCACAAGAACCCCCGTTTGATAGGCAGCCCATATGTTCTGGCACATATACGTACGAGTGTTTTTGATGATCCCGTTGTTTGGCGTGTTGTTTTCCTTTCAACACGTTCGTTGTTTTTTTGGAGGGGGAGGGAACGCAAGGAGAGCCGTAAATTTTCAGGGTCACCTTTGAGTTGGGCGCGCTTGCCAAATTTTGGATGGTACAGCACATTTTTTTATAATGGTACCCTTTTTAGGGATACGTGATCAATAATGCCACCCTCAAGTTGACAAGTTTCCAGAACTGGCCAATAGGACTGCATTTGGAAAGTTCTTGTAAAAGGAATATGCATTTTGTGTGTTCCAGGGATGGAGAGGCAAGAGGGGAGTTTTGGTGTTATTCCGGGGGGCGGGTAGCCGGGTCCTTGAATGGGGGTACCTTTTACGAGCTTTTCAATCTTTGTGTTTAAACCAGTAATGAGACATTTGCTCGGATAGCCCTGCTTGTTTGATGTCGGAATAGCAACCTTGGGACCATGAAAGGAGTTAATTAGCAGTGGTAAAAGTGTTGGAGTCCAAAATGGCCGCATGTGTTTGGTATTTTGGATTTTGGCTGGGAAGTGCCATTGTTCAGTCTGTAAAAGAGTATTGGCAGGCTGGAAAAAGCAGGAGGGGTTTATCAATCATGTGACGACCAGCACATGCCCCCACCAAGGGTTTGGTGTCGGCTGTGTGTCATGGTTGGTCTACGGTCGCGCCTGTCGTGAGATACAGCGGGCGCGCAGACTAGTATTAGGAGTGAACAGGGGTGGTCCTTGTAATGCCAACAGTTTGTGATTATGACTCAACCTGATGAAGCATGTACCTTTGGGCGTCCCTTTGAATACCACAAAACATTGTCATTTGACAACTTTCTCAGCTTGACAAAGGCAAACTTATTAAAAGGTGTCCTTGAGTGATCAAACTTCCGCAGCTTGGCAGAAGGACCACCCCTTTCATGCGGTCGGAGTCAGCCAGCAGTGCAAGATTGTTTTCGCTTTCGGCATGCGGTTGGTGAATTTAATAATCTGAGCCGACCTGTGTTTTTTGGTCTATGTTGGGAAACCCCTTCTTAATCACCAAAAGTTTAAGCTGACCTGTTGTTTTATGTTTTGTGTGTTTTTTTTGTTTCTTCCTCTTTTTTTTTTTTTCGCCCTTGCTTTTGCGCAGAGCTCAGTCGACATTGACACGGTGCTCGCTAAAGTAAAACAGAAGTGTGTATGTTGGGAAACCCCTCCTAAACCACCAAACCACCGGGCTCCAAACCACAAATTAAAGGGACGCTGATAGCTAAGAGCAAACAAACTTTGGTCAATTTCACGAATCTCGGTTGGTTGTTGGACGTTTGGTGTGCGTAAAGGCCCACAAGGCTGAAGCTTTTTTCTGGCTTCGAAACCACAGGACACCATGGTGAGCCGGGTTTTACAAGGAGATCAGGTGCGGGATTTCGTCCATAGTATGGTGGTGCCCATTTGCTGGTTCTACACCCGGCTTCGTTTCTCGAGGCCCAGTGATCTTCTCGGGATGTGTCGATGCAGCCTGAGCGCCTGCTGTGTGTGTGTTTCCTTTTTGGAACTATTTATTTGCGAAGCTTAGATGCCGAAAGGAGAGCTTGTCCCTGGTCATTTCCCGTTTGCTTGCTTTCTTGAGTGCTGTTCATTTGCTAGGCTTGCCATAAGGAGAGGCCAGCTCAGAGGCGATCTTTTTCTTGGTGGCTGCCAGCCATCCGGTTCCTTAGCTTTTTAGCCTTTTAGTGTTTTGTGGTAGTTTCCATTTAACCCACCAAAAGTTATTCACTTTTAGCGAGGGATCAGAAAACGGGCAACCCAGTTTTCATTTCCTGTTTGACTGTCACCTGCCTTGACTGCTACTGGGCAACGGATCTTTAGACTTTAACTTTTTGTTTGAAATCAAGTTGTGTTTTCCACTCAACCCCCCTAAAAAGTGGTCGACTTTTTTTTGGGGGGGTCGTTGCAGCAACCAAGCTACTGTAGGGCCCTTCCCCCCGGATCTTGGATCTGAGTTCTGGCTCTGGCGCAGACTTCTCGGCCGGGGGAGTTTGGCAATTCGGCTGATCGGTCCCATCCGGTCAGAGGCAGAGAGGCGCTTCCGGAATGCCAAGCGTCAGCTCAGCCAGCCCTGAGGCGAAGACAAAGGGGTCGCAAATCCGAGAAAATCCCCAGGGAGTCCAAGTTCATGGTAAGATAACGCAGTGATCGTGTGTTTGCGTGTTTTTTTTTGTTGCCCGCAGGAAGTTGGATGTTCTGCGCGTGTTGCAGTTCGGCTGTCTTCAAATTGCAACCCGTCAGGTGCCTAGTGTCATCTCTGTCTGCACGGCCTAAAAAGACCTTATTAAGGCCTTGTGTAGCCCTCCACTATCATAGCACCTGTAGGAGGGTATCTTGTAGGGACCCTCTGTTCAGGTGCTATGGCAAGGTGTGACTCACGGTTGGGGGTGGTGGTTTCTGGGCCCATGCGCAGACATTCCTTGCAAAGCTTCACGAAATCCTGAAAGAAAGTAGCCCACACCTAGGGGTTTTGTTGGGTTGGTTGGCTAAGTTCTTAGATAATTATGGAATATCCTGCGGGTACGACAAACCTCTTTCTCCAAATGTAAATGTTGGAACTGTTCGGAGGAAACCTGGGAAGACGACAACGTATGGGGCTCCCAGCATACTTGTCCATTTGGTTGGCTTGTTTGTCTTTGAGGGATCGCCCCTTATTTTGTGGTCTTAAAGGGAAACCCAAAGGAAACCCGACTCAATTATATATATGTCCCCAAAACAAAGAAGGTCAGACCCATTTTTGTCCATGGGAGACCCCGGGGTCCCAATTTTCCGATCTTCCGCTTTCGATGGGTTAAGTTAAGTGGGTTTTCTGTTTGGATGAATTTTGAGGGCCAAGGGGCACCCTTCAAAAAGCGCAGACTGGTACCTGGAATTTGACATTTACTTTTTCCAATTGTCCAATCGAGTGCCAAAAGGGGACTATTTCGCATTTTTGCCTATTGTGGTTTAGTTGTTGAAATCCAACCACTTCGCTGCTAAAATTTATTTGTTTTGCTCCCCTTGCAAGGTCAACCAAGAGAACCTCTCATTTAGCACTGGCACCCAGTGACTGACCACCAACTGCCCGGGGCTGATCCGGACACGCTACACGCCACGAGCGCCACGAGCGCCACGAGCGGCGTTTGGAAATCGCAGGGTCCAGGTGCGCCAGAAGTGCTGCCGGGGAAATGTGACACAGCAAAAACTGCATCCTCCGGCCGCTTGCCGGTGATTTTTTTTTCGGCCCCCTTGAAGCAGGCTGGCAGTGAGAGGGGTTCTCAAAATGTATTTTTGAGCTGTTCCGTTCAATCCAGAATTTAGGGAGCAAGTAGGATAGCGGTTTGTTTGCTGAGTTCGTGGCAAGCTCAGCGATTTGTGGGTATAACGAGCTCACCCTGATGTAGCTCCTTGTCTCTCATGATGCAATGCTCGGAATGCTCGGAATGGACGTCATGTACATGGGGCATCCACCAGCCGTTTTAGTAGGAGCCGGACCAGGCCTCTCAGCCGAAAATGCACAACCACACGACGGGGCGAATTAGACTAGATCCCCCAGTAGTGCCCTTTCTCACCCTTTTTTGGTTGGGAAGGCCCCTCTACTAAAATAGACTACAGAAGAAAGTTGGTACCCTTATTCTAACCTCTCTACTGGAGGACCTAGTAGAATATCTTGGGTCAGTTTGATGCCTTGGCCACAGTTGCTGCGACAGTCAGTGACTTCACTATTTACGTTAGTGGGCCCTGGGGAGGAGGGTTGCAGAAGGGTTGCTAGCATGCCATACGATTCAACCTAGCTTACCCTGAGTAGAACTAGGTCCCCCCCGGTTTTGGCCCTTTCTCACCCCTTTTTTGGTTGGGAGGCTTCCTCTACTAAAATAGGCTACAGAAAATAGTTGGCACCCTTATTCTATCCTCTCTACTGAAAAACCTAGATAAGACCCCTTGCCCACAGGACTGAATCATAACTGACTTTTGGAGGGCTGAATGCATGAGCTGGAGCAAGCAGCGGATGGATTGCCGGAATTCGCATTGTACAGATCCGGATTCCCGGTGCAGCGAGTGGACTCAAATTCACTGGACTCAATCCACAGGAAAACAAGTCCCTTGCCGTGCGAAAGGTCTGGGCCATTGGATTGGAGTGGGCATCTCAATCTGTTTGAGGCATCTGGGTCCCTGTCTTTTCTCACTCTCTGAGCTCATGAACTTTAGTCACTTTTTGGGTTAACGGACCATTTTGGTGGTGAACTAAAGTTCCTGGACTTGCCAATCCAGTCAGGAAGTGAGTTTACTTGGTTGGAAGATGTCACAACTGCATGCATGTTGCCTAAGTACAAGTCATTGGAGAACATCTAAATCCGGGGGGGGGGGCGTTGTATTCCGTTACTGTTGTGAAAACACTTCGGAGCTTGGCAGCGCAGTTGATTTACAAAGCAATCACCATAGCAAGCAAGGACGTCCTAGGTGCAAGGAATACGTCATTTGCATGGACGGTGACACTCATTCGGCACATTTAGAAGTTCATGTTGATTGTTTCTGTTTAGTGCTGACTGGGGTTTAAAAAAAGTTCAGTTCTTTAGAACATAAGCCTGGGTTGTGAACCAGTGAAGCTGTTGAAAACGTGATTGGTGCTCATTGGTCTTAACAGTTAAATTTGTACATGTCTGGGCTGCAGACATGTGGGTATGGGTCAAAACTAAACCACCAGGAGACCACAGGTTTTAATCATCGTTTCCATTTACCAGGGTGCCATTTTGGGTACCTATTTTTGACCCACAGCCATGTGGAGGTTTGTCCGTTGGCATTTGTGATTGCCGCAGTTGGTTCAACATAGAGATCACGGCCACTGTCACTCCCGATTGCTTTCTGCACCGAACACGGCCTGCAAAACAACTTGTTCAACCTACCACTTGGGGGTGGCTTTGATGATGATAACGTAGTGACGCAATTTATGTGGAGTGTACGCACTTGTGTTGATTCCACGTGTTTTTAACGAGACTTGGCATCATGTGCCGCAGTTGACTCCACCGATACCAAAGCTGTTGAGGCCACAATGTTCCGGCATCTTCGTGCCCATGTTTAAAAATCACCCCCGCAAAAAATCAAAATAAAGAAGAAGACAACAAACAAAACAAACAACGAGGTTGCCCAGGTTGCGCAGGAAGCCCAGGTCGCCCATGCTTGCAATCAACAAAAAAACACGAGGCTTGGCCTGGGATTTCGCATCTTCGGGCTTTCCACGTCTCATCCATTTGACCTCCGTTTGAGGCATCGCCATGGCGCGGCTGGCGTGGTGTCTTGCCCTGCAGGCGGAATTGGCGGAGCCGCGACGTCGCGGGGGACTTTATCCGGGAAAACGGGTCTGGCCTCCATCTGTTTGTCTGTGGTGTTTGTGGTTTTGATTAATTGGGTTTCACGGTTTGTTCTCCCATGCTGTTGAACCTTTCTTGTGGCTTTCGCCTGTTTTTCGCCCGTGTTGGACCTTTTTTGTTAATCTGTTCATACTCGTTTCCTATCCGAAAAAGGGGTGGATCCACAGATTCGCCACATCCAAACCGTTCTCTAAGGAACGGAAGGAGCCCAAGAAGAAGGTCCCCATGTTCATGGGAGCATCACGGGGCTGGGTGTTCAACATATATGGGCTTGTAAACTTTCTTATTTGGGAGGGGGTCCGATTTTTCTTTGGCCATGAATTTAAGTGGGGAACCACCAAAATGATCAAAGGGCCCACCAAGATGAGGCATTTCCTCAGTTTCTTTTTTTTGGATGAGTTCCACTAGCCTTGCAGGAACCATGACCCACTTTTGGCAGGTCCCCCTCAAACAGTAAGGCCTTGTTCGCCTTTCCATGTTTTATTGATGGGTTTTCTACTAACATCATGGCCCCGGAACTACTGTAGTTGAAAATGCAAGTCCAATGGGAGGTGTCCCATGGTAAATGCGAACAGGCACCCCGAAATCTATCACAGTCTACAATATGTTTCCGAATCCGCGATTGTCGCAATGACACTTAGCTCTTCACAAGTTTTGCAACCAGGCTGATGCTTGCACATAACCACAGATTCCCCTTACAACTGCTGACTTTTAACAGAACCAACGCCAGCTACAGGATCTTTTCTGGAAAGTTGCAAATCAGACACTGCAAACACGGGAAACCAGCAAACGAGACACTCAGGTTTTTGGGGCAAGCTAGGGTTGCATATGTGGGTTTGCTGGTCTTTCTTTGTCTTTTTTGGGCAACCACTCTATCTGGTTGTTTTTTTGAAGGGAAACCCAACCGGACCGAAGCCATTTTGGGAGCCTGAACAAAACGACACCCCCATTGGAGCTTCTGGGAATGAACCGGCTTTGGGGATCCCTAAAGAACCGAAACCCAGCGAGTACTAGCGATTGACACCACCTTCGCTGTGCTCGGCTTTTTGTTTTGTTTTTCGATTCGGTCTTTTTGGGGATAACTAGACCATTGAAACAATTCTTCACAGTGGTCGGCCTTTTGTATTCTTCTTCTTTGTTTTTTGTTTTTAATGGGTTGTTTTGTTCTTCTTTGTTTTCTTTTCTTATTTTATTCTTTGTTTCTTTGTTTTATGTGTGGGCCGGGTCTTTCTTTTGTTTTTCCGTGGGAGCTGTCCCTCAGTCTTACGGACTTGGTTTCTCTCCTCTCGGCGCTCGGCAGGCCTGGGCGCAGGATGAGTGCGCGGAGGAAGGCGCTTTGGGGGTGCTGGGTCGACACCCCCAAGGTGTCAACTTTCCTTACCTCTTAAAAGCCTTGGGGTTGCGCTTTCCTTACCTCTTAAGCTTTCCTGCCAACTTTCCTTCCCCCAAAATCCTTCCTTTTCCACTTGTTCCTTAGCTTTTCAACTTGTTGGGGGTAACATGGGTCCCCCAGTAGTGCCCTTTTTAACCTTTTTTGGTTGGTTTTGGGTTCCCCTATAGACAAAAAAGAGAATAGTTAGTTGGTACCCTTCTTCGAACCTCTCAAATCTGGAGGACCTAGGTGAGTGTCCTCAGAAGTCCTGCCTCACTCCTAAGAAACCCGACGGAATGATGAGATTCCCCCACGTAAATGCCAACCCATATGGTTTCAAGCATGGCTTGTTTTCGTCTTCGTGGCCATCCGCGGTGTCACTCCGTGAGTTCTGGTTCGGACTTGATCGTCGCTTTTCGGGGTTCGGTGGCCATTTTAGTGGCTTAGGCAAACAGTTGGGTTACTTTTTCAGCCCGTCCACTCTGGAAGGGAGCTGAATTCCCGGACTTGATGTTTTTTTAATTTTCAGTGGTAAAGCCAACCTGCTGAGGCTCAAGTGAGTGTCAGCTTCCCCTGAATTGGTGGTTTGAATTTGGATTTGAACCCCTGATTCTTGTTCAGGGTAAATGCGAAGCAGCTTCCGACGGTAGGGTATTGGCCTACCGTGGCAATGACGGGTAACGGAGAATTGGGGTTTGATTCCGGAGAGGGAGCCTGAGAAACGGCTACCACATCTAAGGAAGGCAGCAGGCGCGCAAATTACCCAATCCTGACACAGGGAGGTAGTGACAAGAAATAACAACCCCTCGAAAAAAGATGCAGCTCGCATGAGGTTCCGTCGCAAGGGATATGGGGGACTCACTAAATTCCAAAGACGGATAGCCTCAAAGACGGACGTACCCATACTGAATGAATGAACTTGAGCATCTCCACGGTGTTGATTTTGAGGGTATCCCTTTTTGAGGTGTAGGTTTAGATACATAGCCATGGTCAAAAGTTCTGAGTTGGGGTTTGCGATGATCATGAAGCCTTTAGTGGGGATTCAATACAAGGATTTCACTCAGGGGAGCCACGTAAGCAGTTGTGACTAAGGCTCACGTGGCTCGGTTTTGATAGCAGCTTAACACCTTTGTTATCTATTGAACCTGCAGAGGGTTAAATGTCTTGCTTGGGACACCAATCAAGTTTTACAGGGCTTGGCGCCCCCCAAAGAAAAACACGCAGTACTTGCGGAACCACTCACAAGACCTGACACTCACAGGGGTCCCGAGAGGAAAACATGTGCTTTGCTTGGCCTACGGTGGCTGGACAGAATCCGGCACCTGAGAAGCCCCGAAATGATTCGATTCCCCTGCAAATGCCAAGAAACGTTATGGTTGACATGGTTTTAAGCGGCTATGGGCCTCCTCTGTCAGATGAGCCACAATCAATACCCGGGCAGATGAAGGTTAGTCAGGGACAAGCCCAACCACACACAGCTGCGGCCGCCTTCTTAATTATTTTCATGGTTCTGGGATTACGACCATTTTAATACCGGGTTTTGACCTTCTCGCTTTCCTGTGTTTGGGGTCCTTCAACTGCAAGTTTTTGTAGGGTTGGAGACCCATCCTCTTGTTTTGGCATAGGTCATGTGAGGATATGTCTGCGTTGTTTCTACACTTGCCACCCCAAAATGTGTGGCGGTTTCCTGCCGGTGTCCCGTCACAAGCACAAAAGGGATTGACAAAAACACGCGCTGAGATATTTGAACACGCAGCTGACAGGTAATACAGAACATGCGCGCTAATCATACGAAGCAGGTGAACATGAACAAGTGAACCGGAACAAGCGAGCATGAGAAAGCCAACACGCAAACAACCAAAACAAGAAAAAATATATATATATATATATATATATGCTACGCCCCCCCCTGGTGCCTAGGTTTTGCTTGATTTGACCATATATATATATAACAGAATATGTTGACCAATGTAAACTGAACAGAACATGTCCATTGGTTGCACGCGAACAGCGGGGCGAGGCTGCGCGGCTTCCTGGCTACAGCGCCGCGCCCTGAAGGCCGAGGCGCGTAGAACTTCGCGAAGTTCGGGGGGGAAGCCAAGGGACGAGCCCAGGAGGTCTCTGCAGTGGGCGTCTTTTCTTACCTCTTAAAAACACGTAACTTTTCTCAACTTTTTCCTTACCTTACCTCTTCCTTACCTTTTCAACGTTTTGGGGGTAACCTCTTAAAAGCCTTGGGGTTGCGCTTTCCTGCCAACTTTCCGGCCAACTTTCCTTCCCCCGAGGTCCTTCCTTTTCAACTTTTTCCTTGCCTTTTCAACTTTTTGGGGTAACATGGGCTATATGTCTGTAAAAGATGAACTTTTTCAGGGCTTGGAGTTTTAAGGGGAAAGTTTTTTTCTGTGGTCTTACCGATTTCGGATCCATCAGCAGGGTTTCCCAGCTAGGTGTTCCAGTAGAGAGGTTAGAACAAGGGTGCCCTTTTTTTTTACCCTCCCAACCAAAGAAAGGGGAGAGAAGGGCACCTAGCTGGGGGACCTAGTTACCCTAAGTTTCATAAGTTTCAACCCCCTCAGGAAAAGAATGGTTGACCCAATTCAGATGATGACAATTAGGTAAATGATGGTGAAACGAACCCCCATTGTTTGAATGCTGGTCTTGAACCCTAGGGTGGGCATCTTTCGGTGGGTGCGGCGTGCAAGCGAGTGCCAAAAACAAGACATACGCGCTAATGCCGCTACAAACGATGGCAAGTTTGGGTTTTGAATGTGTGGTCCCTGTCAAAGTTGGTTTTTTGTTGAATCCACTTCAACACGCCGTGCAATCAGTCAGAAGGCCCTTGCAGCTTCCTTTAAGGGAATTCAATCATTGTCTGGATAACTTTCAGGGCTGAGCAAATAAGCAGAGGATGGCCGTGTTAGGTCGCCAAGCGCTCGCTTCTCCTACCAACCGCGCGCAATCTCACTTGAATGAAAGAGGCAACCTTTTGTTTTCTTACTGTTGGCAACAAGTTGTGCCTTTATGTCTTTGTGTTGTTGGGTTCTTTGTCGCGCATCCTCAAAATTCCCCTCCTTCACCACGTCCCCTCTCCTTCCCACCCCCACACCCCCAAGGCTTAGCCTTCACCCCCCTCCACTCCCCTTGTTTCGTCAGGCCGAGCTCAACACCAGCACTGCGTGGGGCTGGAGCAGCGAGCCAGGACTAGGACGGACTTTGGACGGCCTGGCACATAGCCAGTTGCAACCGATGACACCTGAATCATTTTGATTGCTATTGCTAGACTAGTGTTGTTGGATCAAGTTGTTTGTTTCTTGTTTGTTCTTTTGGCTCATGTTTGTGTCTTATTTTAGGTTTGGGGGCTGCAACAAAAACAAAGTCTTCTGCAGCCATGCTCACGGTTGCGAAGATTGGATAACTGATCTTTTGACGTTGGCTTTTGAGTGAAATCATGTGAGTTGTGTTACCATACTGTGGATGGACGAAATCCTGCACCATTCAGACCCTCTGGAATGACTCGATTTCCCTTCAAATGCAAACACATGTTATGGTGTTTCGACCGTGGCTTCATTTCGTGGTGCGTCGCAACCATCCACAGTATTAGCATTATGACTAGTGCTTGGAGACACCTCAAAGCAAATGGAGGCTGGGTTAGCTGGTGGGATGCTTTTGATGAAAGTTTCAGGGTAATGCTGAGTGAATATCGCTGACCATGAGAGTGGACCCTTGAGTCAGTCATAGATCCACCATTTGGCCATCATGTGCGTGCTACGGTTTCCCACCATTTGCGGGTAGGCTCCACCGAACCCGCATTCAACGCGGCGACGCGTCCCTGAAGACAGAGCCTTTTCCTCAGGTATGGAGGTACTTGAACCCTAAAGACTTGAGCAAGACAGGATAGAGCATTTCGATGGTGGTTGTTTCGCTTGGGGGACCTACAGGGGCGGTGTTGACTTGTTTAAGCCAGAGCCTTAAAACTTTCGAAGTGTCATTTCTTGTTTCTTGCAGTGGCTCGAAGTCTCAGTTGTTCAGTGGCACCAAGTCTTTGTTCCTTTTGTTTTTCGTGGCTGCCCCACTAAAATGGTCTTCCCAAAAATGGGTTCCCCTTTTTTTCCAGGGTCACTGACCAACTGAGAAGTGCTTCTGGGCGTCGATGCCAGGAGCCGAGGACTTGCAGGTGCCGCTGAACCAGTGCTTTCAGGACACCGGACATGCAATGATCAAGTCACACCCGAGCCAACGACCAACCCTATGTTTAGCTCTTGCTAGTGATTTGCATGTGTTGTGCTTCGTGGTGTGTTGCTTTTGTTGTGTTGTATTGCTTATCCTTCTTGTTCATTATATGCTGAAACTCTATGTCAACCTAGAGGTACAACACAGCTGTATGAGGGGCTGTTTTAATGGGGCAGGGCACTCATAGCTGTTGCGCATCCATTTCCGTGTATGGCCACTGGTTTTGCTATTTGCAGAATCCCTGCAAAGTCAAAGGTGCTTCAACAGTTTGCAAGAGGCCTGGAAATTGTTGTCCCTTTGGAGTGGTTGATCACACCGCCACTCCCCGGGAACTCTGGCCCAGAGCTCTTCAGGGTTCCTTTTTTGACCACCCCAAAGATGACTTAAACCCAGGCGTGCTTGATTTCCCCAAAAGGGAAATTCCCTGGGTTTAGTCGACCTTGGCGTAGTCAAAAAACGGAACCTGAGCCCTTAAGGCGTGAAGCGTTTGCAAACCGTTTGCAAACCGCGCCCAGAGGACACTGGAGGCAGCTGCACGCTGTTCGGCTGCGACAAATCTCGCGGCGAGGCCGGGCGCCGGGGTCCACGGCCTGCTGGCACTTGTTTTGCTTCCGTTTGCTGAAGGGGAGTATCTTTTGCATGGTCCCCCGTTGGGTTTAATGGGAACCTATCACTACTGGACACATTGGTATTTGTTTCAGGGGGCGAAAGCAAATGGAAGTTACATGTGCTAGGAGAATAGCTCTGTTCCGACACGCGTAGATCCCCTCTAAGTTTTTAAGCTAGAGGTCACTTGGAGCACACAGGGCATATGCACATGGGAGTGTCTTTCGAATACGGGATGTCCTGCAAAAAAACACCCCCTGACACCTCTGACAAGTTCCATGTTGGTGGGTAGGATAGTAAAACGTCGATGTTGTTAGCCTACAGCGTCGACTGGCCTTTGACGAATAGTTCCTTGCGTTGTACTTAACTGTTCTGCTTCCATTTGCTTAAAAACATGTTTTCTTTCCCCTGCTGGTTTTAAAGGGAATCTATCACTACCGGAAATATGTTTTAAATACTTTTTCCAGTGGACTTAGGCAAATGAAAGACTGCTAACTCGAGCTTACCATGACGTAAGTCCTTTAGCTGGGGCTCCCTGATTTCAGCTTCTGCAGCGATTGTAGAAATTCTCACTTGCCCAAAGCGAATCGACCTTTTGACCTTTTGGTTGTCCTATTTTGGTCCATGTTCAGTCATGACCCCAAAAGGTTAACCTTGTATTTCCGGGTCCTTTGGGCAGCTGATATTTGCAGACTGCGTGTGTGATTGCTCGAGCTTGGCAAGCAGTATTCATGCCCAGCCACAAACAAATTCGAGCGGGAATGTCGCAAACTCACCCAAAACTGCCAATCTCCTGGCTTCTTTGCAGGACTTGTAGGGCTTGGGGCATCAAGAAGGCGGGCCCTAACCAAGTGTCTCCTGACTGGGATCGCCAACCTAAGTTGCGGGGCAGAGGTACATCAGGCTACATGTGTTGGTGGAGTGGCATACAGTCATTGCCTGAGTTAGGATTTGGCAAGGTCCTTGTGCGAGCAATTTGAAGCATCATCACATGGTTGTTGTTGGGAAACATTTTCCATTTTTGCTTATTGTGGTTTGGGAAATCCCCACTTAACTGCTAAAATGTATTTTTTTGCCCCCCTCCAACGTCAACCAAGATCAGTTCGCCCTTTAAGAATGTCTAGCCGACATCATTCTATGGCCTTCAGCCGCCGGCACTGGAGATAATGCACGCGGTTGCTACTTGATGTGAGCTCCCTTTCAAGCATAGGTGTCCTTGTTTTTGCCAACGAAAAATAGAGGGCGATTCCTGGTTGACCTGGTGGTTTAACCATCTACCAGGGATATCGGATATCTATTTCCCCTGAAAGGACATGCTTTCAAACCTTTGGAAACAGACTCTTTCCCCACCATCCCTCAAAGAGTAACTTTGTGCAGGGGCTCAGAAACCACCACAGCACTGCGCCTTGTGGCAGCAGCACAAGTCGTGCGCCGGCAAGTGCAGTTCAGTTCCGCTTGTCGGCTTTCCTAGCACACGCCTGGCATGATCTCAGTTGCGGAACGCACCGAGGCTGTTACCCATGTGTTTCGACCAGAATCAGGGGTTCAAGCCTGAACTGATCCAACACCGACCATGGGAACGATAACATTGTGTGAGTTTTGCAGTCCACATCTTCCTTCCCCTGTCTGGTTTCTTTTTGCGTCCTGTTTTTAGCACCCTTTCAGATTTCTTTGGGTGTGCCAAGATAGGGGGACCCCAAAATGATGCTTTCCAGTTGGCTTCCCTTTAAACCAAGGTGAAACGGGTTCCGAGCCTCAAACAACACACACCCATGTCCACTTCTTATCTTAGGATATGTGGGTCGCGCAACGGTAAAATGTTGAAATTCAGGTTGGAGGTGCTCTCACTTCAGATGAAGCTACTTAGCACCCACCCGTTGTCCCTTATTGCCTTCGCAATCCAGGAGTTGGTGCTACTTGCTGCAAATGAGCGAACTTTCGCGAAAGGCGCTAACTGTTGTTCAAAGGCAATCCTTAATCCTTGGCTTAGCTGCAGTTTCAATAGAAACTACCAATTAAATGCGTAACTTTTGAAGGGAGTATCCAGTGACCCTTGTGTGAAAGGGGTCCCCTTTGCCACTTGCCCAAAGCCTTTTATTTTCCTGTTTTGGTGCACTTTTTCGTCACCGCAAAGAGGTGATCAAACACGGGGTGGGGTGGGAGGTGGGGATCGATTGCCGCGCGCGAGTGCCGTGCGCGAGTGCTGTGCGCGAGGTGGTGTGCGAGAACAGGCGCTGCAAGTGCAAGCCGGGCTATTGCAACCAGTACGGCACCTGCACCAAAGCTTCTGCGAAGCAAGAGCCACTCACCGAGAAGCGTTGGTTTTGACACCCAGGCCCTTCAGGGCTGCCAAGGTTTTGGGATGCCTCGGGGGTTATCCAACCACTTCTATGGTACAAGTTGGAATCTCCCCTTGTTTTTTGGGGGGTTAGTCTTTGGGAAGCCCATCCTCTTGTATCACAGAAGTGGGTTCCATTTCCCACAGCCCTGGTCTTCATCGTTTTGCAGGTGCCGGGTTTCTTCATCGTCTTAGGGCGAAGTCTTCGCCGGTCTCAGCATGTCGCAGGTCAGGTTTCTTGTGGCAAGGGCGGGGGTAGTGACAAGATTGTCTTAGTCCCTGAGTTCCTGGGGTTGGACCATTTTGGTGGGCAATCCTGGGCTTTTCTGGCAAATCCACTCAGGAAGTCCTTTTCTGTGGCATGACCAACGGCCCTTTCGAATCATTTTTTTTTGGGACAACGGGCGGTCCTAGAGCTTCTGATTCAGCCAGCGGCGGGTGGTGTTCTCCTTTTTGTTTCGGTTCCGTTTCTGTGGTGGCTGCTCTTTATGGTCCTTCTTTTCCCGATGTTTCGGATGAGTTGTCTGTGGTTTGGGGTTTTCGTAGTTTTGGCGGGTTTGGCCTGTGTTTTGGGTGGGTTTCTTTATTTTGTGAATTTGTGTGGGCTCGTGTTCGCAAGTGGTCCTGTTCTGGGTAGGGGGGTATGGTTTCAACAGCCAACCTGACTGCTGGAGCTTTGGCTGCGGAGACATTACCTGACCAGGCTCTCAGCTTATTTTCTCCTGAGGAGCCGCTCCCCCAAAGGGTGCATGGGACAGACAGCCAGAAAAACAACATCCCATGTTTTGCCTGGGGGTAGTGGTTTGGGGCAAGTAGGGAACCCAAGCCTTGGTGCGAAAACAAAAGGTGTCCCCCAAAATCAAACAAAGGTGCCCTCATTCCCCCTAAGATTTTGTGTGGTATTTCTTCAGTGAATCTGCAGAAGAGTCAAAGGGTTGGTTTGTCACTCGTGGCTTGACACAAGGATTCCCCCCTTGCCCTGGAAAACCACAGGTCATCCCATCGAAGCCCCTTGACAGTCTCTTCACACCCGCCCATTACGCCCCACTTTCTTGCTGCGATAGGAAATGAGAATTGGAATGAACCCAGGTATTCCCCAGGAAGCCACAACAGTTGGATGGTTTATTTCGCTCTCATTGCATTGCTCATTCCCTGCTGACCACCAGCAACTTTGTGGGAGGGTATTTGTTTGGAGTAACGGGAACCGAAAGAGAACCACATAGGACCACTCAGAGGTGGGTCCCCTCACTCGCGCCGTGTTTCGCATTTTCCACTTCGGGCCTGCGGCTCTCTCCGGCCGCATCGGATCCGTCCGCGTCGGATCGAGGTGCATCCGCGTCACGGACCGGACCTGCCGCTTCTACGACTGCCCGGCTACCTTTGGCAAGAACTCCTGTGAGCTGCTCGGCGCGGTGGGAGGAGACATGTTTGCTTGAGGCTATCCCTTTTTTTAGATGGTTTGCAGGGAAACCAAAAGGAAGACCCATTTTGAGGATCCCGTGTGTTGTGAGTGGCTTCAAGGGATGAGCGAATAGGCACAAAATGGGTCGCTAAACTCTTTGGATCATTTGGCAGAACCAAATCAATCAGAGGAATCCCTGGTGGACGGGAGACTGTGTAGGTGTCCTTTTGCAGGTATGCAAACTGGTCCCCAAAAAGAGGGGTCAAAAGGACCAAGCATCCACCAGGGCTTCACCGCTAGATTGATCGACAATCTCAGGTTTGGTCGTCAGGCCCCTAAATGTTCCTCGGGTTTTTCCGCTTGTCTTTTTTCTTGGGGATGCTTCATTTCACTTTGAACCCCCCCTCCACTAGACCTTTTGTTTGGACCGGTTTCAAGAAAGCCTCACCATGTTGTTTTCAAGGCTTTCAAGGTTTCATGTTTTCTTATTGAGGGGGTGTTTGAAGGTGTTTCATGTTTGAAAGGTGTTTCATGTTTGAAAGGTGCTTCATGTTTTTGACCCCATATGAATTTCAACCCCGGTTTCCTATTCGGGCGGTGGGGGAAAGCCACTCCAAAAGTGGTTTGATTCCCCCACATTTCACAGAGAAATCCAGAAATCGCACCACCCAAGAAACCATGACAAACCACAACGTTTGTTTGTTTGCTGGGGAATCGAATCATTCCAGGAATTCTTAGGTGGTGCAGGAATTCGTCCATCCACAGCACGAGGAACCCTTGGCTGCAGGGGGGAGGAACGGGGATACTGCAGATGGTTTTGCGAAATCCGGAATCGCACCACGCAATAAAGATCATGGTTGAAACCAAAACGTTTGTTGGCATTTACGCATTGGAATCAACCCATTCCGATGGGCTTCCGAGGTGGTGCAGGATTTCGTCAATCAAATATTGGTAAGGAACCTTTCTGTTAGGTCAGACATTAAAAGAAACTTGTTCCAGCCGACATATGAGGGTGTGTGTGTGTGTTGTTTTTTGAGGATGACCGTTTTTGTTTGTCGTTGTGACGGGAAATCCAAAGAAGCACCCGTATTGGGGGTCCCCTAAGAGACACCCACAATATGCATTATGTTGAGGGTACCTTGTTTTTGTGGGCTTAAAGAGAACTTCAAAAGGGACACCACCATTTCTGTGGGTTCCTTCAAGCATTCTTTGAAGCCATTTTGGGCGTCCGTCCCCTTAAAAAACCAAAGACACCCACAAGACGCATTCTTTGGTCGGCGCCGTAGGAACCGGCACTGCGTCTGCGCTGTGGGCCATTGCGTGGTGGACGGCACTTGCCACCCGGAGGTGGGCGGGCTGCGGGCGAAGGTGGCGAAGGTGTCCGCGCAGCAGCCCAGGCGACGTCGGGTGGAAATGGAGGGACGCAAATTCATGTGCTTCAGAATATGCTCGATTTGTCCCAGCGGTTTTTGCTGGGAATCTATCACCACTGGATGAGTTCCAGGGATTTAAGAAGGGACTTGCTTAAGAAACAGAGGGGCGAACAACTTGCATTTGATTAGGAAACCTATTAGAAGTTTGAAGGGAACTTTTCCTTTTGAATTGTTCCCTGTTTGCATTTTCCTTGTATGCTTGATTTGCCCCTGTTGATTTGAATGGACACCTGTCACCAATCGCGTTTTTCGCAGGGACGCATGGGATGGAGGAAGCCTGGGCCATGAAAGTGGCTGACGTGGCTGCATTGCAAGAGGTTCGAACATCTACTTCTAGGTGTGGTTTCGCGTTGAGAGACCACGGTTGAGACGGACATTTCATGGTTGTTGTTGTTGAGAAACATTTTACATATTGTTTATTGCGTATTAGTGGGAAATCCCTACTTAATTGCTAAAAAGTATTTTTTGCTCCCCTTCCAACGTCAACAAATATTTGGAGGAAACAAAAGGAGGGTGAAGAAGGTGAAATACGTGTTTCGATTGTAAGGGGGGGAACAACACAGGAAGGGGGACAGACATAGCTTCTTTTGAGGGTATTCCTGTGGGCTTGCGTCAAAGGGACATGTGTGCCCCCCTGACAAATGGCTTTCTATTGCTGCGTGCTCTTGCACACTGGGTCTATTCTGTGTGGCCATCTTGGAAAGGGTGTCAGTTTTCTACAGGTGTTGAGTCTGAATTCCCTTTGTGTGTCCATGGCACGTGAGACCTGTTTCTGGGTTCCTTCCTGTTACATTTGCAGGGATTCTCAGGCTTGCCTAATTTTCTATCCATGGTTGCTTTTGACGTGGCTGTCAGGGGCTTTCTCAATTACTTTTTTCGGGGGGTGTCCCGTCAAACCAGGATGTTACGACAATTATGAGGATGTTACTTGAATTGGCCCAGTGTTTGCGACAGAGGCTGCAGGAATAGCGGCAAACAGGGCCAAACCAAGAAGGGGAGAGTCACAAAGCAAATCGGATCTTATTATCTGGTTGTCATCTTTTTGTCATTTACTTTTCATCATTTATGATTTTCTACTTTATATCAGTTCTTGAGTTTTTACGACGTGTTGATTATAAAAAAATATATATATGAAATCAGACGGAAAAGACATGTTCCTCCTTTCTTTACCATTATCTTCATCCTATCACCTCTGTGTCTATCCCTTCCCATTCACTTCGTTCATTCGGTCACAGGTAGGAGGTGATTAAGAATTTAACCTGATACAGTAAAAGGTAAGGTGTAATGAAGATCAACCGGTATGATATAGAGATGAAAGTAAGATAGTAAATAGCTGTCTCTCAACCGATGGAACGTACGGAAAAGAAAAGGACAGATAACCGTTCCATCTCCAGCTTGGACCCAAAATGGCTTGCCATTTGTCGGCCGCCCACAACCCAGTTGCTCACGCCCCTGTTCTCCTTTTTTGTGGGAGGGGTTCCCCTTTACAATCAACCAATAACGAAAGGATTGCCTTTTGTCCAACGGCCACTGGGCATCTGAGACAAAATGCCGTGGTTCTCCCTATGGCTTCCCCCAAAAAAGTGAATTCGAAAATAGATGTTTTTTAGCACAAAAAACACGTGATTCTAATGCTCGGTGATAACAATGAGCATTAAGCACCTCCAACACGAGACGGTGCCCACCGGTGCCCAACCACCGGAGGACCGCCCTCGACAATTCCAGCCGCAGGTTCCCTGGGGGCAGCGTGCGCTCCGCGCTGTGCTTCTCGGGCGGTGGCGCGCGAGCGCTGTCCTTCAGCCTGGGGGTGCTGCGGGGCTTGGAACTGTTGGGCCTCATGAGGCGGGGGGGGGGGGGGGATAATGTTTGTAATGTATGTCATACATACAGATGTAATGTATGTAATGTAAATAATGTTTGCAATGTATTTTATATACGTAATGTATGTGCAGCGTTTTTTTTTGTTTGGGGGGGGGGGAAATGTCTGATTTGAAGGTCTTACCAGGAGGTCCCCCAAAAAACACTTGGCTTGTTCGCCTGGCTGCAGCAGGGCGTTTGAGGATTTGAGGCTTGTTGAAGGGCCCGTTTAAGCCCTTGAGGCGTTTTTTTTTGCTTTCATGGCTGCAAACGAGTCTTTAATTTTTCACACGGGGCCGTGGCGCAATGGCAGCGCGTCGTCCCTTGATGTAGGGGACGGAGGGTGGAGGTTCAAGTCCTTCTAGCCCTAGAACTGCACTGTGTTTTTCCCTTCGGTTTCATGGTTGTTGTTGGGACACATTTTACATTTTTTGCTTTGCGTGGTTTAGGGGCCTCAACTGCTAAAAAGTATGTTTTTGCTCCCCTTCCATCATCAACCAAGGTTTGGAGGTCGGTTTCCAAGCAGAATGACGCGAGGCTTCACCAACACGTAAATATTTGTATTGAAATAACAGAATAATGCCCCCCCAGCCGGCCCCAGCCCCAAAAACAGAAAAGAAAAGAGCATCAGAAGCAAACGGCAGGCCCATGGGGCGATGGAATCCACCCCCTTCGCTTTCTTCGGAAGCATCGGAGGCACGTGGACGCCATCAGCTCCGTCTCCGGTGGGTCCTGGGCAGCGCGACTTGGCGAGCATCCGAGCGTTGGGGCGATGGGCGGGGTGTCATTTTCTTGCTGGGGCGATAGGCAGGGAATGTTAGGCGCTACGGGTTGGGGAATTTCAGTGTTGGAGCAGTGCGTATATGTTGTAGCATGGTGGGCAAGGACGTGATGAGCAAGGGTGAAAAATGGAATGAACCCAGCGGTTCCCGAAAAAAGAAAAGGAAAAAGGAAGCCACAAAAGTTGGATGGTTTATTTCGCGGTCATTCCATTTCTCATTCCCTGCTGACCACCAGCAAGTTTGCTGGAGGGTGTTTGTTTGGGGTAACGGGAAACCGAAGGGGCGGAGACACCCATTTGGAGCCCATAGGTATCCTTTTCTTTACAAATTGATGGGTCCCGAAGGGCTGCCCAAGGGATTCTAGGGAGCCTCAGGGAACCAAAAACGAACCTCAAGGGAGCTCCAAAGTGTCCCTCAACTTCAGCTGTTCATCGTCGCCGGGGGCTGCAAAAAGCAACGCTGGTTTCTGCCAAAGGGTTGTGAGGTTCACCAGGGCCTGAGCTTCCATTCGCTGAAATGAATGTAACCTCCACGGGCATGAACCGGGCCCAAGCGCCGCCCAGCGAAGGATCCAAGAGCCAAAGACAGGGGGCCCTTGACCCCTGCAAAGCTCGTTGAAAGCCAACTAGGTGCCCCAGTTAGGCGCCCTTCTCTCCGCTTTTTTGGTTGGGAGGGTTCCCCTACTAAAATAGACAAGCCAGAAATTATGTTGGTACCCCTATTCCAACCTCTACTGGAGGACCTAGGCAAAATGAAGGAAACCCAAAGGGCCTTGATGGGCACAAAGGCTGAGTTAAGTGCGACAAGGCTGAGTGGACACATCTATGGCTCTAAAGGGTTGCAAAAGGACCGCCAGAAGGAGCGCTGCTCCAAAGATCCGATCACAAGGGTAGACATTGGGTCGCCGGCAAAGGACACAACCCACCCTTTTGCAACTCCCACTGTCCCTTGTGAATTAGACTTCAAGTCATATGACGGGTTTGTCTTATGAGAAGGGGTGCCCAAGAACGTGCGGTTTCCTGAAACTGGTTGGGCAAAACAAAGTTGTCCTTTAAAAGGATACACTCACTCACCACCCCCTTTACAAAAGAATCCCGAGGATCAGCTGGTAGTTGTAGTTTTTTTTCCTCGTGTTTTTCATGGCCCCAGCTAGCAGTCTTCAAGGTCCAAAGTCCCTGTGGCCATAGACGAAGAGATGTGTTATTTGTTTGGTTGATTTTGAAACGGCCCACCCCTCAAAGGAAGCGCCAACCACTCCTTCTCACCACCCTGGCTTCTCCCCCGCGCCCTGATTCGGGTGCGTTTTGACATAGGGGACCAAACTCGCTGATGTCCTTCTTGCTTCTTTTGTTGGTTTGGGTTGGCAAGAGATTCGATGCATGCATGCAGCGTGGCAAACTATTGAAACCAATGATCTCCGCCTAGCGGGACCTGGCAAATCCATTCTGGGGAAAGGGTTACTGCAACAGGTGATGGATTCCCTTGCACACCAATAGGGGAAACCATAGCCCCCATTTTGTCGCCAGTTCATATCGTTGAGAGGCACCCCGTGCTCTCTCATCGTTTAAGCGGTTATTCCTTTTATGAACCAATGGGGTGTACAGATGTCTCCGATTGTAGGCTCACTTCCCGAGTTCCTGGAAGACCATTTCAGTGTTACACAAAACAATGTTACTTTTTTGGCCAACGCACTCAGGAAGTGAGTAGGCTTCCCCTTGCTGATTTGCTCAAGTCCGACTGAATGCCCTGAATGCTTCTTGCCAGAGTTGCACAAGTGGACTTGGGGTGGAAGGGTGCTGCTCCATGACCAAATGGACATCACTTACTCGTTCAGGGGAAATGCTCTCCAAACCTTTGATTTCCTCTAGGAAACTGGGGAGGTATCTTCGAAAGGTTACTTGACCCGAAAGCTTTCAGGTCGCTCGGTACCCGTTTTCAAATAAAGCCGAAGACATGCGCCTGGAGTCTCCATGACCCTTAAAAAATGGAGTCATTACCCAAAACAAAGGGGTCATGGACCCATATTTCAAGGGGTCATGGAGAGTCTAGGAGTGGGCCACATCACCTCCTCACCTCCTCACCTCCACTCAACTTCCAACGGAGGCCTTCCACTGTTCGCTCGCTCCGACTCAGGTCAGTCTACATGTTCTCGACGCTGCCGGCGGGGACCCCGGGATTCGAGCCGTTCGGGGAATTGTTCCCAAGGACCCCTCACGAAAACACCACGAAATCGTTGAGCCCTGCACCCCCAGGATTTCCCAAGGAAACCGAAAACCTCAAAAAATAGAAGACGGGAGAGCCCTTCCACTCGGCTCCCCCTAGCTTCCAGTTGCGTAATCCCCCGCAACACATAAATATTTTTCGGTAATGACATGTCCAACTTTAAAATCAAAAAACACAACAAAAAATGACAGGCACGCCTTCCCCTTCTTGGGCTCCTTCCAAACCGGCCAAACGGCCAAACGTCTCCTCCACGTCACGTTTTGGAACCTCCAAAAGCGGCCATCGTTTCAATGGCCTCCAGTCAAATGATCAACTCCACATCCAGAGACCCTCGAAATCAGGGTTGTGGGATCACTCGGGGTTTTACCCCACTTCTGTGATACAAGTTGGAATCTCCCCCGTTATGTGGTGGGTTAGTCTTTGGGAAGCCCTTATTGTTGTGTCACAGAAGTGGTCATTTCCCACAGCCCTGCTCAAAATTGCTGGTTTCCTGTTGGTTTTCCTTTCAAACCCTAAATGGTTGGCTCCCCCACCAAACCGCCGCACCACACGGCCCCGGACGCAAACCCGCTGTCGGGTCTTCTCCCGTGACCTCTTTCAGATCTCTATCCTGGGTTTTTAGGTCTGAAAGAGGTCCTTGCCCAGACAAGAGATCTGAAATTCATCTGGGCAACCCCCACCCTCCCTCCCCCCAGCCACCCACCCCCCCCCCAAAAAAAATCCCCCGCAAGCCCCCCCCAGCCACCCCCACCCCCCCCCTCCCCCACGAGACCCCCCCCCCAGGTCTCGTACCTTTTGGGCGGCGCCAGCGACTTCGCGTCGCTCGACTTGGCGCGGCTGGACGCCACCCCGGCGCCGCTGGGCGCCGTGGCGGCTGTGGGCACCACCGCCCGGGCGCCCGGCGGCCGGGGGGACGAGCACGTGGGGAGGGGGGGGTTGGTTTGTGGCCCGGAAGGAAAAAACAGACATAAGCCTTTGGCAGAAAAAAAAAAACTCACTTCCTGAGTTCATGATCTTTTAACTTTTTGGGAAGACCATTTTAGTGGTAGATCTAAAGTTTGAACTTTTTTTGGGCCATCCACTCAGCAAGTGAACCCAAAACAGAACATCGGACGTGTGCCCTACTATCATTGGAGCATAGGTGTGGTTGTCAAAACCGTTTTAGGTGAATTCACCCATCATTTTAGGACCTATTTTAGTGGGGATCGGGCTGTTCACTAGGGGCACGGGCTTTTGACCCATGGCCACATGTTTATTGTCCCCTGATGGTTGTAAAGGAATTGGAGTTCACATTTGTTAGGCGGCTTCAGCAAATGGACGTCATATGTGTAATATTTATATATAGATTTGCATATACGTATATACATATACATATGTATATATATATATATATTGCCATGAATTTTAAGAGTTGGAACCACTTGAAAAGTGATGGGTGGACATGAACCCCCACCGACTTCCGATGTCCGCCAAAGGGTCCCCAATTAACATTCAGACACATATAAGCCTTTGGCAGGTTAAAAAAGGACACGAAGGGAACCCAAAACATAAGATCAAACATATACTCTAGCATCATTGGAGTCTTTGGGCCCATAAGGCAACAGGTCCTTTTGGAAACTTCACTCAATACGTTTGCCAAATCCCGGGCTTGGAAAAAGCGTTAGCTTTTCCAACTGAGCCTAAGAACCCCTTGGAAGGTTCCTTCCCAACTTTTATCCGGGGCGAGCAAAAACCAAAAGCTCAGATTCGGTCATCAACATAAGGTTGGTTTTGCACCGCGGCCGGGAGCCCCAAGCGACAGGGATGGGTCAGGGAAGACATGCGAGTGGCTTGAACCCTCTTTGTGTTTCGGGCTGACCCCTCAAACAAAAAGCCATTGACGGTGGGGATGCTGGTTCCCGGGCCAGTGGCTTATTTCCGTTGTTCATCTTTCCTTTTTTTCTTGGAGGGGGGCAGGGGGGGAGGGAGGGGGCGGGAGGGAGGGAGCGGGGAGGGAGGGGGCGGGAGGAAGGGGAGGGAGGGGGAGGGGGGGAATCACACCAAAAGAAGGTGCCGTGCATTGTGGGTGGGGACGGCAAGACACCAGCTAGGGTTCACTTTGGTTTCTCTCAGTCCATCGCCGTGAAGCTCGTCAGCGAAGGAGTGGACGGCCAGCCTCTTGGCCGAGCCATTGAATGAGTGAGTGAGGGAGGGAGGGAGGGGAGTGAGGTGAGCCACTTGCTCAAAACCGATTCGGGTAGATGAAGGTTGGTAAGGGGCCAGTCCCAGTCAGAAACAGTTGCGGAATTCCGCCTTTCAAATTCTTGAAGCATGGTTCTGGGTTCACCATTCTTGTGCCAGGTTTTGATTGTGACTCAGGTGAGGTGAGGTGGCCACCTGTCCAACTTGGGCGAATCGACCGCATCTTTTGGTTTTTGTTTGCTCCAGGGAAAGTTCGGAAGGAAGCTTCTAAGGGGTTCTTAGGCTCCCTTGAAGCCGAATTTGGCAACCGTATTTAGCGAAGCTTACCTGTTGCTTCTGGGTCCAAACTGGGCAGCTGATGATGTGGTCCGTCGTGATTTGGTTCCTAAAGCTGATCTCCCATGTCCAAGCGCCGAAACAAGGCCTGAGAGAGGAAACGGCATGTTTTTGTTTGGGGAGGGCTTCCAATTTAGGCAAATCCATATGTCATGAAGTTCCGGCCCGCCCCCCGAAGCGCCGCCTGAGACGTAAGCAAAAATGAAGGGCCTCAAAAAGGCTTTGGTCTGATCCCCGCAAAGGCCCTTCTCGTTTGATGGATTTCCACAACTCAATCGTGGGAGTTGCCCAATATCGCTTTCAGCCTTTGACATAGGGAGCATGCCATTACCATTTAAGGAAGACGCGAGTCGCCCAAAAAAAACGCTCCCAGCCTTTGGCAATGTGATCATGAAGACACGAAATGGGAGTTTGCTCTTTTGGGTCCGGACCCTTTGCAAAACACCCCAGGTTTATAAAAAGCCAGCCGTGCCAAAGGGGCTTGAGCATTGGGAGCTAAGCCAGGCCAACCGCAGTCAGGTTCTCGGAAAATCGTCGTGGTTTCTTTTTCGCCAGTTGAAACTTGTTTGCCCGGAAAAAAAAACAATAAAAAACATATATATATATATATAGATATATCCGAGCGGCCTGCAGGGAGCTCTGGACGAACACGGTGTCCAAAGACGCTGTGCTGCAGTTTAGCGCTTGCGACAAGAGGGCGACAAGTGACCCATTCGATTCGCGCTTGGAACAGAAACAGGTGGCGGGGGGAGACAGAGATTGGAGGAAAGTGTGTCTTTTGATTTGAGAGGTTCCTTACTTTCTTCCCTTTGCTTAATGTGCTTTTTTTCCGCTTGGGGGTGGCTTCAGCAAATTGAAGCTTTGTTCGCTTTGCTTGCCAGAATGCAACACTTGGTTCCACCGCTGTCATTGAAGACATTTACCCATGAGCCCGAATCTGGCGACACGCGCCTCTTTGACGGGCGCCCCTTCTTGTGTTTTTGTTTTGTTTTTGTTGTGTTTTTTGTTTTTGCTGGGGGGGGGGGGGTTAAGAGGCAGTTATCATCATCCAACTGTGTGAACATGTTCAGGCCAGTCAGCGAAAGGGGGGGGGAGTATGTTGATTTGCTGTTGTTTCTTCAGGGAGGTCCCTCCAGGATTGACCGGCTGAACTGGATGTTCCATTGTGCTCCTTGACGAGCGCAACAAGGCAAGGAGACCAGGAAATCTTCCTGACAATTTGGTCCAAACCCTAGAATTTGGTGGATTGTGGCTCGCTTTTCCTGCAATAGAAAGACCTAAAGAAAGAATTATCCATTGTTTGCTTATGATCCTGACGTCCTTTGATTCATAAATGGAAACCGAACGGAACACCGCGATGTTGGGGTACCCTAAAAAAGAGACACCTTTACTGTGCATGGACGAAACCCATTTCGCACCACCTTGGAAACTATGGGAAACGATGGTTTGCTGGTATTTGCGTTGGGGAACCGAATCATTCCACTGTTGTTTTTAGTGGTGCAAACGCATCCACAGTACCCCCTACTCCAAATGCCCGCCTTTTTCAGGGTATTTTTTGGAAAACCTGGTTTTCCAAGGTGAACACCTCCTTTTTTAGTAGAGGGTCGACATGATACCCTGAAAACAAGAGGGTATTGGGTGTGGGGGGTCTGCGCAATTTGGCCTGGCTCTTTCCTGTTGAGGCGATTTTGGAGCCCTTCGGGCTCCACGATACTGACTCCTACATGGCGGCGGATCAGCACGCGGTCGAGGAGATCAGGCGCGGTTGGGTGCGCTTGCCCATGGTAAGCATGTTTGTTGATGTCCTTTGTTTCCTCAGTTCAGTGGCACCCTTTTTCCTTTCTTTTTGTGGCTGCCCCACTAAAAAATGTCTTCCCGGTCACTGAACAACTGAGTTTCAGGTGATTAATTAACCCTTAACTTGTGGTTTGCATTGGCGGCTTTCGGGATTCGACGCGCTCGTTCTTGTATCGCACTTTGGCTCTTATATCGCAATTTGGAGACCGCTCCAGAACTCCTCCAAACCTCCAATTCACGTTACCAAATATGGGGAAGCTGATGGTTGGTGCTTGTTGGCTTCCTTTCATTAGTGCCGCCTGCCATGGATGAAGTCTTATGAATCCTGAGATAAACCACCCACCAATGTGGTGCAGGGTTTTGCCCACTGGATTTGAGGTTAGGCATGGGTCTTGATGGCATTGATGTTTGATGGTATGGATGTTTCTATACCCCCAAACATGAGCCAGAATCAAAACCCGGGTAGATGAAGGTTAGTAAGGGAAAATCCCAGCCATAAATAGCTGCGGCCGCCTTCTTAATTCTTTACATGGTTCTGGGTAGACCATTTTCATACCGGGTTTTGATTATGACACATAAGCTTGTAAAGCAGCATGTGCCCCTTACAAAAGTGGTATGTAAGCTCCATACCTCGACGCCCTGCGTGGATTTGGAGGCAACATTTTCACCCAGGCGTGCTGGTCAAGTCTGTGATTCAGTGATAGTTTCTTTAAGGCTATATGGGTGTGTCCTTGTTAGAGGACCCCCAAAAATGGTTCTTAGCCTGGGCTCTCCTTTTATAAACCCATTCTTTTTTCAGTGGGAACCCTGAAAAAAGAGACGCCCATTCAAGTTGGCATGTCCCCCACTTAAGTCCAAGAAACCTTCGCCAACTTTCAGGGAGGGTTCTGGAGGGTTGCGGGGCTGTTGGAGATACCACTGCGGCCAATGTGTTGTTCTTGGGTTCTGTCATATTTTGGGGTTCCCTTCACATTTTATCTTTTTATTGGTTTAAACCATCACCAACATAGCCCAAGAAAGCGTGTCCTGCGAGGAAACATGGCTGTGGATGGACGAAATCCGTTGGTACCTCTTTGAAGCCATGGGACACCGTTATCTGGGTTGTTGACAAGGGAATCAACCATAGGTGTCCTTCTTGGTTGATTTGGTCGAAAAATAGAGGGCGATTCCTGGTGTATTTGGTGGTTCAATCAATTACCAGCGAAACCCATCTATTTCCCAAAAAGGACACCGATGGAATCAACCTTCCGGGGTTCTTTGGTGCGAAACGGATGGGTTTCGTCCATCGACAGCGGGGAACCCCCGTGTCGGTGAGGCGCCGCAACCCGCAGCTCCGCTCCGCGCGGTTCCTGACGCCGGCGCCGAACCGCCCCAAGACCTTCGCGGCGCGGTGGAAGTTCGGTTTCGAAAGGCTTGGCCTCTGCTTTTGACCAAAACTGACCAAAACTGACCTTGGGGTTTTCCCACTTAGTCATTGGCCCATATTAACATTTTCCCATTTTCAAATTTTGACATGTTGGTCCATGTTTAGTCATGGCCCCAAAAGGTGAACGGTTGGCCAGGTGAGCCACAGGGCAGGTGAAGGTTGGGAAGAATGCCTATGAATGGGTGCAGCCGCCTTTTCAACTCGTTACATGGTGCTGGGCGCCGTTTCAATGGTTTGGATTGGTGGCAAAGGCAAAAGGGGAAACCACACCTTAACCTCCAAACCACCAATCCGGACCACCGATCAGAGGGAAGCTGATTTTTCTAGGGAGTTTCTACCTGGTTTGATTGGTGGACATTGTTTGTTTTATGGGTTGCCTAAGGGGGCGCGTGTGGCAAACTTGGAACATGTCCTGGTTTGTTTGAGGTTGCACGTCTGGCATGTCTTGGGCGCCCTTTGCTTTCGGAGCCACAGTACCATGTCTTAGGGGCGAGGGGCGGCACACAAGCCACTGGTTTGCTTTGCTGCGGGTGGGGAACCTGGTCCTGTAGATGGAGGTCCTTTCAGGTTGCAACTCCTCGGAAAGTCAAGTTGGCCCCCCTGTGTTCACCCTCGTGTTGTTTGGTCGCCGGGTTTCTTCATCCTTTTCGTCAGAGACAAACGCGCGACTTCGTCAGTAGCCTGTTTGAATCATTGAGGTGATGTCCGGAGCTTTGCTGGCGCCCACCGGCTACACGGCCACCAAGGAGCGCTCGACATGGCACTAGCTGGGCACAGTTGCCTTAGGTTAACGGTTAGCCCAATTGGTTTGGATGTAGTGTCCACATTGTCCACCAATCAGATCAGGTAAAAACTACCAAAAGTAAAATCGGTTATCTACGCTACTTGGTGGTTGGGATTGGTTTGGATTTGGCAGGGTTTCCGAGCCATGTTCCCTTTGAAGGGTTCCAGAAGTGGCGAGCTGAAACCTCTGGGTCTGGAGGGTAGCCGGGAAACGCGGAAACGCGGGAAGCGCGTTGACCGTTTGCTTCTGGGTCTCCAAGGAGCAACCTCACTTCCTGAGTTCCTGGACTTTAAACTTTTTGGGAAGACCATTTTAGTGGCAAGCAAAAAGTTTAGACTGCTTTTGGCCAATGCACTCAGGAAGTGAGCAACTGGGAAGCCGAAACGAACAGGTCAGTTTGGGGCCGTGTTTGTCCCTGGCGTCCCCGAAATTTCCGACTGCCCATGGAAACTGAAAACCCACCGCCACCCTGCCCGACGCGAGGAGAATGTGGTGTCGCTGCAGATGTCTCCGGACTTCATTGGCTCCCCCTTCTACCCCAACGATGGGCGGCTCGGTCGGATTCGAGGGGCACTTGTAAGCTTATGAATGCAATGAATTTGTGATTAACCCTCATTGGCTTTTGTCAAGCCTGTCACACCACATTACGGCTGAGTATGGCTTATCAGGGCTTTGGCTTATTAACCCTTACGAGCCTTCAACCATTGGGGAGGGGGGGGTGAGGGCTTAGACCCTAAAGCGGGATCCCAAGTTTATTACATGCCCTAGATGCGTACATCATACTTGGAGCCATGGGGGGGGTGTAGTTTGATTTGGGGGCTCTTTGCCGTTTCAACTGTTTGGGCGTGCGTGCGTGCGTGCCTGTGTGTCTCTGCGTGCTTGTTTTTGTGTGTGTGTGAGGGTACCCTGTTTAAGGTTGGGTTAAAGGACAACCACCATCTTGGGGCACCCCTATTTCTTCTTCTTTGCCCACCCTACTGTGGATGGACAAAATCCGCTTCGTGCCAGCGGGTGTCCATAGGGGTTCATCCATTCCAACAAGGCGCATGGCTTTGTCCATCCTGGATGCATTCTGGGTACACGCCTATGGTTCGTGGCATGCTTAATATCTGCAGCCGTTTCGGTTTCCATCATGGTTCCTTCCGCCTTTTCTCCGCTATCTTTTGAGGGTACCCTTGTCAGGCTGGTGTAAAGGGAGGTTGGTTTAAACTGAAACCAGATGGACAACCTCTCATTTTTACGGGGGAGCCCCTGACACGGAGATTTGCCAAGGCCGGTGCCGTATGTGTCCCAAAAGCAGCGCTACAACGAGCCGCGGAAGGGCGTGGTTGGAGGCGATTGGTTTGGTCGAGTGGGCTGTTGGCCGCGTTTTGGGAATGGGGCTTTCATTGTCTTCCATTTTGCTGAAAAGGGAAGTCTATCGCTACTGGATTGCTTTTTCCTCAACAGCTGCAAGCTTTGGGTCTCAGCCCAGGTAGGCTGCGGGGTGGTCCGGGGCGGCCCTGAGGTAAGGTTCCACGAGGGTTCCACGTGGGTTGCACCAGGGTTCCACCAGGGTTCCACGAGGGTTCCACGAGGTTCTGCGAGGGCTGCGGGTGGTGCCGCATGCTGTTAGGGATATCACCTGAGCGTATTTTACTTTTGCCACGGGACGTAAGCAAATGGAGGTTATGGATTTGTTTAGGGGAAGGCACAGCGGTTCCTCCATTTGCTTGTTTGGAGCCTCCAAAGTGTCAGTTTTAGCGAAAACCACCACGAACGTTCGTCCCAGTAAATTGCAACTTGTGAGGAGGGGAAATCCAGTGACCCCTGAAGGTAGGTGTTCGAACCGCAACTTCCTCAAGGTCGTGTTCATTTGTGTCATCCAGCTGGTGTTGATTGATTGATTGAGTTCCAGCAAATGACGCCGCATCGCCCGATGCTGAGTGAAGCCCTTGAACTCCCTTTTCCTTGATCCACCGGCGCACTTCTCCTACTGCTCGATCCAGAGCACCTTGCCCCGATGCATCATGCGTAAGAGCCCCACCCTTGGCTTGACCCATTTGTGCCGTGGGAATTGAAGCCTGTCGCATCTCAGTGGCCAATGCAGGAGGTTCAATTTGGGTGGGATAAAAGAGGGCTTCCGTTGTTTTGGCGTCCCACTGCTGATTGGGATTGGGGATTTCCCCCGTTTTGAACAACCCAGTAAGTCGGGCACGGTTGGCTTTCCAACTAGCCAGGCGAGGGTTCCATGTTCCATCAACAAGAATACTATTCAGTCAGCGAAGGACTGGGGTTCAAGCCGTGCTTTCAACATGTTGCACCAACTAGCATTTGAAAAACCCTTTGGTACACGATGTTTCTGGATCCCACCCCTCAAGGAAAAGAGAACCTAGCATGGGGTGGTTTCCTTTCAAGGGCACCAGCGGCTTTTCGGGGGACCAGCGGGAGCGGATGTCGAGATCAGACATCGGTGTCCTTTTTGGTTGGTTGGTTGGTTTGCCCTGGGTTTATTACCCATTTGCCAGGGAAACCCATCGATTTTTCCGAAAGGCCGCCTATGAGATCAGCCTGACATCGAGTCGAAGCCTTGGGCGTCTCGCTCGAAAGGCGGCTTCGTGGAGAGCTTTGCCTTTGGGGGCGGCGCGCCAGAGGAGCGAAGCGATGGAGGGTTCCTCGGGTGGGTGGGTGGCTCGTGTGGAGAGCTGATAGAAAAAGACGAAGGCTAGATTCTACTACTGCTATTGAATCTTTAGACTCTCTTTTTTGGGATTCCCCTCATGTTTGCGTTTAACCGGCAAAAAGTTAAACTTTTCACTTTTTGCTGGGGGATCTACAGCACCTCAAGAAGATGTTGGGATGCCCCTAGAGGAAACCACCAGCGGCGTTAGTTTTCCGATTCAGCACCCTTCACTTGCATTTGCTTAAGCCCCCTGGGAAAATATAAACCAGCAGTGACAGCTTTCCTGTAAATCCGACACGATAAGAACAACTATTCTTGAGAAAATCAAAGTTCAGCAAGAGCACCCTCCAACACATCTCACCCTGCCGCCATGACGAGTCCATTGCCTTCTTGCTTTTACCTCAGGCCCCTCAAACAATCGCCAGTTAACACAGCCGTTTCATTATCCCATGGACTTGTGCTCGTTTCTTTTCAGCGCACGGGTTGAACTCCTGCAGCTTGTGAGTTGTTTGTGAGCTCTGAGTGGGATACAGGCATATTTCTAAGCCCCTCCCCGAGGCCAAAAGGCCAATAGCTGTTTTGAAGAGGGAAGTGAAATTGAAGAACGTGGTGTGTACTGGGTGTGTCCCCAGAACATTGGCATGGCGCGGCTTACGAAACCCTTACAGAAAGCGAAGCAAAGGCCAAAACAACTGCCAAGCACAGGCAACCTCTGCCAGACCAGGTGATCTTTTCGGGCCCGACACATTCGGACTCCTTAAATGGAGCCGAGCAATCCGAATGGATCATAGGAATGGATCCATCCTACATCCTCTCACTTCCTGAGTTGGTGGACCTTAAACTGTTTGGGCTTGGACCATTTTAGTGGTAAATATCAAGTTTGGACTTTTTTGGGCCCATCCACTCAGCAAGTGAGTCCTACTTTTACTTTGGCATCGCAGAAAGTAGTTGCAAATGGCCCAGAACCATGAGGAGACCACTGGGGCGTTTCAAGGCCTTTGCTCCGGAACCCTAGCAACACGCAGTGAAACTTTTAGTTGCCCCCAGGTTCCTTAGGGCCATCTTTAGGTTGTTTGCCAGGTGGCAACCAAAGAAGAAAGCAAGGTTCCTTACAGGGTTTCCTCCATTTGCTTTGTTGGAACCTCCAAAAGTGGCGATCCTTTCAACGGAAACCACCAATAAATTGATCAACTTCATGGAAAATCCAGCGACCCCTGCAAAATGGTGGGTTTCCTTCTAGTTTCCCTGCGCACCCACCCCCCACCCAAACGGGTACCCCCCCCCCTCCCCCCCGCCCAAAAAGAAGCATACACATAAAGGAGCCCCCCCTCATGGTTGTTGTTGGGAAACATTTTACATTTTGGCTTACTGTGGTTTTGAAATCCAACCACTTCACTGCTAGACTTTAAATCTGTGCTCCCCTTCCAACGTCAACCATGCGGCCCTGCCCCCAGAAAAAAACGGGTACCCCCCCCCCCCCCAACAAAAAACCTCCCCCCCAAAAAGAGAAAGGAACCCCCCCCCCCCCTGCCGGCAGGGGGAAGCCCACACCAACCCCCCTCCAGCGGTTTGACCCCACAGGACTTCCGCGGCTCCGAGGCGGAGCTCTTCCTCGCGGCGCCCAGGGAGCCCTTCAGCTTGTCCAAGGCGGGCGCTGGGCGGGGCGCCTTCCCACTTCGCTCGGCGAGCGCTCGAGCTCGAGCTCCGTCTACGGTCGTGCCGTTTTTTTTTGGTTGGCATTCTTCGGGCTCGACTGCTAGTGATGGTTGGATCTTTGGACTTGGACTTTTTGGTTGAAATCAAGTTGGGTGTTCCATTAAACCCCCTAAAAAGTGAAACTTTGTGCAGGGGGGTCCACAGCAACCAAGTTTCAGGTACCCTCCTGCCCCACATCGCAACTTGGTCCCCCAGCTAGGTGCCCTTTCTCACCGTTTCTTTTTTTTCGGTTGGGATGGCAAAACCCGCAAAACGTCAGGTTCCATGGCAACGTGGAAGGGAGGATGGGGTTTGGAGCTACTGCTGATGGCTGCGAAATCCATCCTACGCACCTCCGTTCAGAAGCCCAACCGTTTGCGATTCGATTCCCCCAACGTAAATACAAAGAAATTCAATGGTTTCAACGTCATGCATGGTTTCAAAGTGGTGCGATTTTTTCCGTCCACAAAAACGACTACCGATGGTAAGCACCAGCACCTCCAAACCACACGCGAGAATGCCCGATGGAGTCTGGTCGACTTTTAGTTGCGCTTCCAACAGCTTGCGACGGCCAGTCTTTGGGAAGTCGTTGGATGTCAATTGGGCCCTCAAGTGGGTGTCTAGCACAAGAAGGGACCCTAAAAAAGTTCGGTTCTTGCTTAAGTTTTTTTGGAGCCTCTCAGAAACAGACATCCTTCTGAAGGGCTGGTTGATTTCGATCGGGGAGGGGTAGTGGCCCCTTTTAGTCGTTGAATCCGGATCATGTTTGGCCTACACCCTCCTACAAATAGAACAGGTTATCCATCGAGACGAAGGGGGTAGACGATGTTCAGACTAAACCCACCAAAAACAAGGCGCAAGAATGCGTCAAATAGGCGTCTCCCAACCTAGCAAATAGGCGTCTCCCAACCTAGCAAGGCTGGGGAGGTTCAGAAAAATGCGGACAAAAACACGAAATTCCCACTGTCTTTACGTGGTTGAACAGAGCTCCCAACAATGCTTTGCTCCAGGTTCAACGTCATGCGCGTTTTTGCGAGCTAGCCTTCTTTCCTGTTCGAGGCCGAGCTGTTCAGCTATTTGCGGAATACTAGGCTCAGTTGCCCAAAGCCGAGCTTTTGACCTTTTGGTCTTCCCATTTTCTTCCATTTTAGTAAAGGTCCTAAAAGGTCCCAAAAAGGTCCCAAAAGGTCCCAAGGTCCCAAAAAGGTCCCAAAAAGGTCCGGAAAGGTCCCAAAAGGTCCTAACAAGGCAAACCTTCTAGATCCAGGTCCTTTGGGCAAGTGAGGTGCAAGGGACAAGTTGTGGTTTGGATTTGAATCGGTTCTTAGCAGAGGGTAGATGGCCTCAGCCACCCTCCGATTTGGCTCCAAACCTCACGACGAGGGAAGCTGAGCCTCTCAATTAACACATGACCAGGTGCTTTCGTTTCATGTGCCGGTGCCCAACCTAGAGGTTTTGGCCCAGCGTGGTCAAAATGCCCCCATTTCGGACCCCGCCCCCGTTTGCCGCCATGGTTTTTGGATACTGCAGATACCATGCCCCTCCCCCCCCAATTTTGACCCCCAAGTGAAAAGCCGTTACCCAGTTGCCCAGTGGCGCACTGCTTTCCTTTTTGTGGGAGGGGGTACCTCAAGAAAAGATGCCCCTTTTTTCCCATTTTCCCATGGCCACTGGGCATCTGAGCTTGATCTGGCCGTCAAGAGGGCCAGTAGCTGATCCCTAGCCCCCTTTCAGGGTCCAGTGGAACTTGCTGAGTCGGCCGCTCCGAGCCGCGCGCCCCTGCCAGGCAGTGGGAGTAAGCAGCGCTGGGGTGTCTGCTGCCGGACTCCCAGCTGGCCAAAACCGGGTCGCCTCGAACTCATCCTTCCATGTGTGTACTCACTTCTTGAGTTCCTGGAGTTTAGTCACTTGTTGGGTTTGGACCATCTTAGTGATAAATAGAAAGCTTGGACTTTTGTTGGGCCGTCCACTCGGGAAGTAAGCTTAAGAATTTGGGATTCTCTAAAGCAAATGTCTCCGAAAAGCATCACCCCTCCCCAAGCAAATATTCAGCCTGAAGCAATATGGGCGAGCCTCCACAATGGTTGCCTTTAAACGAGAAAACTTTTTCGGCCGGGCACAGGGGTTTGGTCTACTTTTCTCACTTCCCCGGTTCTGCGAGGGGGGGTTGTTTGTCCCCAGGGTCTCCCAAAGATACATCTGGGTAGGTAAACAATCACACGAATACTAGCTGATTTCCGAGGATCCGATCCCTTGTGCAGGCGGTTGTTGGATGAATCCTTCTGCTGGAACCTGCGAACGAACCCTCCCTACTTTGTCAGAAGCTGGAGTTGGCTCCCTTTCGTCTACCACGGGGATGACTTTGACTATGATAAGCAGCATTGGGATCCTTCCACTTGACAACCCCAAAAAGACAGTTAATATGTCCAGTAAAATATTGCATTGCGATGAAAGCATACCAACTGCTTATTCTGCCGAGTAAGTCTAGAAATCTCCATGAAGCCTTTCTTGCTTGCTCGGGTTTTTGGACTTGTTTGGCTGGCGGTGTTGCCACTCTTTCCCAACAAGCAGTTGGGGGACTTGCAGGTGTTCAAGCGCCAGCCAGCCATGCGCTCTGATCTTGCGCCTTCCGCGGGTCGTGGAAACATGGTTGGAATGTTGGGAAACATGTTGCATCATTGCATATTGTTGTGGTTTAGTGGTTGGACTCCAAGCACTTAGCTGCTAAAATTCTAGGGCTTGATTGGTTTGATTCCCCATTCTTTTCAAAAACCGGCCGTTTTCCCTGGGTTTCCGAAGGTATTCTAGAATGAAGGATCCCTGGAAGGAATGGAAATGGAAGGTACCCCTAGCACCTTTTGTTTTGAGCTTCTGCCCCCCCATGTGCATTTTCCCGGTTGGCTGAGAGGGAGCCAAAGATACCCCTAGAAAAATGTAAATCTTCGCTCCTCCAACGTCCACCACGAAAAGCATTCTGGTCTGGCACCCGAGGCCGTGACCCAGATTCCACTCCACGGCAGCGTGAACGTGGCGAACCTCAGCCCCAGGCTTGCGGAAGTGCGTAGTGCACGTGGCTTGCGGATTGCGGATGGCTGGGTTGGTCTCTACCCCTTACCTAGGTCCCCCAGTTTGGTGCCTTTCTCACACCTTTTTTGGTTGGGGTTTTGGGTTCCCCTGCTAAAATAGACCTCAGAAAAAAATCGGGTACACATATTCTATCCTCTCTATTGGAGGACCTAGTTTGTGTCTAAGCCTCGAAATGGGTGGCGTTTTTGGTAGGTTTTGCGTTTTGGACCAACCCCAACAAGGACACCCGCTTGGATCACACCTTTTGAAGGGTTGCCCCAAACCCAGCAAGCAACAAGCCACTGAACAACTACACCAACCATGTTTCGGGGTCATTGGGTCCTTAAGGAATCCTCTTGGGTCCATTGAAGTGACATCCTAAAAATTGCCCTCTAAATCGGGCTGTTCAAAAGCAATCCGCAAGATCCTTACCCAAAGGGGTATGACAGGATTTGGTTCCCTTTGTTGTCGATTTCCAGGCATTAGGATTAGCAAGCATGCCATTTCTTGAACGCTACGGTTTGATGGGAGGCCACCACCAAAGTGCTTTTGAGAGTCCCGAGAATGATAGTTCCCCATTCCAAATGTTCCAGGGGGATCCTTGCTAGTGTTTCACTTCCTGAGTTCATGGACTTTATACTTTTTGGGTTTGGACCGTTTAAGTGCTAAACAAGAAGGTTCGATATATACCTTTCCTGGCAAACCCACACTCAGGATGAGATTGTAGGGATCCCTGACTGAACCCCACATGTATGAATCTAGGGGTTTTCAACCATCGTTTCCAAAAACTGGCCGGCTTCCCTGGGTTTCCGGAGGTTTTCCAGAAAGATCCGGTTTGTTGGGTTCAATGGAAGGTACCCCTATGTTGGCTCTCCATGTTTCCTGGTCTTAGACGGCACCTTTCCCCGCTGCTTTTTGGGCGGGGCGGCGGTCGGTCCGATCGACGGACTGAAACCTGCGCAAGGTCCGACTACTGGGCCATCCCCTCCGAGCGCTTCGGGAAGGCAAGCGCAAGCAACCTGACGCAAGACGCGAAGGCTTCTGAAACCTTCTGGGGGCTTTTGAGGGTAATTACTTGACTAGGTCCCCCAGCTAGGTGCCCTTTCTCTTCCCTTTTTTGGTTGGTTTTGGGTTCCCGTACTAAGATAGACTACAGAAAAAAAGAAGACAAAAAGTCGGTATCCTTATTCTAACCTCTCTACTGGAGGACCTAGTTGAAGGGCAGGGTACTTAAGTGGTCATCTTGCTGGTGCGATAAGTAGGGAATGAGAATGGAATGAGCCTGCAAATTTCCTTAAATGATGGTTGATAGGGGTCATTCCATGTCTCATTCCCTGACAAAGTACCTCAAGGGGATAACCCCAGGACCGCTTCCAGACGCTGCGAATCCAACATGTGATGGGATATTTGGTGGGCGGCTCAAACATTTCGATTGTCTGATGCTGTCCCCCGGTTCACCGTTGGCAGCCACGGTTTCGAGTACCCTTGACCGCGCCGACTTTTGCCTTTGACCTGCAGGAAGTAGTGCAGTGGTGCCTTTGAAATCCCTTTTGGCCTTGTGACATCTCACAAAAACCTCACTCCCCCGAGCTCCTGGACGTTGTACTCTTTCAGAGGGCCATGTTAAGCAGTTTGGTGACTCCTTTGTTGCCACTCGAAACCACTTAGAAACGGAGTGAATTGCAAAAAAGGGTTTCACCTCTTCTTCCGGACAGGAAGTCGCTTCAGGCGTTCACTGCGCAGACCCCGGGTTGACCAAACCTGTCCTCTTGGAAAGCCGGGGGGTCCCCTGTGCACCGAGCCATGTGGCGTGGGCCAGTTAGACAAGACGAGCTGCCATCGGGCTGCCTCCTTTACTTATAAGCTTAGGCAGCCTTGCCGGAAAATGGCTGCCCCCCCCCCCCTTAAAGCGATTCCGGTTTCTTTCAACCTCTTGTTTTCCCTGTTCGGTTGATTTAGCTGCTTTTTTTGCTCGGCCCAATTGAACACCTTGTCGCTTTTTCTGAGGTGATGCTTCAACGGGAATATACGTACAAAGACAGATGTCAAGAAACGGACCATCACAGGAATAGCCCCAACCCAAACATTTGTCGGGCAAAACGACCACCGCCGCCGTCTTCCTTCCACCGGCATCGGAATGTGATGGCATGCGGTCATGTAGTGATTCAGAGCCGGAGCTTGATTGGCCTGGCACTATATGAGTAAGTATTTGTGTTCGTATCAACACGTGTTTGAGGTTCGCGTGCCTTTCCAGGGACTGCCCTTCTGGGCTCCATTGTTTTGTGGGGGGGGGGCAAACCCTGGACAAGCCCCTTGCCTAAGGGGAGCAATTGCAAGCTATCAAGGGTTTGCCAGACCCCCGGCCTCTGGACCATAGCCCTTCAGGTAAAGCCCCGAGCAAGCAAAGGGTAAAAGAAGGGTTAGTTGACCCGCAAAGACTGAAGTGTCATGTTTATGTTTTTGGGAACGCTTTCAGTGAAAAAAATGAGCAGCACCCAACAAATCACATTTCTCATTTTAGTAGGTACACATTAAAGCAAAGGATTGCAGTAAGGCCAACCGTCAAAACTGGTTTGGGGCGCTGCTCAATTGGTGCCTAGGGGCCATGAAGACCCATTGGCCAAACTCCTGCCATGGCTCCAGGTCAAAGGGCAACATAGTTTCCCCCTGTTCATCATGCTTTCGTCATGGCCCCCTCCTACTGTGGATGGTCGAAATCCAGTTCGCACCACCTAAGAACCCATGACAAACCGTTGTCTGTTGGGTATTTGCAGAGGAATCAAATCATTCCACGGTTGCTTGTGTGATGCAGGATCTCGTCCATCCAGCGAATGAGATCTTGGCGCCCAGGTACTTACAACTTGGGGGATGGCGGAAACGTCGACGCCCGGCCATGACCAGCCCCTTTTGGGCGGGTTTAAGAGGCAATCCTCAAGTATGGCTGGCTTTCCCTTGGACCAACCAAGAGTGGTTTCCCTAAGACACTCATACATGTGTATATATGTTTGCTAATTTTGCTGCTTTCACGCTCACCCTCCGATGCAGGGGGATGTAGATTGATCCTTTACTTGTCGATTGTTTAATTCTGGTTTTGGACACGTCTTGTTTCCTTTTTGAGGGGTGTTGGAAAGGGAGGTCAAAGCGGACCCACTCATTTGTAGTGCGTTCCCCCATGCAATGACACATGCAGACACAAGTATATATTACATATATGGGTGGGGTGCATGAGAGCCCTGCAACTCCGCCTTGCTGGTCAGTTTGAGAGGAACAACGGGGGTTCTCTCCATTTGAGTCGGGTGTTGTTCATTTGTCCCTTCCAGTATCATGGCATTTCGGCCATGGCATTGCCTCACCTTTTTGCGAGCTTGCAGGGGCCGTTTGAGGGCTGCCTGTTGGTTTGCGAGGGCCTAAATTCGATCATGATGCCAATGGACGTGTTCCTTGGCAAATTTTCCTTTGACACATTTGGGGATCACACCCAAAGGAGGGGAGCCTGCCGTGAGCCGTAACAAAGCAGGAGACTTCTTGTACATGTGGTTTGCTGGAGTCCAGTATCTCAGTGGGCACCGTTTGCAGGATCTTGTAGACGTGACTGTATTGCAACCGCAGGACATATTTGCTTTTTTGTCCAGGCGGCTCGTAGAAGCAAATGGAAGTAGTAGTAGTAGTGGTGGTGGTGGTGGTAGTAGTAGTCGTAGTAGTCGTAGTAGTAGTAGTAGTAGTAGCAGTAGTAGCAGTAGCAGAAGCAGAAGCAGAAGCAGTAGCAGTAGCAGTAGCAGTAGCCATGGCAGTAGCAGTAGCAGTAGCAGTAGCAGTAGCAGTAGCAGTAGCAGCAGCAGCAGCAGCAGCAGTAGCAGTAGTAGTAGTAGTAGTAGTAGTAGTGGTAGCCGTAGTGGTAGTAGTAGGTTGTCCGTTTGACTGGCGAATAGCACCAAGAGCCAGCGCCTGAAGGACAACAGCGGCGTGCTGGCAATGCTGCAACGCAGGGCCAAGCGGGTGGTGTGGGTCGCTTGGCGAGGAGACGGCTGCTGCATGATGGCTGTCGGGGGGCTGTCGGGGTGAATCATGGTGAGTAACAGCTAGAGTTCCCAGCAAATAGGTACCGCCAGCACGTTGTTAGGTGAGGTGATTTCAACCTGGACATGGGGGTTATTAGTTCAGGTGATTTCAACCTGGACATGTCCGAAATCCACAAGTGGGGGTCCATGTGCTAGATTGTTTCTCCGCTGGGTGCCTCCGCTTGGCTGATTGGGGTAATGATAGAGTAGTGGAGCCGCACGTCCCAGTTCTTCAGCGGAGCAGATCCCTGGTTCCCGACTGCAAGCGGCAGGAAGCCCAGAAAAAAGTTGGCAGCCTTATTCTGACCTCTCTACTGGAGGACCTAGATGTGAGAAGGGAGGCTCAGTCCTTCCGTGAACCTGTGGAACCAGCTCCAGAAACCCTGGTGTCTGATTCGAGCCCCCAACGTAGATATGGCTGTGGGTCAACGCCAATGGTAACATGTGCTACCAAAAGCGGACTGGTCATCCCAGAAGACCACTTTTTCCTCTAACCGGGACCCTCTGCTGGGTTTTAGGGGGGGAGGGGGGGACACTCAAATAAGACCTTAAGGCTTCTTCCCAGAATAGGGCATTGGGGCTTAGTGGTTTTGGCAGCCTGTGACGGCCAATTCAAGTGTTTCCCCCCTTTGGCTCAACATAGTGCACTCTGTACAAAGATTGACTGAACCTTTGGCCTGGTGCAAAATTTGGAGAGCGCTCTATGTCTGCCTGATTTGCCTCGCTGGAGTTGCTGTGGCTTGCCCAAGTCTCCAGCGCCATGGGCAAAACTGGTTGAACCACGGCCCTGCTGGCCTGAGATGAACTAAACGCACCGCCGTTTCGTTTTCCGTTTCGCCCTGGATCGACCAAAACGCAACGGTGGGTTGCCTAAGGGAAATTGGTTTGACACTTTTGGCTAAAGTTTGTCTAAACGGATTTTCGGACTTTCCACTAAGTCTTGGGTTTGGTTGTCACTTTTAGTGGCCTGGACAAAGCAGTTAGGAGACTGTTTCTGGATCCAATCCGCTCGATCGGAAGGTGGGTAAAAGGAGGCAACATGATTTTTACCAGTGAGTTGGAAGGTGACGCCACCTGGAGCCTGAAACAACCATTACAAATGGTTTCTCAAACTGCCATTCTCCGTCAAGAAGGTCTTTTTTGTGGGAACCGGCCTTTTGGCAAATCTCCAAATGGTTGTTGCAGGTTCCAGGCACTGCCTATCCGACCCAGTCCCGCTGTTGGCGTCTCTTTAGCGTTGGGTGGGGGGGGGGGGGGTGGGGGGGTGGAAATACTTTTGCTTATGCTCACTGAACATGAACCATCTTCAAATGGAGTTGTGTTTTTCTTATACTCGCTGGGTGGCTCGTCCTTTTTGTGTGGGTACCCCTTTTGGTTGATGTTAAAGGCAAACTAACGGAAAACTGACCAGTTTGGGGTCCCCCTATTTTGAGACACTCACCGAACATGAACTTCCTGGACCTTCAATATTCCCCACACAAATTGGAAGTTCCAGCAAAAGGCAAATCATTTTCCCTGACCCAGAAGCAGGTCCAGAACTGTATATCCCCTACGGCCATACACCCAATTTTCACTTTTTTGAGGGTATCATAGGGCATGATGTCAACCCCTGACAACAAGTGAAGATATTGACCGTGGAGAAGCTGGTTCTTCAAAAGCCAACCTGCAGAAGTTTGGTATTTGTTGTAGAGGTATACGCTACTGTATGGCTATTCGGTAGCGGACCTTAGGAGTTGAACTTTTTGGCTGAAACAGCTCGGGTTTTCCGAGTTGGGCCCACAGTAATCTAACAACTTTTCGCAGAGGGGTCAACAGTAACCAATACTATTTCATGTACCGGTTGTTCATCCGGATGAATGCGTGGGTTTGTCGCACGCTTCAGGTGATCAACAGCGGGGTGACGTTGCCCGAGCCCGACATGTGCGCCTTAGCTTCAATTGTGTGGACAAATATTCAGTTGGCAGGTTTTGGTTCTTAGGATTTTGTTCACTTTTAATTTGTGGGCTGCAAAACACAGTGAGCTTGCTGTTACCATACTAAGGGTTGGAAAGACGTTCCAAAGCAATCGCACGCTTGTTTTGGGGAACCAAGGTGTTGGGTAGACGGGGGGTGCCCTGACTTCTCGCATGCGTATGCGGGGGTAGTTCTGTTCGGACATCTCTGACTTCCGTAGCACTGCAAGACACACTTTGACATATCGCTGGCCAGAAGCGCGAGTATGTGGTCTACGGCATGTGTCATGTGGTGGCAGCCTGGGCACAGCTTGCGCAAAGCCAGGAATTCTGGAAGTAGAAGGAGTGCGCGCAGCAGCTCGCAGACACCAACATGACGAGCGCCCGCGCAGCGCGCAAGCAAGAAAGTTTGCGAAGATGAAGGTTGTAGCTTAAAGCTCCACTCTCAAAACGCCCGCCGCAGCAGCCCAAGTGCATGGAGGGCGCTGACTTTACGGGTGCGCTGCTGAAAAAGTAGCTCCGGCGCAGCCGGCTCTTGTCAGAATCGCTCCGACCTCAGCATCCCAGCGCAGAGAGTGCGAACACATGACCTTGCTAGTTGATCGGGTGAACGGTTGGTTCAACGTGGAAATCCACCTGTGAGCTTTGTTCACGCGCACGTCCAGGGGCTTTCTGGAGCGCTTGTGCTTGAGAATATCCTGCGCCGAAAAGGAGGTTTGCCCAACACAACATAGACCACGCAGACCTCTCTTGGCTTCTCGCGGCTCCCGAAGAGCAGCAACCTACAGCTTGAGACCACAAAAGCGCGCGTGAGAAGCGCCATGTCTGGCAACGCTGCGTATCCGAGGTCCTAAACACGAGTACGCAGGTTTGCCAGCATTGGAAGACGCTAGTTGGCCACAAACCCATAGACCACAATTATTGGTGGTGCGTTTGCATACTCCGGACTTCGCGTCCTCTGCGCCTGCGCCCCGGTCCGGGCCAACCCCCGTCAGCCCAACGTGTTGTCAGTGCAATGAACCAGGGTTCCTACCAGGGGTTTGTTGTTTTCCGAAGTCTTTTGTGTTGCCCATTTTCAGTAGAGAGCCCTGCTAAACGTAGGGGGTCATTGAAACCCAAGTTTGGAAAGGAACTGTTTGACGCAAACATGGTCCTTTGCCTCAGCCAGACTTTGACTTGATTACATTCGGCCACATGAAAAGCTGACCGCCTTTGCTGTTCCGCGCTTTTTGGGTTGCAAGTGAGAAGGACAAGATGTTCACGTGAAGGTGATTGCCGTTTTGCCCTGTCCGCGGAGAAGTGAGGTACGCGTAGGTGACTGGAGTCGGGGGTGCAAACTCCTTTCTCATTTTTGCAAGTTCTGGGCATGGTATCACATGATGTCGGCGGTCCGACAGTGTTCCTGCCTTCGACGCGCCCGCGCTTGAATCGTCCATTTGCTGAAATGAATATGTGTCATGGCCGTGATTCTTTTGAGGGGTCTGTAACAGAGCCGCGGCGGACATTCGTTACAGACCTCGTTACACACCTCAGATGAAGAAACCGCTTGGCTCGTTGCATGCCCCTCGTTACATACTCCAACGCATGGACAAACGCTCAGTGATTTCCATGGTGCTGCTTTTGCTGAAAAGTCAACTTGCAGAGAGCTTGCCAACAGGGGCAGTTAGACCTCGTTACAGACCTCGTTACATAGCCATCACATGCCTCGCAGCAGACCGGGCAGCGACCCCCCTTTTTGTTGCAGCTTGGCTTGCTTTGAATAGCTGCAATCAAGTTGGAGCTGCGGAGGCGCGCTTTGCATACTGCGCTTTGCTTTGCTTCGTTACAGACCTCGTTGCATTGCCGTTACATACCTTGTTACAGACCCAACCCCAGCCTGCAGCTTGGCTTGCGTTGAATAGCTGCAATGAGCTGGAGCTGCGGAGGCGTGCTTTGCGTACTGCGCTTTGCTTTTCCTTGTTTGCACGGCTGTTACATACCTCGTTACAGACGCAACCCCAGCCCGGGCCCGCTGGAGCTGCGGAGGGACGCTTTGCATACTGCGCTTTGCTTTGTTTCGTTACAGACCTCGCTACACAGGCGTTGAGCTGCGGAGGCGCGCTTTGCATACTGCGCTTTGCTTTGCCTCGCTACAGACCTCGTTACATAGCCGTTACAAACCTCGTTGCAGACCCAACCCCAGCCCGGGCTTGCTGGAGCTGCGGAAGCACGCTTTGCATACTGCGCTTTGCTTCGCTTCGTTACAGACTTCATTACATAGGCGTTACATACCTTGTTACAGACCAGCCCATGCTAGTGAACCCCCCTTTCTGCCATGGCTTCCGTTACAGACCTGCGTAGCAAGGGCCTCTGTTACAGACCTCCGTAACAAGATGCATGGCGCGTCGCGCGTTACAGGCCAAAAAAAATCATAGCCTGCCCTAGTTTCAAAGGCTAGGTCCCCCAGTACTACCCTTTCTCACCTTTTTTGGGTTCCGCTACTAATACAGACAAAAAAGAAAAGTGGGTACCAACTTATTCTATCCTCTCAACTGGAGGACCTAGGTTCCGAAATCCAAAAAGCAACGCACCACAAATGAAACCATGGGAAAGACAACCTTTGCTGGTCTTTACGTTGGGGAACCTTGTTGGGTGACAATATAAAGGACCCTTTTTGAGAAGACAGAACAGAGGAGGCTGGGAGGGTACCCCCGTTGGAGGTTGTAAGAGGGGAGCGATTTTTCACCCAAGCGGAGTCCGATTCGATTCGAGTGGCTCGAGGCGTGTTCTCGGAAGTGCCGGACGACGTGGTGAAGGGCATGGAGAATCAGCTCCGCGCGGCCTTCGGCTATTGGGCTGAGGACCGCGAAGCACGAAGTCAGGTTATGCGCAAACCCGGTGACATGTTAGTTCTTGGTGGCTCAGTGGGGAATGAGGGAATGAGCCGTTTTGGGGTCCCCTGAACAAAAAACACAACAAGTATTTCACTCGGTCCTCCAGTAGAGAGGTTCGAATAAGGGTACCCGTGTTTTTCTGTTTTGTTTATTTTGGTAGGGGAACCCTCCCAATCAAAAAGGGGTGAGAAAGGGCACTACTGGGGGACCTAGACAAAAACAGCTTATAGACAAACCCGGTGACATGTTACTTCCATTTGCTTAAGAATATTTGTTATTTTCCTCTGTTGGATTTAAAAGGAACCTATCACTGCTGGAGTTGTTTTTTGTTTATTTTCCAGGGGCCTTAAGCAAATGGAAGGTTCATTTTCTCACGTGCTCTTAGGGAAGGGCCACATGTTTTGGGAAGTCCAGGGAAGTTACTCTCCAAGCACATATGTTGAAATGACAGCGGAATGTGTGGAAGGCGGCGTGCCGGCCCTTGCAACTGAAGGTTATCTACGGATCTTCTAGGATTCTGCTTCTGGGTAAAAGGAGTTGCCCTTAGGTGATCACGGTTTATTTCCATGCCTTTGCGCAAGTGAGTTTTTCTTGGCTGGGCGAGCCATGGTTTACCCATGACGAGGTGACAAGGGGCAAGGCTGACCAAGGCTGACCAAGGCTGGCCAAGTGAGTTGGTGCTGCCTGCTTCCGTGAACTCCAGGATGACATCGGGGAGTTCCTTACTCAGAACCAGGCGGGGCCCCGAGCTTCCCTGCCCCCAGCCCGGAAGCTTTCGCTTACTGCAGCCTGCGCAAAAGCGGGAATCAATCCGCTCATTTGGGAGTAAAAACTAAGGTCATGTACAAAAACTCCCCTTCTTCCCGATTTGTACATGAAAGTGATTGAGTAAACTGGATCACCAATAGAAGTCGGTTTGCAAGAACAAATTTGTGGATTCCTGATCCATTGAGTCCCCAGGACTAAATCCGTAAACAAATCCATGAACTGCTGATGATTCAGAGCACTGGCTCCGCTCTCCGGAGCCCAGGGCCAGTGACACATTGACCTCTCTCTGCATAGAGTTCTTGCTATGGCTCGTTCTTAAGGCGATGCATCCAAGCCGTAGCCTCGATGTTCCCTTACACGTCACTTAACAACCCAAAGATTCTTTTGGGCTGGTTGAAAATGAAAACCAAGAAACAGTCCCCATGATGGAACTCTGGGGAGAGGACCCCTTTGCAAAGAAGTTGGCCGAAAGTGGAGTTGGACCAAAACATCTAGTCCACGCCGCAGGTTTGGTAGCCTTATCTTCATTTTCCAGAAGCCCTGGTTTCGAAACCCTTGCCCGGAGCCGCTCATTTGGGCAGGATGGTGCTGGGGAAAAAGGGAAGGAACCCACTAGCTGCTAGCTGTGCTGGGGATCCTTTAACAGGGGTCGCTATATTCCCTTTCCGGATGCATTCCCTACATCACCCTTGAGTGTGCCAGAAAAACTGTGCCATATGTGTCCATTTTAACAAGAAACCCGCGTTTCGCACCATGTAAGAAACCCAACGGAATGATTCGATCCTCTGCAGATACCAACAAACAATATGTTCCCCATGGTTTCTTAGGTGGTGCAGGATTTCGCCCCCCACAGAATTAGCCGCAAACAACAAGTTTGCTTAGAAGGTGTTTAGGCTAGTGTGGGTATATAGAAACAATAAGTTGGTTCCACTGGTGACGGGCTTTGCGTCAATCTACCAGGGAAACCCGAATCTGTTACAAGATTGGCAGTAGAAGTCGGTTTGCAAGAATGACCTCACCTATGGCACAGTTCCTTTGGCACACCCAAGGTTTGTAGGGAATGCAACCGGAAAGGGAATATAGCGAGCCCCATTAAACTTGGTGGCTCCCATCCGTCCCCTTGGCTTTTCAGCCTTTTTTGTGTTTAGTGGTTGGATTTCCGAATTTAACCCACTAAAAGTTAGTCACTCTTAGCGGGGGATCTGAAAACGGACAGCCCAGTAAAGGATGCCCAACACAACTGTATCTTGACCGCTAGTGGGTTGGATCTTTGGACTTTGACTTTTCGGTTGAAATCAAGTTGGGTTTTCCACTAACCCCTTAAACAAGTTACACTTTTTGCAGGGGGGTGAACAGCAACCAAGTACACAAACCCGGTGACGTTTGTTATTTTTCTCACGTGCTCTGAGGGAAGCAGGTACTCTCGTGCATGGAAACGAAAGCTCTTGAGGTTTTTTCGGATAGCCTTCAGCGCGCGAGAGGTCTTCGCGCGGGAGGAGCTACAGCCTTTGCTCTGCCAGCTGCAGACTTTGCAGCGGCAAGGCAGGCCCACGCTGGCGCAGCGTGACCTTCGCGTGCTGCCGAACCGCGCCTCGGGCTTCATGTTCGCAGCTTCGCACCTCAAATTAACCAGTTGGGATTTTATATCCCCGAGTTCCTGGACTTTTTGGGTTTGGTTGCCATTTTTATCTTAGGAGCCTTTTCAGTTCAGTCAGGAACTGAGTGGGTTTGTATCCCATTGTGGTTGTATGGCTTACTTCCTGAGTTCCTGAACTTCAGTCACTTGGGTTTGGTTGCCATGTTAGTGGCAAACAAGAAGGTTTGGTTGCTGTTTTTGAACCATCAACTCAGGCAGTGAGTTAATCTGTAGGGAGATCTCACGACTTTCGCTTGGGTCCTCGAGGCTAATCCGAAGCTAGCAGTTCTGAGGGGGAAATCAGAGTGTCCCGGAGGCATGAGTGGTGAGGGTGGTTGGGGGTAAGTGCAACTATTTGCCAGGTTCAGCTGTTTGCCTTCTGACCAGAAACCAACAGATTGCTGAAGAGAAACAAACACTCGGAGGACATTCACACATAAACTGCTTGTGCATACTTGGTGTTCCCGCATTTTTTGTTTCAACCAGCCAGCACGCAGGCACAACTTGTTGCACTGGATCTGTATTTGCGCTTCGGTTGTTGTTGTTGTCCCCTGATTTTAAAGCATCTATCGCTGGAAATATGCTCATGTGGAGATCCAACAGCTGGGCAGATGAGGTGCAAAGGGACTGTGCGGCTCAGGTTGGTGGGGGATTCCAGGAGGTGACCGAGTGCAGGTGACGCTTGGCCCAGTCCCTGATTTCGACGGGAATGTGGAGGTCCAACTTGTCCGAGACCAAACGGTTACATGGCTGCGGGTCAAAACAAATGGTACCATTTTGGGGTAGGTGCACCACCCATTTTAGTCTATTTTACTGGGGATTGGGATGTTCACTGGGGGTACCGGATTTTGACCCATGGCCATATTAACATGACCTACCCTCCCGGAACCTGAATGGAAGCCTCTCAAGCAATTTTTGTTCTTCTCGGGGCTGTCAGGTTCCATGCTACTGGAGAATGTTCGATGATTTCCTTGTGGAACCACCACGCAAATACCTTTCAGCCACATTCTAAAAAGTTCCCGTATGCTAATGCAGCTGCCTGCATTTGCCCTTGCAGTGAATGTAAAACATTACCTGTTGGGTCGCTTGTGGAACAGTTTCTTTTCAGTGGGGTGATGGTTAAGTAGAAATACCGCAAGCTCCGTAGTTTTGACATATGATTTACTCGGAGGACCGCATTCAACCGACCCGCAAAAGAGTTTTCAACAAGAAGTGCTTCAGCCCTGCCTTTTCTACAACATATCCGTAAAATTAAGATGGAAGTCAACAAGCACCCCTCTAAGAGGAGATTCCTCTAGGTTTTTGCGTTTCCTTCCGTCAATCAGAAGACTAGATGTATATTCGTAGGTCGTTGGAGGGGTTGGTTAGGGTCCCTGACTCCCTGACAAGTTTGCCAGCGGAAGGCCTTTCGGTGGTCGACCAGGGTGAGCAGAAACCAGCACCAGGCAACCCCCCAAAAAGCGTGTGGATTTATACAGGGCGCCTTAAAAGATACATTTTGCCCATTTGAAACATGGCTTTTTCCACCAAAATAGAGGGAAACCACTGAAACCACCAGAAAACAAGGCAATGTTCAGGTGTATAATCTAAGGATCCCTGTTATCCCGGTCGCCCCCCTATTCTAATCCTACAATTAAGAGGCCAGTTTAACCAGGTCTTTGGAAGACTTGGGGGGTGTCAAAAAGGACGTGGTTTTCCTTTCGGTTTAACCTGCCAACCCTCAAACACACACCCATTATCATGTTCTCCGACCTGCTAAGAGTGGGGTTGCCATCAAGATCAAGAAAGGTGCAGTTGACTACCAGGTTGGTTCACCAACAGGATAATACATAGCCCCTTAAGAGGTAGGACATCATTTACTGTCGGTTTTCGTGCGGACAAACATCTAGAAAGCCCAGCTGGTATCTTCTGGATTCGTCTGAAACCCTCCCTGACACCAAATACTGTAAACGGTCACGAAATCTTTTTCGCACCACCGTTCAAAAAAGCGCCCTAAAGAATGAATCAACCCTCACTCAAAATAGGGGGACCCCCCAAAAATGCATTCCGGTTGTTCCTTTGGCTTTCCTACAAAGAGCAACAAGCAACAGGGTGCCCTCAGTAAAAAAAACACCGCCCTCATTTTCGGATCCCCCGATCCGACCCAAATCCGATCCGGCGTATCGTGCCGAGGGTGTTTGTGTACATCGACAAGTGCAGCGGCTTCGAGCGCCAGCTGCCACAGGAGACCTTCGACGCGATCCAGTCGCCCCTCGGCGCGCGTTCGGCGTGGGCTTTTCGGGTGGGGTGCACGGGGAAAGAAGTCTCTAGGTCCCCCAGCTAGGTGCCCGTTCTTTCACCCCTTTTTTTTGTTGGGAGGGTGCCCTACTAAAATAGACACACCTCTCAAATCTGGAGGACCTAGATCTGGTAAAAGCACCTGACGGGTCCTCTCAAGAACTTTCCCTTAACCACCTCAATGCCCGCTTAGTTTAGGGCAATGATGTCAACCCTAGAAGGCATTCTACCCTGGAAAGCCGGGTGTTTGCAAACAATTACCCTTAAACCAGTGGGTATTTGGAGGGGGTTTGATGTTCCAGGTGATTTCCCTCCGAAAGCCGCCATGTGGGAGGAATAGGTTTGATGTATTAACGGTTGGAGTGGTTGAATACACCGGTTGATGTGGCGCTGTCCCTGGATTTTGCTTTTGGAAACAAGACCACTTTTGGAGGACCCCCCCCCCCTTAAAACAACAGCCCCGGATTAATAAACCCCTGGTTGATGAATCGGGGGGTGTCCAATTCCTTTTCGTGGTTGGATTCAGACCACTTTTGGAGGGGTTTCCACCCTAATAATGGGACGGGTGGGGGAGGGGCGGCCATTCTGGGTGAATTGTAACGACCTCACAGGACCATACCCCAAATGGTGGTTTATGTGGGGAATGTCCCCCCCAACCACCTTACCCCCCTCCCCCTTAAGGTAGGGTCACATTACCCTGGGTCAACATTCCCCGAACCGATGGAGCAACCCAGGGGCTCTGATGGCTTCAAGCGCTTCCCCCACTTCCGCCCCGTGTCCGAGAACCACGGCAAGGGCACCGCCCCTTGGAGAGACGTGGCCGTGGCCTTGTTAGGAATGTCCAAGACCCAGTTTGTGTTTCTTGTCTTTTTTTTTGGTTTCTGGGGGTTTCCGATTTTTTAGTTCTTTGAGGTTTCCCAGTTTTTGTTTTTGGTTTGCGGTTTCTGGGGGTTTCGTTTTTTCAGGTTTTTTTGGGGTTTCCCAATTGTTTTTTTTGGTCTAGGTGATGGTTTCAGGGTTTTTTGGTTTTTACTGTTTTTGTTTGGATCAATTGGTGCGCTTTGGGTTTTCGGGTTTCCGTTTTGTTTGGTCTATGTGTAGTCATGGCCCCAAACAAGGTGAACACCTTCAATTTCTTTTTGCCCGTGGGCAACTAAGTCTTGGTTTGGGGTTTCCCTGTTACCCCATAGAACCAGCGCCTGAGAGAGAGGGAGTCAGATTGTTTTTTTGGGCGACTTTGGGGCATGGAGTCCAGGAACAGCCCTGCTGTGGATGGACGAAATCCATCCAACGCACCAGGTGAGAAACCCTGGGTCGGGGGTTGGGGGGTTGGGGGATTGGGGGGTGGGGGGTTGGGGGGTTGGGGGGTTGGGGGGTTGGGGGGTTGGGGTAAACACCCAACCAACAATGGTGTCCTATGGCTCCAAAGTGGTGCGAAATGGATTTCGTCCACAGTGGCCAAGGCGAGCTGGTTGGAAAGGAGCCGAATCGACGCGCTGGGACCCGCTAGCCACATTCCACGTAGCCGAATCGACTCGGAGTTACCGATCGGAAATCGAAGGTCCTGAACTGCAGAAACCCTATTGAAGCCCTCAACCATGAAGTGCTTAAAGAGTCCTGGACCCCATAGACCCCTAAACAACTCCAAAAACCAAAGCCCTCAAACCATGACACAAACATGGCGAGCAGTATGCGACCTGGGTTGCACGTGTTCTTGGTAGGGAACATTGCCAGGATTGGCGGCTGTTTAAACAACCACCCCTGGCACTTGAAAGGAAAACCAACAAGAGGTCCCGATGGCCGGACTTGCCAACACCCTTTTGGTTGTGAGGGTTTGCTTCTAAGCCCCTTACCCAGCAAATAACATAGGCACTAATTATAGCGAGCTCACATGGGGCAACATGGGTCACCCATGATGAAGGTCCCCTCATTGAAGGGGAGCTTATTTCAGACCGAGGATTGCGATTTCCGCATTCAGTATGCTTGCATGCCCTTAGTTGAATGGTCTTTGTACTTTCCGCAGCCGAAACTCGCTTCCCGAGTTCCTTCACTTTGGCCACTTGTTGGGTTTGGCCGGAAGTGAGAAAAGGGTTTCTTTCAAAACAACATGAAACCTGTTTCATGCCCCATTCGCCCCCCAAAACGCGGCCTTTAAAGTCGACCTAAGCTCCGTTGGGATTGGATGGGGGCCCTATTCGGGGGGAGCCTTGGCAACCAGAACCCACTCCAACCCCCGGCCCCGACCAAAATCCTGAGATCAGCTGAGGCCCTCACACACAAGCAGATCAATCTGCTTGCAGCCATGGGCGAGTACTTCGTGCGTGAGACTTGGCCTTTGGAGGGGCCCCAAAGAAATGCATCGGAGTGCGATTGATCTATTGGAATGAGCGGCCACATGGAATTTGTTAACCGCGGATCTAAGTAGAACCCCTGGTTGATTTATAGGGGGGTGGCCCCTTTTAATGGGGGGTTTATCACTTTTGGAGGGAACACACCACTAATGATGGGACAGGATTATTAATCCTGGGTCAACATTATTCGACCATTGCCAGAGCAACAACCACTTGCGGTGCTTGCGGTTTGGGCCTTAGTGCTGGTTCCGAAGCAGCAAGCAGTGAGCTTTTTCCGGGGGTCGAGGACATGCCGGTCCTATGGTTGTGCGTTGAGTGTGTGGAAACCCTCTTGTCAAGCTTGTCAGGCAGTATCGTACCCCTTAAAAAGGTGGCATATAGCCTCCATACCTCCAAAACCAGTTCCCTTCCGTTTTTTCCTGAAGATGTAGGGGGGATCAACAGATGAGCTCTACATCAAGGGCCATAGATCATAGGCTCGGTCAACTTGAATTTGTGTGTGCGGTTCCCATACAAAGGACATTCTCAGGAGGTAAGCCTGACTAAGCGCGGAGGTACATAATTACCATGAAACAAACTAGGTTGTTCCGAACACACCCTAAAAGAACGCAGGAATGTGGGAGCAGGAGGGGTAGGTCAACAGGTTTTTTGGCCGAACCACCCGATGGTTCCAGTGACATGACTTTCAGCTCAGGAGAACGAGCAGCTTTTCCGCTCCTTCTTGCGGTGATGGCCAGTGCCCTGCCGGGAGGGCCAGCGGCTCCCTGTGGACGGACGAAATCCATCCATTTCGCACCACCTAAGAAACCATAGGGAGCCATTGTTGGCTGGTGTTTTTAGAGGGGAATCAGCATTTCAGGGTTTCTTAGGTGGTGCGTTGGATGGATTTCGTCCATCCACAGGAGGACATGCCCACCCATTAAAATTCCATCCAAGTCATGTGGACTGGCTCAAGGGACCGGGAAAATGGGGTGTGGAAACATGCCACAGCTCAAAAAGGGGATGTGATCTTGGAATGTTGCCTTTGCCGCATTTGGTCACCCCAGACTCTCTTCAGGTTTTAAGTGATCAAAGTCCCCATGTGCGACCCCGGGCAAACTGCGGACGATGGGGAAATGGTTGGTCGAAGCCACCACCAAAAAAAAACACAACCAAAACCAATGCAGCAATGGGCGTGAGTGTTGCTAGTTCGAGGCTCGAAGCGCACATACCCAACATGTTGTTTCAACACCACTATCCAATATGTTGATGATGCGCCTTTTCACGTAGTGCATTGCCAACAGCAGTCACCGCCGAAATGGTCATCTCCAAGAGTATGAAGTTCAGCACTCAGGGAGCGGGCCCCGGACAAACACATGAGCACTTGGATTGCGGGAATGGCATTTCCAGAATGATGCTTGAGGAATCGCAAGCCGCGAAAGACTTGCATCTAGGACTTGACTTACTTAAGCCTTGGCCACACTCGAGGGAACCTTGTGGAATCCCAAATTGCTCGAACGTCCCCATCGCTGAGTGCTAACCCTTCGACTAGCTGTGGCTTCTTTGGAGGAACACTGGTGGTTTTAAATAGAAATCAACAGGAATCAAACTCTCTCCCTCTTTTTTTTCTGGGGGGGGTGTCCCGGGGTCTCCTAAAAAGGGACGCGCCCAACTGACCACCTATCAGGAGAAGGGAGCGAAACCGTGCCTGACTTTGGTTGCCCCCCTTCCCCACTGACGACCAGAACGGAACTTTAGTGAAGTGGCCGAATTGTTTCGAGACCCCTCCTTTTCCTGCTTTGTGGGCGTTCCACTAATCACTACCCCAAACCACTACCTGCAGGTGGTGCATGGGAGATATACAGCCAGTGTATAGCCTCAATATAAAGGGTATACATACTCCAATTTGCCCTGGGCTTAGTGGTTAAGGGGTGCTCTTGGAGCTAAGCATGGATTCGATCCGAAACTTGGTGGCTCCCAGCCATCCCCTTAGCTTTTAGCCTTTTAGTGTTTAGTGGTAGTTTCCATTTAACCCACTCAAAGTTAAACTTTTAGCGGGGGACCTGAGCCCAGGAAAAAGACATGCTTTCCTCCTTCCTACTGAATGGATGGCAGGGCGCAACTGGGATAACTCAAATCGCCCCTGTCTAGGATCATGAGGCCACGGTGCGTGCGACTTCCGCAGCGGCTTGCGTAGGGGCTGAGATCCCTTCCTTTGCCGGCAACCTCCCGCAGCGACTTTGGGTTGGCTCGGAACCGCATGGAAACGATGCATTTTCAAGGGCTCCTTTGACAAGTTGGGTCCCTCACTTCCTGAGCTCCTGGACTACTTTTGCTTTTTGGGAAGATCATGCTGGTAGAAAATGCAAGTGTGGCTAAATTGTTTGGCCGATCCACTCGATCGGCGTGAGCTCCAGATCGATCCAAAGTCGACATTCATAATTTCAATCAGGAGGGATTGCTTTTGGAATCCCATCCGGAGATTAGGTACAAACCCGAAAAGGGTACAGAAGAAGAGACAGACCCATCTCTCCCACCAGCTAACATGGAAGTGCACAGACCCCTGTAGAAAGACTACTTTCCTCTTGGAAAGAGCCTTTTTGCACTTCATGTTGGTGGGAGGGTCTATTATGGAATCCTGAGGGGGTTGGGTGGTTGAGAGCCTAGGGTTCCTTCGGGTGCCTTAGGGCATCACCCCCCTTGGCCCCCTCTTTAGAGAAACTCCCTGTGGCCAACCCTCAATTCGATTTCACTGCTGGCCATGGTTTCCCACATGTTCCAGGCGGCTTCAGCAATGATTGGAGAATGCAAGTCGACCTTCTGACTTGTTGGCCTTCAATAATTTGTCTGTAACAGGGTTGTTGGGAAACATTTTAAGTGGCGGTTGGAATCCAACCACTTAACTGCTAAAAGTTAAATCGTTGCTTCCCTTCCAACGTCAACAAAGAAATTGGAATAGCCCGGTCTGGCGAGCCGACGCTCAAAGGCTGATCGTATAGGTCCATATATGAACGCATGGGAATCCATTTGGGACCCCAATGGGCAAGTTTCCCAGAATTTAGCTAGCCAGGGGTTCATGCCAGGGTTCATATACGTTCAGCCTTTGATCCGGGTGACACATCTATTATGGGCCTCCAAGCGGGGCTATGCGGAGGGAGGCCTTTTGGGCAGCCCCGCTTGGAAGGTCCCTGAGTTTTACCCTTCCTCCAGATTCGATTTGCCAACTCAGAGAGCAGATGAAATGCGTAAGTTCTCGTCAGATTCTGGAAGCTCAGGAGTTAAAGCTGTGACTCGTGGCTGGTTGGTGAGAGTTATAGTCTTTGCAGGGTAGTCTGGTTCAAACTACCAAAAATACTGCAGGTATGCCAGGCTGGCGCAAGAAGAAAACGGGTTTCGGCCAAAGCCCCCCCCTTCGGAGTTTGGGTGCAGAAGCATTGTCATATCCATCACTCAGTTTCCGAAGTGAGGGTCTAGGGTCAACATGTGGCTTTCCGAATTGCACAGAATTCAGCGATTGAATTTGCAAGAGTGCTGGTCGACTATAAAGTCAGTACGTTAAACTGGTATCATTGCGCGTGGGCAACGGGATGTAATACGATGCAGTATAAAGCTATATAGTACTACAGAAGGAGCTTGGCCTAATTCTTCTTTGAGTATCGGTTTGGGGTAGTGGCTTCTTGGAGTCATTCTGGTTGAGTGATTCTGGTTGAGAATTGTTGCAGCGCCCAGAGAATCAGCGGCTTTTGACTTGTTGCCCCCGTTTTTGCCAAACACAGAGTACATGTGCCAAAAGGTCCACTTGAACGCAGATCGACTCTGCTCGATCGGGAGGATACGTTTTTCCTGCAAAGCCGGGAAAGCATGCATACGCGATCAAAGTACCGCAATATGCAAAAAAACAATGCTCCTCTGACGACCGATGAAATTGTTGCGGCGTTCTTTGGTTCTGGAGAAGATGACATTTTACAAATGCCCTTTGTCAATTTGGCCCAAGGCTTTGCTATTTTAGGTTTTCCTATTTCGGTTGAAAGGGAGATCTTCATGACTGGTGTTTGCTCGTTCGTACCGTAAGCAAGAAGAAGCATACATGTAGAACACATATGTCTACATCTATCTATACATGGATGCACGTAACATGTGTGTTGGTTGACAGGCAGGAAGATCCGAAAGCCCATTGCCACTTGCGTTTCCTCGCATGAAGTTTTGTCCCCCAAGAACTCACTCCCTGGGACTTTAAACTTTGTGGGAAGGTTTTTTTAGTGGCAAACAAAAAGTTTGGGTACTTTTTTGGCCAGTCCACTCAGGAAGTGAGAGAAAGGGTCGAATCTGTCTTGGCAGCGGTCTTTGGCACAGGTACGTGGTTGGACGCTATGCTTTACTCATGTTTTTCCCTTCCAATAATCATGGAAGTGGACTTCCGGGGTTACCCCACAAGGAACATTTTCCCAAACCCTCCTATCAGCTTCCATGATTAGGGGGAGGGCAGTGTTTAGTGGCGAAGGCTTCGCTTTCCTGCACATGGGAGCTGCACATGATTGGGACCTAGCCGTTTCTTGCCTGGTGAAGCAAGCTTCTTGGTCAAGGCTCGACAGGGGTCGATTCCTATAATTCCCTTTTGTGTGGTTTGTAATATCACCTTGTTGGCCCATGAAAGGTGGGTGTCCCATTTGTGGGGGGTGATGTTTTCGGGGGAAGAATGGGGAGCCTTGTGATTTCCGCATGGGCAAGTGAGAATGTCGCTGCGCTGCTCGTGTGACAACCGGTCCAAGGGTGCCTACAGCCCACAGGATTGCTCACATGAAAACCGTTCAGGATGAAATCCCGGCTGTTCACAGGTTGGTGGCTCCCAGCCATCCCCTTTGCTTTTTAGTCTTTTAGTGTTTAGTGGGGCACTGCATGTAAAAAACTAAAAGGTCAACTTTTAGCGGGCCATCTGAGGACAGCCAAGCAAGGTTTGTGCCACGCCCCGGCGAAAGGTACTTAAGCCGCAAGCAATTCAGCAACACATAGGGGTTGATCAATCTTCCTGGTTCCAAAATGACCATGCGTTCCCATTTAGTGGCTGCGAAGTCAGCTTTGTCAAGCAGACAAGGAGCTGCTTCAACGCATTTTTGCTTTGCTTTACACGGTTGAAACGTGATGAACCTGGCAACAATGGCCCAACCCCTTAGCTCTTGTGCGGATTGACTCCGTCCCTCCCTTGAAGTTACTGAACTTGAAGTTGGGGAAGCCCATGTTAGCTTCCATTGGGCCAATCCACTTAGGACGCGAGTGCAACACGTTTGTTCGGGAACCTATCACCCTGGTTGATGAACAAGGGGGTGTCCCACTTAGAAGCAAACCTTTTACTTTAAGATAACCCCCGCAAAAACCATAAGATTGAAAAACACCTGGGTGCATCTTCGAGAATGAGACCCCCTACTGGCCGCGCATTTTCCCCGCGTGTCTTTACCTCTCACCGGCCCTCAAGCTATGGCGGGTCGCTCGCCGCTGCTGCGGACGCTGGAGGGGGAGGAGCACGTCTGGGTGGACGCGGAGCAAGGCGCCGGCTCGGTCGCTTGCTCCGCGTTTTCACGTCCATTTGGTTGAGAAGACTTTGTGTTTTCCCCTGTTGGTTTTACAGGGAATCAATTTCACTACTGGAAGTATTTGTTCATTTTTTCCAGGGGACTTAAGCAAATGGAGGTTCTGGGGCGCCCTGTGGTGTTGGTTTGGTCGCTCTCCCAAGCAACGCCGAAATGTCGGACTCCTGGTTTATCTCACTTCCCGAGTTCCTGAACTTTATGCCTTTTAGGTTTGGACCCTTTCGCTAGTACACAAACAACTTGCACTTTTTCGGCCAACCCAATTAGGAAGGCAGGGTTTGGTTGAAAGCAAAAGCTGGACCAGGTCCGGCTTCAAGCGCAGAAACCGCCATGCAGCAAGGCCCAACTTGTCCGTGCCATTCCTTTTGACCGGATGTTGAACATAGAATCCTGGCGGCTCAGAACCGGCCATCGGGTTCAACTTAGCTTGCTAGATGTTTTTAGGTGGGTTCGTGGTGGGGCTTCCAAATTTAACATTCACATGAGTTTCCCCTCCAGCATCATCTCACAGTCGGCATCTTGTTCTCAAGGGCATGTTCAGGTATGGTGTTTGGAGGAATGGTTGTACACCACTTTTATAAGTACACGCTGCCTTATAAGCTTATATTGGTGGCGTGTACCTCTAGACCAAATACATGAGAACAGACACTTGGTTGTCGGGAAACTCGTTGCCATGTTCCGCAAAACGCCAACAAGTTCTTCGTTTATGCTGCGGTTCTCTAGGAACAGATCATCTTCCCTGTCCACGGGCAAAAGGAGGCGACAAGCCTTGGAAGGGTCCTTGATATCAGCGGGGATAACACTCGTCCGTGTGCCGTTTGTCCCGTATTCAGAGGGGTTGTCTCGCTTCCTGTTAAACTAGGTCCTCGAGCCTCCAGTGGTGCCCTTTTTACTGATTCGTTTTTGGGGGAGGGCTCCCCTACTAAAATAGACTACCAAAAAAGGGTCCCCTTATTCTACCCTCTCTACTGGAGGACCTAGTGGATTCTTTGGGATTTCCTAGCTCTATTTGGATCGCCCGCCTGCTCTTCAGTTCCTATTGCCAGGTGCCGAAGTCTTTGCCCGAAGGGCCGAGGACGAATTGAGATTCGTGGACGTGTCGGCGGCGGTTCACGAAGAGTTGGATCATGTCCATCCTGTTGGGGTGCTTAATAGCCCAAAGGGAAACAAATGATATTATGATGTTGTGTGTGTGTTTGTTGTTTTTTTTCTCCTTTTGTTTTCCCGTTTTTCTTCCCGGACCTCTATTGAACACCCAGCTTTGCAAGCCACAGAACATAATTAATTGTTGTTTTTGTTGACCCCTATTTAACACCCAGCAGCGAAAGACTCGTACAGACCAAGAAGGGAAGGGTTGTGTGGGCGGTTCCGGCGGGTCTTTTGGTGCCATCCATGCCATCCCTTTTGCTTGGCGGGTCCCTCCTACAGACGTTTGTAAGAGTGTTGGCCCATGCGTGCGTGAGGGTCTGAAAGGGTTGATTATGGCAGTGTTTATGAAATTCTTAGCGGGGGAGTGGCACAAGCGGGGGTCCCAGAGGCCTAATGAGCCCCAACGAGCCTACTACCCGCCCCCCTTCGCACCTACCCCCACTTGGGACTCCAAAAAAAAAGGGGCTGACCGTGTGAGCGAGTGAGGCAAGTGAGGCGACATCGCTTGGCGAGTTGAAAGCTATGAGGGCCGTCTGTTGCCGCTCTTTTGCGACTGAGCAAGTTCTTCCTGTCACATGGGGATGCACACCCTAAAAATCTGGTTCTTCTCTAAAGAAATCAGAAAAGAGGGCACCATGAAAACAGAGACACCCATATGGGTTCAGGGCATGACATTTGAGTAGGGAGACAAGGTCAAATTTCCCTTAAGGGCTTGGATTTTGGGGATTTGAACCCCCTGGTTCTAGAGAAATACTGGGAAACCACTCTGCTGCACTCCGAACATGTCCAAACGAAGGGGTTCCAAACCACCGGGCCCCCATTCACCTTTTTATGGGGGTGCCCCTGGTTTTGGTGGAGGTTCTTCGCTTTTGGAGGGGCTCCCAGCCCCAGAACCATATTCCGGAGTTGACATTGTGGGGGGGGGTTTACGTGTACTGTGGATGGTTGCAAAACCCACTTTGCACCCGTGCGAATCCATGGTTGGAACCATGATTTGTTGGTATTTGCGTCGGGGAATCGAGTCATAAGCCAGTGCTTCATGTCGGAGGATTTCGCAGCCTCACTTTCCTAAGGGCCTGGAAAGAACTTTCGGTGATCAGGGGCCGCGAAAAATCGGAACCCACGACTTCCATTTGCTGAATGATCTTTCCTGCTTTTCCCTGTTGGTTTTAAAAGGAGTCTATCACTACTGGAAACATGTTCATTTGTCCAAGGAGGCTTAGTCAAGCAAATGGAAGAACAAGGGAAACTGACAGGAAGCCCTGGCGACGGGTGCATCCCTCGTGGCTATGGACGCGGAGCGGTGGGGGCGGTAGGCGCAGAGGTAGGAGAGGTGGGAGGCAACAGTGGTTTGGAGAAGTTATAGCGGTGGTTCGGCACCAGGCATCGGGTTCCTTAGGTGCTTTGTTGATGTTAGTGGGTTTAGTAAATTTAGCCCAGAACAAGTTGTCGACTTTTAGCAGGGGATCGGAGGACAGTGACGAGGTCGCTAGTCAACGCCATTTTCGGGCTGGATTAGGAGGGCATGGAGATTACATACCACATCTATGAGGCATACATACAGCTTTTACAAACAAAGATCATGTGTGGTATCCAAAACCGAACCGGTGAAGAAGGTTGATTATCTTGCCCGGAATTTGGGAACCCCCGGGCAGGTTCCCTCATTTTTTCGCATCTTTGTGTTTACTCAGTTTGCTCCAATCAGGAAACCCTCAGTTGGCGGTCCTGTTTGGAACGGTGGCTCGGAAATTTGACGCCCTGGTTTTTTTTTTCTCATGACCATGGCTACGGTAGGTTTATAGATTGTGGGGGGTTGGGTTCTATGAAACCCTGTAAATGCGGCTTCAGCCTAAGCGATGTTCCCTTTTTGGGGTTCCCAGCGGCCCGGAATCTGATCACTTAAAGTTATCACCAGGCTCTTCAGGAAGGTGCGCATGCTATGAGTCAGCTTCCCTTGAATTGACGGTTTGGATTGGTGGTTTGGCGGTTAAGCGGGAGGCTTCACATTTACCCTTCACAAGAACCAGGGGTTCAAAGCCCCGAACCACCTATCTAAACCACAAATGGGGGGACACTGAATGAGCGCTAACTCAAGCCAGCCTTTGCCAGGAGTGGCAGGATCCTTGCCCGTTATCAGTGCTCCAGCTTGCGCTGTCCGTGGATCCTACGAAGCCCCCGACAGTACCTTGGCTCAATTGGTTGGTTCGGATGCCGGAGGACCATTGAAATTGAGGAATGATGCCCCGAATTGATTTGTTGCCCCCATGGAAATGTTATTGCCCTATAAATTGCACCCACATATTTTTGCAGAATCGGTCAACATGTCCGGTAGCATCCCTATGGAAGAGTGTTATTGCCCCACACATTGCACCTTCATTTTTTGGCAGATTCGGGATCATACCCATTCAAATGACTTGATTTGGTTCGCCCATGGAGCGAACCACACCTGACTCTGTCATTGCCCCCGCAAATTGCACCTACACTTTGCCGATTCGAAGAACATGTCCAGTCGCCTCATTTGGGAGCGGGGGACTCACCTTTTGCAACCCAGGGACCTCACGAAAGCTCACGTCCCGAGCTCCGTTCTGGACTTGAGTCACTGTTCGGGCTTGGACCAGAGCAAACTGCTACACAAACGCCTTGCATTTGTTTTTCCCAACCCGTTCTTTCGGACGTTCAGCAGACGTCATTTGGACCATGTTTGCTGGGTCCTCCAGTCCTGCCCTTTGACCCCTTTTTTTTGGGGGGAGGGTTCCACTACTGAAATCAACAAAAAAGAAGCAAGTTGGTACCCTTCTTCTAACCTCTCTACTGGAGGACCTAGTCTGGCGAATCCCAACAGCTTTGAGTCGCGCTCCATCATTAGCCACATGATTCACATAAGATGGGGTTGGCCAACATGCGGAAATCATTCGTCCCCGGTCGCAGAAAAGCACGTGCCCACCCACCAGTGAGCCAGAATCCAAACCCAGGTAGATGCTTCCCCAGAATTAGTTCCCCTTTTTACTTTGCTTTTTTGGGGTTCCCTTTGTTTCCCACTACCGGGCCAAAAATTAACAAAAATGCTGAGGTCCCTTTTTTCCAGCCAAGGATGGAGGTCCCTCTTGAAATCGAGTGAACCGGACGCGGCGTGTTAAAGGTCTTCCTCATCGACTTGGCCAGCTCGGTGTCCGAGCTGGGCCGCGTGTGGGCGCGGAGACTGCTGGCAGAGGCGCAGGTGCTGGCGTTCAGCCCCAAGGACGGGTTCTCGAAGCCCCTTGCGTTTCGCCGGCCTAAGGGGGGCTTTTTTGTGGGTTTTTCGTGTTCTCTTTATGGGGTCATTGTGAAAAGGCTCTCCTTTAGTTGGCAAGATATTGTTTTTGACTCTCTTTCTGGTTTGTGCTTCGTTGTCTTGAAGGGTCCTATGAATTTGGGTAACCCAAAAAGAACTGTCAACAACTTGTTGGCCTCTTGTAACCCGTGCCACCCGGCACAAAGAAAAGCGTCCTAGAGCTATGCGGGAACCGATGTGGGGGTTGATCAAATGGTAGGATGACCATGGGGGAAATCACTAAAAAGATGATATGTGATTCACCAAATGGGAAGAGTTACCTGTCATTTTCGGGCTGAAGGGAATATTGATCAATCAACCCCTATGTATTGACCGTGGCTCATGTCCCCGATATCGAGTGCAAAGCCGCTTTTTACCACAAGAGCATGAAACCATACCCTGACTAGACGAATTCCTGCACCACCTGAGAAACCCTAAGAAACTGAGGATCCTACGTAAATACCAACGAACGCAATCGTTCCAACCAGGGTTTGCTGGTGGTGCAGGAATTGGTTTGTCCCCACTAGCGGCACTGAGGGTGTTCCTGTTCTCTGGGGCCGAGGAATCGCCTTCCTGCGGCTTATTATCGGGCCTTAATGCTGACCATGGACAAATCCATGCTATCAAAAGGGGGTGACACCCACAAGAGGGCAGCCCCCTTTTAACAAGGGGTTGATTAATCTGGGGTTAGCAATGCTAAGCCTTATCTTTTTTTTTCAAGGCCTCACTAGGATGGTGTACTTATGGGGCACCAGCCCGAATTTGTCCACGTCCACTCAGGGGCCCTGCTCCCCCCCCCCACCCAACGACCTCCCAACCTGATGATTTTGTCATGAATGAGGCTTATTTATCATTGGTCCCCATCCCTTCGGTGGATAGACAGTTCGGGGTAGTCTGGTCAACGCCGAACCAGAGACCAAGCAAATTATGTTGACATGTTTACACCACCTACTGTACTTGGTGGCTCCCAGCCATCCGGTTCCTTAGCTTTTTAACGTTTTAGTGTTTAGTAGGGATTTGCATTCAACCGACTAAAAGTTAAGCTTTTAGCGGGGGATCTGAGGACAGCCCAGGGTATCTAAATGGATCAATTGGTAGGCTTTATGAGCACACCAAGTATTTTGCAATGAGGCTGATATCCCCCGTCTAGCGAGGAAGAATCATGTAACACATGGACCCCCGATTGTGGATGACCCATTTCTTGGCTACTGTAAATTATTTCAATGGGTGTGTCACTTTTTAGGAAGCCCCTTGAAATGGTTGGTTTTCCTTTTGGCTTCCGTTTTAACAATCCAAAAGAAGGTGCCAACTCCAAAAACAAGGACAGACCCAAATATGTGGTATGACAACTATTTTTTCTCCCGGGGTCCCAAAGTTGGTTGCGAAATCCTTCACATAAGGGCAGTTTCGGGGAGAGGGGTGAAGGGAGGTATGGAGATAAGGGGTATTGCCATTCAAGCTTTTGTAGTAGCATAAAACCCATACCTGAAAGTGCCAACTTGAACCAGGTAATGTGCAACCCCCATGAAGACTTTGTTGCATTTCGCTTGGATGTTAGGACTTTAACTTTTTGCCACTAATGAGTTTTCCATTGAACCACTAAAAGTTAGGCTTTTAGCAGGGGAGCAGAAAGCAACCGAGAAGAAGCTGTCTTTCATAGAGTTCCCTTGTGTCGGGTTCCTTGAACGTCCCGTCTCGCGTTCGTCAAATCAATCGGACACCAGGAAGATGTGCGGCGTCTTCGAGCCGCCGGCTTGGTAGAAGGCCCGGTTCGGCTTGCGGAGAGCTCATGGTAGCTCCGAGGCTCCCTACTCCAAATACATGTTGTTCCTTTTTTTGTGTGTTTTGCCTCTTTTTTTTTGTTGTGGTAAGTGGGCATTGTCTGATGTTGTTCCAGGGGACTATTGCAAAAGTGATGATGGTCGCCCCCAATTGGTGGTTTGTGGGCTTGAACCCCAGTCCCTTTTGAAGCCTTAAATGGGCACACCCGGAACTCCAAACCAATGCAAACCACCAAATTAGGGATGCTTTTTGGGGTCCCCTTTGTTTTCCACTAACCAGGCAACAAATATGTTGTTGTTCTTGCTGGGGCCTTTCCAGCCAAGACCATTCAACCCATTTGGACTCCAAGCCAAGCCGGTGGCTTCGACCCATCGCTCCTTCCTTTCTTCGGGGTTTTTTCGACCTGCGTTCCGGTTCGGACTGGGGTCGCTGGTTGGGGCCCGATATTTCCATCTGCTGGGCTATTTTAAACATCTCCTTCTTGGCCCATGAGAGGTGAGCTTTTTTTGGTGGGGGTGATGTTTTAAGGGGAAATATAGGGAGCCCTGTAAATCGTTGGGACTTGTTGGCCAATCCACTCACTGAGTTAATGAACGTCAAGTGGGAAGTGTCCATTGCTTTTCTGTCCGGAGGATTTTCTTGGGAAAAGACTAGCGCATACCAACGAGGCTGAACATCCTCGTTGGGTCTGGGTGACTACTCCGCAAAGAGTCGCAATGATTTTCTACCAGATTCACCCTAGGATTTCGGGCCCAGCCAGCGGACAGGACATACACGGAGCCCAGTTGCTCAGTGGCACCTGCCTTCTTTTGGTTGGTGTCCCTTCATTTGCTCAAGAATCGTTAAGAATATAGTTTTATTCCTCCTTGTTGGTTTTTAAGGGAACCAATCCTACTGGACATATTGTTTGCTCCAGGAGGCTGAAGCAAATTGAAGATCATGAGCCAAAAGGGGCCAAACACATGGGGCATTCCCCTCATGTTTGGGGGAAGGCTTTGTTTTTTTCCTGCTTCCCGAGGACTTTTGGTGAAACTAACAAATATAAAGGGAAAACAGTAAACATGCTGCCAATCATCTTTGGATTTTTTGGTGGAGAGAAGGGAGCCAAGGAGCTGACCAGTCCGGTGAGAACATGGCAGCCATCATTGCCTCCCTGAGACTTGTGGCCGGTAGCCTCTCGTTTGCCCTGAACATGGGCTTCAAATCCAAATGCAAAGCCTTTTTTTCCTGGCTGACAAAAACAACATGCAATTTCTGGGAGTGGAAACCACCAGGGGCCAAGCCCGGGAGCCCGGGCAGAGGTGAGCCTTCCTGGGTGGACCTGCAGCTCTACAACTGGGGCCTGGGCCGCATGCCGGGCTTGCAGGCCGTGGCGCCCCGCTTGCATCTTCCTTCCGGATGCAACGGCGTGTCTTAAACAAACGGGACTGCCCCCCGGGGTGGGGTGGGGTGATGTGGGGGGGGGGAAGGGTGTCGTTCACCCCCCCCTCCCAACCGCCAATAAAATAAGTACATAAAAGAAGAGTAATGTGGTCATTCTGTGGTTTTCAATTAAAGCAAAAAAGAAAAAGAAAAACATACCCGGATTGAATCACTTCAGCAAATCACCTCGTTTGTTGAGGCGGGGAAGTGGGCTATTACAGGCTTGCTCCGAGCCCTAAGGGACCACGCCCCCGAGGGCGGAGATTCTGGGCTTGGTGAGGCTTCATTTGGTCTTGGGCTACCCTCTTGAAGCCTCTTTCATGAAACCCTGAGCGCCCAACACGGATTCCCGAAAGTGGCATTTTAGTCGGTGGCCCTACTGCCTTGCTTTAGCACAGCCTGTAAAGCACCCAGCGGCCGGCAAGCCCTGCCCTATTGCGGCGACGGAAGGCGACGGAAGGGGACCTTCACTGTTCTTGGCATGTTTTTTAGTTTTTTGGGTTCTGTTCATTTTTACTGGGGGTCTGCAAAAAACAACGTTTTTTTTGCTACCATACCAAGAGTAGAGATGGGACGGACTCGGCGACCGAGGTGGCGCGGGCCTTGGGCCTGCGCATGGACAAGAGCCTGCAGATCTCGGACTGGAACCGGCGCCCGCTGAGCGCGGAGCAGCTGGCGCTTGGACTCGGTTGGGCAGCTGGGGGCGCTTTGACTCCTAGGTCCAGCCAGGTGCCCTTTCTTCAACCCAACTTTTTTGGTTGGTGTTGGGTTCCCCTAGTATAAATAGACTACAGAAAAAGGGTTCCCTTATTTCTAACCCCTGTACTGGAGGACCTAGACTCAGTTGGGGCAGTTGGGGTTGTAGCACTAGGGAAAGAGTCCCCATTCTGAACCCAGGGATCCGAATCTTTTCAGGAAACGATCAAACACCCTGGAAAAAACAGCTGTTCTTTTTTGAAAAGAACGATGGTTGAAAAGAACGGGGAATCAACTCCCAGAGCACTGCCTAAGTTGGGGGGGGGCCTGGTGGACACATAGCGTCGGTCTTTCAACCACCTTCTTTTAGGGTGTTGGATTTTGTTATTTTTGTTGAGGGTTCTTGTGTGCAAAAGACGGTGTCCATGGCAGGGAGGTTGTGTAAGGCCTAAGTCGGAAGCACCTCGTTGGCCCAACGGTGAGTTTCCTTCAGGGGAAACATACTGTTGACGGACGAAATCCGTTCGCACCACCTTGAAGCACGGGATTCCATTTTTTTTGTTGGTATTTACGTTGGGGAACCCTACTTCCAGGGCTTCTTAGGTGCGAAATGGATTTCGTCCACCCACAGTGGGGGAAAACAGAATCTGGCGGTACAGGGCCCTGGCATTCTGGAAGGAATGTGTTGGCTTTATTCGGCTGTGTCGCACATAGTGGTTCTTTCCTTGTTGCATCTCCAGCAAAACAGATGCGACCCGACAACTTTCGCTGTCCAGTACTAAAACCCAAACGCAGTCCCTATCGGTGGTACGTCTGTGACCAAATGCACGCCCGAAGCGCTGGCTTAAAAAGACCCAAAAGAGGCAACATCTTTTGATCCAGTAACTGCCTCGGAGCGGAGCCGGCCTGAAGCCCGCTTTCGGGACCCCTCTTTGTGGCCAACGCGCCCAATACGCCAACGCCCGCAATTCAAAGAGCAACTACCATCAAATAACAAGCACAAGCCCACCCAGGCTACACACATGCATGTGTAGATACATGTGTGCATATATGAATGAATATATGTATATTACATGTATTCCTTCAAAACATCTGCCAAGGAGTACGCGGCGCTGGACGCCAGCGTGTTGCTCCGCCTCCACCGCTGCAACATCGCCGCCCTGCCGCGCCTGGACGTTGCCTCCGCCTCGGAGACGTCGGCGTCGGCTTCGGCGGCAAGTTGCTTCCGGGACGACCTGGGCATGGCGCAAGAGAAGGCCGGGGGTCGGTTCTGAGGTCTAAGGGTACCTTGAAACCATGGAAAACCTATGGTGGTTGGTATTTACAGGGGAAGCATCATTTCAGGGGCTCTTGGGTGGTGCAGGATTTCGTACTAGGTTCCCCAGCTAGGTGCGCGTTCTTTAACCCCTTTTCTTTTCTTTTGGTTGGGAGGGTTCCCCTGCTAAAGTAGACAAAACAAGAAGTGGGGACCCTTATTCTAACCTCTTTACTGGAGGACCTAGCTACCTGGGCCTTCCAACATGTGCAAAATTATTGCTGTTTTGTCAAAAACTATGTTTTTTGGCCCAACGGCGATTATTTTCGCCTGCCGGCAGTTTTCAGTGTTTGCACACTCTAGCATCAATCAAAATTGCAAAACGGCGTAATTTGCCGTCAAAACGGCGTAATTTGCCGGCGAAACGGCGTTTTTTTTGCCTGGTTCCGAGCTGGACTCACGGCGAGCGCTTTTTCTCCGAAAGAGCGTTTTTTTCAGCAACCGGCAAAAATTATTGCTGTTTTGGGAAACGGCGTTAATTTTACATGTTGGAAGGTCTATATTATACCCCTTGTTCATAGCGTCATACCGGTTCCTTGGCTTCCTGGTTTCCAACATTTCCAACCCATGTTTTTCCCGGTGCCTCTGGGTGAAATGTGGGGTTCGGATGGCATACCTGGAGCGCTGAACCCTACTGTGGGTGGTTGCGACATCCATTTCGCACCACCTAAAAACCCTGGAATGATCGTTCCCATGTAAAAAATACCAGGAAACAATGGGTTCTCATGGTTTTGGAGTGGTGCGAAATGGATTTCTATCCATAGAATTGGTTAGCTTGTCTGCTGCTGTGGTTGGATCATTAATCAGTTGCTCACTCCCTGAGTTCACGGATTTTGACCGTTTGGAAAGACAATTTTGGTGGTAAATCAAAACTTCCAGCCACTTCGTAGGCTTGGCTGCTGTTTTGGTTGGGCCAACAAGTGAAAGGCGGGTGATTGCGGGGACAACTTTCAGAGGGACCTTTGGCTGCACTGTTGCTTGCGCGCGATGAGTTTAAGCCCTACCCCAAAGTAACCTCGCCAAGGCTCTTATCGAATCAGTCCTGGGTCCCTAAGGGGCAACTGAGATTCTAAGGCTTAGCTAAGGAGTATTCCGGAGGATCTCACTTGTCAGTAGGTCATTTTCCTAAGAGGAGAGAATCAGCCTTGCAAAAGGTGGGGCCCAAAATGGCCATAGGTTCACATATGGACCTTCCAAAACGTTCATTTGCTTGGGCATTTATGGCTATTTGGCAATGGATCCTTAGACTTGACCCACTTTTTCGTTGGCATACCCGGCCGTTCAAATCCACTTCATGCTCGCTTCGGATTGATCCGCTGGCCGGAGGAACTCCCAAAAGTAGGTCGTTTCCTGGCGGAAACGGAGGACCAGCCCTGAGTACGGTCCTGCAGGTAACTCCGAAGTTAACATTATGCTTGGATGATGATTTGCTTTCGTCATGAACCTTTATTTTTTTGTGGAAAATAAGTGGTGTCCAACTAGCTTCTCAGGAATCTGCATGGATGTAAGGGACATATGAATGAGGAGCCCCGCTTTGCCAAAAAGCGAGTACTTCCCCAAACCACAAGCGCTAAGCAAGGGTCTTCTACCCGTGGACCATGGGGCCGCCTGGGTGGGTGGAAGGGTTTCAGTGGGAATGTAGAATATGGGTGGCTCAACCTTTTTGAGTGTACCAGTTTTTGCGGTTTTGAAAGGAAACCAAGAGGAAACCCACCATTCTTTGAGATCCCCTCAAAAAAGGCACGGTGCACTCCCATTCTAGGGATTGACCGCCTATTCTTGTCAACCACCCTTCTCTTCAAAAAATAAACACCATTCAATTTCTGGTGGTATTTTGGCTTCAGACTGGAGACGTTACCAGGATACACCCTGTTTTTTCTTGGCTAGTGGTTTGGGGTGGCGGTTTCCCGATCTATCCGAGAGGAGCGGTGGAACCATTTCCGCTCGCTGGAGCACCGGCAGCGGCCGCGGTTGCTGAGCGGCGACAACGCCTTGTCTGCGCGGGACCGGAACGGCGACCTTGGCGGCTCGGCTGGACCCAGTTGCCCAGTGGACTTCGCTCTTGTTTCCCAAATTACCAACCGCAAAAGGACGGCCTTTGATTCCCATGGAAATCCACTGGGCCTCTGAGTTAAGGTATCACTCCCTGAGTTGCTGGACTTTAAGCTTTGTGGGAAGGCCAATTTATTGGCGAAGAGAAAGTCTTGACCTTTTCTGGCCAATCCACTGAGGAAGTGAGATGTTGACCCGGACGTAGAGCCCATCCAAGTAAAACGGGGGTGTTCCCACCAAGAGTTGTCTCAATTCGATCCCACTAGCAGGAATTGGCTACCCCCATCTCTCAAAATCAGCCAGGGGATCTACTTATAGATCCAGCTCAACATTGCATCGTAGCATGCACTTCTCAGCCAGTATATGCGGTTCGGCCAGGAAATTCCCAGCACAGTCTATGGTTCAGGTGGGAGGATACTGTGGATGGGAATGACGATTCTCCTCTAAATACCCAACAAACAATGATTTCAACCCTGGTTTTCTTAGGTGGTGCGACATGGGCTTTGTCCATTTCAGTAGGCCAATCCCTCTCTCTCTCTCTCTCTCTTTTTCTCTCTTTCTCTCTTTCTTTCTTTCTTTCTTTCTTTCGTTCTTTATTTATTTATTTATTTATTTTCTTTCTTTCTTTCTTTCTTTCGTTCTTTCTTTCTTTATTTCTTTATTTTCTTTCTTTCTTTCTTTCTTTTTTTTTCTCTCTCTCTCTCTCTTTCTCTCTCTTTGTAACTCTAAGGTTACTATGTTTTCCATAGCCAGGGCTTGTGAACACCGCTTCCTAAAGACCAGCTTAGGGCTTGATAAGGGTTAGTAGGATGGACAGGCGATGCTTGCGGGAAGTTTGGTTTTACCCACCTTCTGTAGTACACAAAAGCACCTCCTTTTAAGTGACAACGCAGTCACAAGGATGGTCCACTTTGGCATCGCAGAAGGTTTATTTCCTAAAACTATCCGTCGTTTTGTTTTCCAGATTTCGCGGATTCGCATGGAAGCTCCCAGGATTTCCTTGTTCCCACATTGCACTCCGCTCCCCCGGGTGTTGTTTCATTAGGGGCGTTTGTGTTTGTATTTCACGGTTGATGTTTGTATCCTTTTTTGTGGGCACTCGTTTGCGGTTTTTGTTTTGAAGGGGAAGCTAAAGAAGGAAGCTACCATTTTCTGCGGGGTCCCCTAAAAATGGGGCGCGACCATATTTACTTAGCGGCACGTTGATTTGCAACAAGTCTCACTTGGATTCCCAGGCAGGTAAAAGGGAAATAACCCATTCCTTTGCCTGACTGCGATAGCACCTTAGAAACATCCAAAATCAAGATCCCATTAAGATCCCAAAATCAATGTACGGTTAGAGCAAGTCTATTTGGAAAGACCATTTTAGTGTCAGACGTTTTTAGGCCATCCATCCACTGGGGTGGGAGTCAAAAGCGTGGCTAAAAGCCGCTGCTTATGCCCCAGAAGAAGGCTTTAATCTTGATAGCTTTGCAGAAGAATTCAAGATCCCAGAACAGAAACTAGGTCCTTCGGCAGTGTTCTTATACCTTTTTTGGGGGAGGGCTCCCCTACTAAACAGACTACAGAAAAAATGGTGCCCTTATTCTAACCTCTCAAATCTGGAGGACCTAGTGAAGATCCCATTCAAATTGTGATAGGTTTTTGGAAACGCCATTTAAGTTTCAATCTTTCTTTGGGCCATCCACTGAGCCGGGAGTCCCCGCTTGGCTCCCCATGCCATGCGTCGAGGTTTCATCTTACCGGCGTCGCTGAACCGGCTGATGCGGAAGCTCCGCGGCCTGGGCCTCGACACTGAGATGCTGGCGGAGCGGGCCCGCGCGTCCGCGGGCGCGCGGCGAGTCGGCGAGTCGCTTTGTGCGGCGGCCCCTTGCGTGGATGCCCCGACCAAATTGGACGGCCGTAAGGGATGGGGTATACCGGTTACACCTAATTTACCCGTGCTTGTTTTAAAGGTATTTTTGGTCAACCCACCTACTAAAAAACGAGGTGGTTTTGCCCTGAAAACACGGGTTGTCAAAAAATGTGCCTTAAACAAAGAGGGTATTTGGAGGAGGGGGTATGGTCAAAAGAGGGCAAACACTTCCCCTGGCCAGGCTGCGGTACTTGTCCCATGCGATTTGAGCCCCTGGTCCTTGGGATGGGGTAGGGTGAGGTCTGGGAAGGATCGTAACAGGCGGAGGCTGGTTGATGGCCACTCTTCGACTTTTACTGAAGGGAAATGAGGTTGGGGTTAGGGGAGGAAGGGGCCAGGGCAGCTCAGGCGCGAGCTATACATTTCGGTTGCCAACAAACGCCAAGCAAGGTGCCCATGAGCTGGCCAAGAATGGACTGCTCAGCTGTGAGAATGAGCATGGTCCCACTTCTGCGACGGATTAAGCATTTGATAATGACATGAACGTTAAAAGCAAATCTATTTGTTATTGCCACGAGGATCTTGGGAAGGCCAGAGTTCTGGGAACAAGGGTTGGTTCCGACTTCTATGATTCCAGGGCACCGCGATGTACCCCCTTTTAACGCACTAGTCCATGTCCAAGGACATGCACCAGCCACAACTTAGCAACTCTTGCTTGTTCAGATTTAGTGCCAAACAACGTCCAGGAACCGTGTATTTCTTCCCGAGAGGTATACAGTCCCAACGAAATCAGGTGGTGAGTCACACCGATTCAGGCCTTCGAGTTTAGCCTATCGATCATAATTCCAAAGATCCTTCATGGGACAGGTGGGTCCTGCCGTGGATGGACGAAATTCTGCATCACCCAAGAACCCCTGAAATGATGATTCCCCTGTACATACCAACAAGCATTGGTCTAATTTGAAAGTGGTGCAGGATTTCGTCGAGCCACAGTATCTATCACAGGTGTTCTTTTTCGGGGCTTTCTTTCGGCTTGGTTCGCAATGAAGACACAACGGCCCTGCATTTTTCTATGGGGGTCTTCACCCGGTGGGCAGTTTCCAGGAGGGTGCGCCAGCGCGGCGACTGGTGGAGTGCGCTGAGGAGAGTGACAGGAGCTGGGGTTGGCCTTGGTGGCCTATAAGCCCCAAGCTGTTCAGGGGTTGTCTCTTTTCTTCCCCGGAATTAGTTCCCCTTTTTGTTGCTTTTGCTTTTTTGGGGTCCCCTTTGTTTTCCACTAACCAGGCTTTTTTTGTGCTGGGGTCCTAGTTCCAGCCAATTTTTTGGGGTTGTCTAGGTCCCCCAGTAGTGCCCTTTCTCACCCCTTTTTTGGTTGGGAGGGGAAGCCCTACTAAAATAGACTACAGAAAAAAGTTGGTACCCTTATTCTAACCTCTCTACTGGAGGTCCTAGTGGTTGTGGGGTCCATGAAATATCATTGTGTACATTCAAGTAGTACGGTCATCATGTCGCCGTCTGATAGCGTCTTTTGACTTTGGATGCCGTTTAAAATTTACCACTTGGAGGGTACCAGAAGGGTCCTTGGAGTCCTAAAAGACCTCCATTTGCTCAAGTCCCCTGGAAGCAAATGTCCGGTAGTGAAATTGATTCCCCTTAACGCCAAAAGGGAAATCGATAATATTTGTTTCAGCAAAATGGAAGAGAGCAAGAGTTGGTGGAATCCAGAGGTTTAGGTTTTCTTTTGGGCATCGTACCCTGAAAGTGCCTCCTTGCGACTTCGGATCCGCCCAAGGGGAGCCCAAAGGGGGAGCCCGAGAATGGGTTGACCGCTTTCCCTTTAGCACCGCCCAAGGGGTCCAGCTTTTTGGGAACAACAAACACATATCCCGCATCCCCCGAGAAAAGTGAGCGCCTGGAGGATCATCCTCTACTACAGCACCAAGAACCTTTTGCCCTCCAAAGCCGCACACCGCACCTACATGCTGCGCAGCACCTCTCCGGATGAGCAGGTGCGAGAGATCATCGAGGCCGGATTTGAGCGGGCGCCAGCGAGATGTCTCGGTGTCTCGTTTTTTTGAGGGAGCCCGTACCGTCTTGGGGTTGGCTTAGGGCCTGGGCTCCTTCAAAGAGATATTCATTTTGCAACTCTTTGAGTTACATGTAGCTTTTTCAACACCAAAATAAAGTTGGACACCACCATTTACAAGTTGCAATGTTCAGGTGTATCATGTAAGGATCCCTGTTAAGGCCTGAGGATTCTAAGGGCACTTATGTACTTGCTCTGTGTGTCTCTGTCTTTTCGCTGAGGGTACTTACAATAAAGGGAAGCCAAAGGAAAACAGCTGCTTTTTGGGCTCCCCCTACTGCACCACCTAAGGAACCCTGGAGTGAGGATCCCTGGTTAAAAAAAAAAATCAGCGGTGTCCCAGGGTTTCAAAGTGGAGGATCTCGCAACCATCCACAGTATGTTGAGACACACCCATATGTGAGGCAAGCACTTGAATGGACACCTGCTTGGCTCCTGTGGGTTGGCCCAAAAGTCGCCTTTTCGTTGAAACGGCCCAACATCCCGGCTGGAATAGTGGGCGGTTTGCGGTCTCCAACCCCTGATTTCATGGTACTTTTGGCTAAATGATTCCGGTTTCAGGCCATCCCTCATCTAGCAACCCCTTCTTGCCTTTGGTTTGAGCCATAGCCGAACGTCCAAGCTTGGAGGGTCGCTTCAACTCAAGAGAAGCTGAAAAGAAGCTGGCAGTTCCCGTGTTTGGATAGCCAAACAACTCGACCTCTGCTTGGCTGCTCTTTGCCTAAGGTTCGCTGGAACCGAATAGACAAATTGATTTCGCAACCATCCTCCGTTCTGTGAATGAATGAATGAATGAACGAACGAACGGATTAATCAATGAATGGATGAATGGATTAATGGAATGAATGATTGTAATGAACTGAACTGAACTGAAATAAATGAATGAATGGAATGGAATGGAATGAATGAAATGAATGAATGAAGGAATGAAGGAAGGAAGGAATACATAAATACATATATATATATATATGTATACAAATGGCCACGTGTGCCAATCACACCAAGCACATCTCCCCTTCCCTCGGCCTTTTTTCTTCTCCGCCCCGCCGAGCTCCGCGTTCGAGGCCTTCGAGGTGGACCTGGACTCGGACTGCCTCTGCGGGCGCTGCGTGCAGTGCAACGCCTGGGACTGGCAGCTGGTGGGCCGCCAGGAGCTGCGGGACCACCCCAAGGCGCGAGGCAGATTCGCTCGAAGCGAGCTGAGCGCAGCGAGCGAGCTGCGAGCAAGCTGCGAGCAAGCTGCGAGCTGCCCGTTTTTTATTTGGTTTAATGTTTCGGGTTTCGGTGGGGCAATATTGGCCCTGTATGGGGTTGGTTTGTCTTGAAAAATGGGGGGGGGAACCCTCGAAATTGATGTGGTGGTTCCGTTTGCTTCGCTTAAAACCAGTGGGTGTTGCCTTGGTAACCCCAGAGCTTTGGCTTTGGCTCGGTAACTCCGTTGGTCTGGGATTGCTCTTGGGTTCATGAAACGAGAAGGGGACCAGAAAAACCGCAGGTTTTAGTGCTTCTGAATTTCTTTCATTTACCCTGCCAGGGTTCCCATTTGGGGTACCTAATTTGTCACCAGCCATATGGGTTTGTTTTGAACATGGGGGATTCTCCAAACTTGTGGGGTTTGTTTTTGTTTCCCTTCACGCCAGCTTCTGTGTTTGGCTTTGGTTGAGCCAAAGCCAGCCGGACAACTTTTACATATGTTTTTACAATTTGGGTGTATCTGTGTGTGTGGTTATGAACACATACCCAGGGATGAAGCAAGCCGCACTGCCCGCTTTTTCGTGTTGGGGGCCCAAAGCGCTGTGTTCAAAGCAAAGGATCTAGAAGGACTCTAGTTGGCCCGTACTAGACAAGATATGGTGGACTGTTCTGACACTCCGGGGCACGGATGCTTATACGGCACCAAGAATAGAAGCTCGCAAGGCGCCATGCTCCCCTGCAATGTGTCTGCACTCCATTTGAGTGGCAAACAGGCACCTTGGCATTTTTTCACCAACCCACTCAAGTCCGAACAGTTTGCTTGCCACGTTGGGAAGATCCTTGTATATCATGCGCCTTGGGTACTGGCAGTGAGAAAACCCAGCGGCATGTAGCGCGCAGGTGGCGGCGAAGACCCTGGAGGCTTTCGATGAGCAGCTCGGCCTTTTGGTGCGCTTTTTTTGGTGCGCGTGTGGCGGGGCGGGGCGGGGGGAGGGCGGGGGGAGGGCACTGAATCCCGGTGGCGCTCCTTAAGAGCCACGATAAAGAGGGGTAACGGAGAGGATGCCCCGCTAGCCTCACAATGTGTTTTGTTTTGCGTGTGTGGTGGACCATACACAACAAGAAGAGATTGAACGACGACAAGCACAAGCTGAACTAGTTGACATGCTGAGTTTGGGTTGGGGGGTGGGCGAGATCGTTTGGCCCCCCAATGCCTTCAGAGCATCCCATGAGCTTTTGGTTTTTCCCCTGCGGCACAGTAGAAGTCAACGCTCTCCACCGGTCAGGGAGTGACCCCCAACTGGTGGTGGAGCCCGGTGGTTTGGATTTGGATCTGAGCCAACGGTTCTAGAGTCGGTTTAGGGAGGAAACCACCGCCACAGAAGAACAGAAGACCGCCAAACCACCGTCCAGACCACCAATTGGAGGGAGGCTGAGGTTCTACAGGTTCACTTTTCGTTTCCAGGTCGTTGGGCAAGTTTGGGTTGATGTGCGGGTTTACTCCTTTGGCTAATGAACAGGGAGGTACTGTGGGTGGACGAAATCCTGCACCAAAGAAAGACCCGTGGGAACCATTGTTGGTTGGCATTTGCAGGGACAGGGAAATCGAATCATTCCTGGGTTTTTTAGGTGGTGCAGGGCTGCGTCCATCCACAATATGTCTCCCAAACTGTTCTGGGCAGGATTGGTTTCTCGCTGAGGTCTCAGCCTAGCGCCAAATGAAGAAAGGCTTAAGCGTTGGTTAGGTTTAAATGTTTGTCCAAACACGAGTTTGTACCCCAATCCAGGGCTGCAACACACTGTCCCGGTGTCTTTTTTGAATTGCCTGCTGGTGTCTGGGGGCAAAGGAAGTTATCACAGTGGTTTACTCAAATCTGAGCTGGGCTGTTCAAAGGTAATCCTTGATCCTTGCCTGAGGTTGCGCGAGGATGTGGTCCCCTTTGCGGCGGCCGCCCTCTAGGGATGGTTTAGGATTGCCAAGCCTCCATTCTTACCGGCTTGGACGAGTTGGCTCAGGGTTCCAGTCGGGCTTGATCTGTGGCCTGCGGCAGTTGGGGGGGGGTTCCTGGGTGAAATGTGGGGAATCAGACCACTTTTGGAGGGGCCCGGGCTTGTTTGTCCAGGGTCAACCTGAACCAATTGTTCGATGGCTTGGCCCGGCCCACAGGAATTCCCCAAATCGGAGCCTGCGGTCTGCGGTGGCTCAGGTTTTGGCTCTGTGGAGGTTGTGGCAAAGTCTACTGGGAGGGGAAGATGTTCGTGAAGGCCGGGGTTGGGGCTCGCAGGGTTCCGTTTTTTGACCTCGAGGTAGACTTAAACCCAGGGGTTTCCCTTCTGGAGACATCGAGCACCCTTGGGCTCCACTTTGGGGCCGTCAAAAAGTGGGGTCACCCGGAGTTGGGGCATATAGGCTAGGTCCCCCAGCAATAGGTGCCCTTTCTCACCCCTTTTTTGGTTGGGAGGGTTCCGTTGGGTTTTTTAGGCAACGCCCGGTTTTCTGCTGAGATCCTGCTGTGGATGGACGAAGTTCATTTCGCACCGCTTTGAAAGAGTGATTGAAACCATATTTGCAGGGAATTGAATCATTCAGTGTTTCACAGGTAACACTCTGGAACGACATGTCAGGGGGGGACTGCGGACTGGCAGGTTTCCATTTAAGACTGTGTGACTACTGTAGGGGTATGCAGGTAACACCTGTTTCTTGCTGGTGGGATCCTATGTTTTGCTTTTAAACATGACATTGTAGTTGCCAATCCAATCTTTCAGTTGCTTTGTGAAGTGATGTGTGCAGGGGAAAGCTAGGGAAAAGAGATTCCTGCGCAAGTTTCGTTCCGTTTTTGGAGCCTCTCCATGAACTTCCAGGAAAATTGGATTGAGGGTGATAACAATTGACCCCGTGCCAGGTAAACGGGGGTCACCATTACATGTGCATCAAGGCGTAGTGAAGCATGCGTCCTCACGTTGCGAGTCGGCAATCTTGCCCAGCATCATGTTACCTAGCCTTTTCCGATCAGGGTTGTCCTTGTTGGTCCAACATAGTTCAACCTTATGTTCCCTAACTGCTTCCGGCTCTGTAGGGAGGCATGCCAGGCTGGGCCCAAGAATGTCATCAGCTTATGCCAAAATGAGGCATCGAGCCTTGTTTGATAAGCATGGCGCATAAGGTCTAAACGCGGTTGGCCAAAGGCGACCGGTGACTCCCCAGTCTCCTCGCGCAAGTGGATAAGTGGCGCACTACACATTTGGCATACCAACAAGTTTGTTCAAGGGGCCGATTTCGCATAATTGAAGGTTTATTGACCCATACACTCGCCGGTCATACAAGGGATCATATATGGACATGTGCAATCAGCCTCTGATTTCTTAAAGGGTGGAAGGAAGCCTCATATCTTTGCATCGCATGCCTCAAAAGTTCCCCTTTTGCCGGTTGATTGTGAGGCATTGGATCATTTCCGGACCTTCATGCCCAAGGAAGGCCGGGAGGGAGACGCTTGGCTGAGGAAGAACATGGGGGTGGGGGTGAGACCCGGTTTTTGCAGCCTCAACCCGCTCACTTCCCGAGTTTCTGGACTTCGTCACTTTGTGGCTTTGGTTGCCATTTTAGTGGCAAACAAAAAGTTCCGACTTTTTGGCCAATCCACTCAGGAAGCGAGAACATGGTTTTTTTTCGACCTCCATGTGTCGACCTCCAATTTTACCTTTTGATTTATGGGTCAAACAATCACAGGCTGGAGGTCACTCACTCACTCACTCACTCAAGTTCGCACGGGGCCTTTGTGGGCGCAGCTGATTTATTGGAGGGTATAGCGAGCTCACCGATCGATGGGGGGGGTACGAGCGAAGCTATGAGAAAGGACCATTACTTGGGCATCGAAATCCAAAAAAATCAGCGTGTGGATTTATACAGGGCTCCTTAAAAGAAATTCATTTTGCGACCATTTGAAACATGTTGCTTTTTCAACACCAAAATAAAGGGAAACCACCATTTACAAGTTGCAATGTTCAGGTGTATAATGCAAGGATCCATGTTATAGTAAGAATTGCAGACTCGTTTTTGATGGTAGGGGAGGTGAAGCAAGGAACTCAACTCATGGGGGTCGCTAAACCTTACATGTATCAATGCAGCAGTCCAGTCATGCTACACCTTACATGTCAGACATCAAGCAGGATATAGAAGATAGTGCTAACCCCGGATTAGTAAACCCCTGGTTGATGAATAGGGGGTGTTTTAGTGGGGATTCATCCCTTTTGGAGGGAACACACCCCTAATAATGAAACCTTTTTTTCCTGGGTCAACGTTTCATCGTACGTCTCAGGGCCTGACTCTAGCTCGCTTGAACAGACACTCTAATCAACGTCTCGAATTCAACCACTCGAGATTCTGCTTACCTTGCTGGCTCCCAGCCATCCGGTTCCTTGACTTTTTCTAGGTGTCTAGTTGGTTTCGTGTTTTTTTGCTTCGAATTTCACCCAAGAGGTAGTGAGTCACTTTTAGCAGGGGATCACCCCGTTACTAGTTTCAGGGCCACTTCCCGTCCAGGTGTCTAGTTGGTGGTGTTTTTTTGTTCTTCTGAATTTCACCCACTATAGAAGTTTGTCTCTTTTAGGGGATCACTTCGGGCATTCCTGTTACTGGTTGGTTCAGACCACCCCCCCAGCTTTGCTGAGGGCGAGGAAATGGCCGCCCGGAGTCAGGATGCCGGGCGGGGCTTGCGACCGTGAGCTGGTGGAAGCTTCAAGGCCCAAGGCCATGCAAAAGCTCAGAGCCCCCAGTTCCTGGACTTCTTGTCTTTTTTTGAGGGGAGGGGGCGGGGGGGTGGGGTAGGCCATGTTGGTGGGAAACAACAAGAATGGACTTGTTCTGATCAAACCACCCGGGAAGTGAGAAAAGCAAAACTCAACACAAAACACACGATGATAAGACCTGAGTGACCTGGGCAAGGCCTTGCTGGGGATCCCTTTGCGGGATATATCTGTGGGGCTTGGGCTACCATCAGGCTCATTTTTGGTGCGGATGGAGGCTGAATGCATCTGGCATGACCCCGGAATTCGTGTCCCCCCCCCCCAGAACCCTAAGCCCCCTTCATTAATTGAGATGTCAATAGCATGGGAAGCAAGCGAGTTGCCAGTCACGACCAATCCCCCTTGAACCAACGGGATACACATACACCCATCGTCTTGGTGAAATGGAGCACGCAATGGCATTTCTCAAAGGACCCAGGAGTCCACAACCAGCCTGACAATGAGCACAAACTACATGCCACCTGCCGCACATGAAAGCATTGCATCTTTTAGTGGGGCTTTGGAGGGCAGACCACAACACCCCTCACTAACTACTGTGAATGCACAAAGTCTATGTCGCACCACTTTGAAGCCACGGTTGAAACCGTAACGTTTGTCGGTATTTTTAGGGGGGATCGAATCAGAAACCGTTGGGTTTCTGAACGTGCGTTGGATGGATATCGCACGCATCCGCAGTACCCTAGGCTTCCTTGCCCCCAGTAAAAGAATGGCGAGGATGGTTGACCCAATTGGGGAGATGAAGTTCTTCAACGGGACATCATGATGGTTATATACCGTGGATGGACGAAATCCTGCACCACTTTGAAACCATAGGAAGACATTGGTTGGTATTTACAAGGGAATCGGTTTTTCCCCAAGTTTCTCACATGCAGGATTTCGCCCACCCACAGTATAACCATCATGATTTCCTGTTCAAGAACTTCATCTCCCCAATTGGGTCAACCATCCTCGCCATTCTTTTACTGGGGGCAAGGAACCTCAGGGTACTGCGGATGCTTGCGAAATCCATCCAACGCACACCCGGTTAAATTAACATGTTTTTCCGTGTGGTTTGAACCCACCCCTTCGACCGACCCCTTCGACCCCTTTCGGATTGGAGGAGTTGGAGAGCCTGGGTTGGAGCTCCTCGCGTGTACGCGCCGCCATGGTGCGAGAGGGGTGGATCAGCGCGGAGCAAGCGCTGGACGGGTGGAGGGGGGGGGGGGGTTCTCTTTTTCTTCCCACTCAAGGGGCTTGAACGCCTCGCATGTTTCGGAGAATACCACCAATTTCTCTTGTCTGATTCTTCAAAGAGAAACTTAGCTGCTGAAATGAATAGGCTCACCTGTTGAACTCTTGGTTCCCCCCCCCAAAAAAAAAACACACACACGTAGAAACCGGATCAATCACTCCCCTCTCAAGTCCAAATCCAGAAACCGGCAGCATGCCCCCCCAGAATCTGTTGGTTAAGAATATGTGTTATTTTCCCCGGTTGGGCCTAAAGGGGATCGATTGCACTACAGGAAGTATTTTCACATTTTTTCCCAGGAGACTTAAGCAAATGGAGGTTTTGAGAGGGGGCAACAAAACCAACTTGGTGTGCTAGAGGTGCCAAGTTGAATTGAGCATGGAGTCCCTTTTGAATGGTCTTCCTTTTTCAGAGAAAACAAAGCGCCTACTCCCTCCACCACACCCCGCTGCAGTTGATCTAAAGGTCCTTTACATGGGATGGGGGCCTGGAACTTCCATTGGCTTAAGCCCCCTGGACATCTTAAACAAATGGAAGTACATGGAATATCGATCAACCCTTTGCTGTCCTTTGCTTGGCAGCTGGAGTGCTGCATTTCCGTCCTACAGGCACCAGAGTTCCATTTTTTGACCTGAGCCACAATCAAAGCCCGGGTAGATGAAGGTTAGTAAAGGGCAGTCCCAGCCAGAAGTAGTTGCAGCCGCCTTTCTAATTCTTTACATGGTTCTGGGTTCACCATTTTTGTACCAGGTTTTGATTGTGACTCACCTGCAAATAGACTTAAACCCAGGGGTCCCCTTTGTGCGGTACATGACCCATCCCTGGGTTTAAGTCATTTTGGGGGTAGTCAAAAAGAGGAACCCTGACAGGCACAAGTGTCCTTTTCTCTGGGGAAGGGTTGCTCTTGAAAACCAAACACCAAAAACTTGCGATCGGTGCGATAAGTAGGGATGCGTGAATGAAAACCGATTTTTTGGATTTCCGGAAGAAAAAGAAAAGGAGAACCACCAGTTGGTTCTTTCGGGGGGTCATTCCATGTCTCTTTTTCTGCCTATCACAAAAAGCCGATCGCAAGAAACGGGCGGCGATTTTTTTACCGCATGTCCGCTGAGCTTCTTCGCCCTCGAAGGTTGCTTAGCTGAGGGAAATTACAGCGAAACGGAAACCAAACGGGGAACCGAACGAGTTGGGGCACGGAAAAAACCTCCGTTTCCACACGGGGAGAAGTGGGCCACAGCTCAAAGGTCCGTTTGCTTGGGGCAACGTATTTTGAGTGGACTCCTTGGATGGCAGCTAGGTCCCCCAGCAATTGGTGCCCCTTCTCACCCAACTTTTTGGTGTTTTGGGTTCCTACTAAAATCGACTACAGGGAAAAATATCGGGTGCCAACTTCTTCGAACCTCTCTACTGGAGGACCTAGGCAGGCTTTCCTGTGGGGGAGAGCCGCAGGCCCGGGGTCAGGACGAGCTCGCGAGCCCAGCTCGGATCGCCAGGACGACGCGAGCTCCACCAGCGGGCACTTCGGCGGAGAACGCCCCGCTTCCTCCGGGTCCAAATCAACGCCTGAAAGCAATCCTTCTATGTGCTTAAGAGCGGTTTCTTTTTGTATTTTCCCTGGCTGGTTTTAAGAGGGATTTATCACTACTAGACATATATATTATTTTTTTCCGGGGGTCTTAGCCAAATGGAAGAATCTTATGAAGAGTCATCTTTTTCTGGGCTTCATTTTCTAATGTTGGTCCCATATTAATGAACGCCAGCAAATGAAATGGGGGGGTGCTGTTCTTTGTGAAATGTGGGGGAATCAAACCACTTTCGGAGGGGCTTTCCCCCACCCCCCTATTAATAAACCGGGGTTGAAATTCATATGGGGTCAACGTGATGTCTCCACTTAGACTTCCCTTGAAGGCTTCTTCCTGTGGGCTTTCACCCCCCCCCCCCCCCGCATCGTCCAGTTGGGACCGTCGCTGGTTTCTCCAAAAAGCTAGGCTTTCATCCATCCCAACTGGTGTTTGGGCTCATGTATTCACTTGCACTTTGGGTTTCATGTTTCAGGCGACTCCAACAAAGCTTCCAGGAGTCCATGCTGCCCATTCTGCGTTTGCCTCTCAGACTGGGCTGGACGCTCCCTCCGGGGATGTTTGGCTGTGACTCTGTTTGGGCCACTTTAGAAGTGGTGGGTGGGCACACCATTTCGGGAACTGCATACCCTCCTGGCGTTTAACGGATTCTGGAGGGATTCTGCAGCTAGGCGGGACCCAGGTTCAAACACAAAGGGTCCTCCGTTAAAATTCATTTCCGATTGCGTTTGCACCTTCATGGGCTTTGGGAAGGGAGAGATGGGGAGGTAGCCGAAATAAATCGAAATCAGGCTTCAAGGGCTTAAGAGCTAGTTTGGGCTCCCTTCCCGGACCATGAAACTTGGGTACTCCACCATAGGTGTCCTTTTTGGCTGTTTTGCTAGTAAAAGCGATGGCCCCGGTTTACCTGGTGGTTTACTTATCTACCAGGGCCATCTATTTCCCCCTAAAGGACACCTACTCCGCGCCCTGCGAGGTATGGAGCCTCATCCAGCCCGAGCAGGGTGGCCTGCGCGCGATCCTCTGGCCTGAGGGCGGCGTTGGCGCCTTGGACGAGTTTGGCGCGGTGGCTTGGGGCGGCTTTGTCATGTGAGCTTGCTCAAAACCGAGTCGGGTAGATGAAGGTTAGGGCCAGTCTCCGGAAATCGTTGCGGAGATCCGCCTTAATTCTTGAAGCATGGTTCTGATCGACCATTTTTGGTACCGATCGGTTTTGAGCAAGTGACTCATGGCTGTGGTTGTCAAAACCGTTTTGGGATCCCATTTCGGGATTGAAGTCACCGCCCCATTTTAGGCTTCCTATTTTAGCGGTTGGATCGAATCGGAGGTTCACTGGGGGCTAACCGAGTTGGGTTTTGAGCCAGTGACTCCTTCCCAGGCCCAAGGCTTAGGATCCATGCCTCAATGGATGACTTCACGGTTCTTGGGATCAAGCTTGTTTCTTTTTGTTGTTGTTGTTGTTGTTGTTGTTGTTGTCGTCGTCGTCGTCGTCGTCGTCGTCGTCGTCGTCGTCGTCGTCGTCGTCGTCGTCGTCGTCGTCGTGGTTGTTGTTGTTGTTGTTTGTTTGTTTGTTTGTTTGTTTGTTTGTTTGTTTGTTTGTTTGATTGATTGTTTGTTTGTTTGTTTGTTTGTTTGTTTGTTTTTTGTTTGTTTGTTTGTTTGTTTGTTTGTTTGTTTGTTTGTTTTTTGTTTTTGGGGGGGGGTCTTTTTTGTGTGTCTTTGTTGGGTTCTGTTAGGCCATTTTTTTGGCAGCCAGCCCTTGTCCTCCCCCAGTTGCGCTCCAATCATCCCTTTTGGGTGTTTTGTTTGTTCTTGTCTTTGTTTTTGCCCCAACAGCTGAAAGCTTTGGGGTCTCATTTCAGAAAAGGCTCCGGGTGGTCCGGGGCGGCCCTGAGGTAAGGTTCCAGGGTTCCACCAGGGGCATTAAAAGAGCACCATATGCTGTTGGGGATATCACCTGAGAGTATTTGTGTTCTTTTTGGGGTGGGGGGGGGGTTTCCTGGTTGAGAGGGGGCGACAAAAACAAACTGGGTGTGCTAGACTAGGTCCCCCAGTGGTGCCCTTTCTCGCCCCTTATTTGGTTGGGAGGGTTCCCCTACTAAAATAGATAAAGCATAAAAACAATGGTACCCTTATTCTAACCTCTCTACTGGAGGACCTAGGTGTTGTCTTGTGTTTTTCAGGGTGGGGGCGAGGGGCCGGCCACCCAAAATGGGTATTCGTCCTTTTTGTAACCATCCAACAAACCAGTCGCTGAGAATCATGACGTTTTGTTAGGGGCTTGTCCTTGGCTCATCATGGTGAGGCTTGTTCCGTCGAGACTACTTGCGGTTATCAACACGCGATGAACGACCCATTGATTGCCCTCCCATCCAAAAACATGAAACCTCAAAGGGAGTCCTGGCTTGGACCATGTTCCTGTCAAAGGGCCTCTGGTAGGTTCCATGTTCGGCGGGAGGCTACTTAGAATCCCCAATCCCGGTTTCTGGGATAAAGCCGCCCGACCTAAACTCGCCAAGGTCGTGCCGGTGCTATTCCTATTTGCCGGCAACTTGCCGACGCTGCCAGCAGCTCGGCGATGGGCCACAAAACGGCATAGGCCTCCCACACGCTCCGGGACCATTTTGGGAGGATTCAGGCAGGCCTTTTTCGCAGCACTGGGAACCCCCCAGATTCAGGCAGGGTTTATATACGAGCCACTTCCCTTCTTGGAATCCAAGAAAGTGACAGTTTTAGTCGAAACCACCAGTACATGGATCAACTCTTGAAGGGGAGATCCACTGCGCCCTGCCGGGTTCAGATTCACAAGGTTCTGGTTGAATTTTTGATCGGGTGTTTAATTTTTTGGTGGGGATTCAGACCCCGCAAAGCGGGTGAGAACCGGTTTAGAAAATTCCGGGGTCTACATTTGGGAAGGCACCAAGGGTGTTGGGAATGAACCGGAAAGGGATGCACTTAAGGGGGAGTTTTTACGGGCATATAGAGCTCCATTCCCTTGTTCCCTGCTGAGAACCGGCAAGTTTAGCCAAAGAGGTGTCTATTTGTTCCTGGGGGTACGCCCGACGAAAATTACCAGAACTAGAATGTAAATATGTTGTTTGGAGCAGCCCAGAATGGCGTGATTTTTCAGAGGCTTTACATAGAATCCAGACAAGTCCCCGCTGCCAAGAAAGTTATCTTCCAGGTACCCTCTCACAGTTGGTTTGTTTGTGAGAGAGAGGGCATGTTGCCCCTGTTTGCTCCAATCTATGTATCTACCGAAGTCGGATCACTGAAACAGAAACCAAGAAAAACCAACCGGTGGAATAACCACTGCGTGCGTGCGTGCGTGCGTGTGCGTGTGTGCGTGTGTGCGTGTGTGCGTGTGTGTGGTGTGGTGTGTGTGTGTGTGTGTGTGTGTGTGTGTGTGTGTGTGTGTGTGTGTGTGTGTGTGTGTGTGTGTGTGTGTGTGTGTGTGTGTGTGTGTGTGTGTGTGTGTGTGTGTGTTTGTGTGTGTGTGTGTGTGTTTGTGTTTTTGTGTGTGTGTGTGTGTGTTTGTGTGTGTGTGTGTTTGTGTATGTGTTTGTGTATGTGTATGTGTGTGTGTGTGTTTGCGTGTGTGTGTGTGTGTGTGTTTTGTGTGCGTGTGTGGTTGGTTTCGGGATGTTGGCACATGGGTGTGTGAGTGTGTGGGTGTGGGCGGGAGAGTGTGCGGGTGTGGGCGTGTTGCCCGCTTGATTGAACGTTTTCAAATGCCACCGGTGTTCAACGTTCTTTCCGGCTTTGCTAGCGCGTGTAGTCTTATGCCCTGATTTTGGCGATTTGGGGGAGTGTTCAAAGCCAGCTAGGGTTTGCCAGTACCAAGCGAGGCTTTGAACAAATTCTAGCTTCAGCAGCTTCTAGCCACGTATGTGACATGGTCAAGAGACCTGTTGACTTGGGGTGACCAGGTAGTGAGGATCCTGAATGACCATTATCATGATTTCGATTAGGCAAACCATGACGGTAGGCCATGTGAGGAGTTTTGCACATGACTCATACCTGGACCTTCCAACATGTAAAATTAACGCCGTTTCCCAAAACAGCAATAATTTTGCCGGTTGCTGAAAAAAACGCTCTTTCGGAGAAAAAGCGCTCGCCGTGAGTCCAGCTCGGAACCAGGCAAAAAAAAACGCCGTTTCGCCGGCAAATTACGCCGTTTTGACGGCAAATTAAGCCGTTTTGCAATTTTGATTGATGCTAGAGTGTGCAAACACTGAAAACTGCCGGCAGGCGAAAATAATCGCCGTTGGGTCAAAAAACATAGTTTTTGACAAAACAGCAATAATTTTGCACATGTTGGAAGACCCAGGTATGTCCAAGAAGCGGAAGCGGTGCAACTGATGTCAGTCCCCATGCGCGCTGGAGAAACAGAACTCTTTCTATCCATGATGGAAGCGGATCTTTCCCAAAACTCTCTCACTACCTTCCTGTCATTTTTCATGATTGTTGGGCGGATGTGAATTGGCGTATAAAAGTGTGGAGATCAGGCGACGCGCACAAGCCAAAGAGTGAATTTTCGCTAGAACAGCATGGCGGTGCTTGGCTTGAGGCAGGGCTTGTCCACCATCCTTTGGCCAATCGAGGTGCTGGCCAAACCACATAACTCGGGAGCGCCGGCGTGGCGTAATGGCTTCCGAGCTCAGGCTGGGGGCCGCAGAGGGGTGGGCGGTTCACTCCTCCAGCCAGGTGTCCCTTTAAGGTCTGGTTAGCTTAATATAGATGGCAGGTTTGTTGGGCGATTGAACCCCGGTCACTACACTCCCCAGCAGTACAAGGGGGTCATGCAAAAAAGGAGAGCTTCTTCTGCACGCATCATCCTGCCAAAAGGCTCCATTCGCATGTTCAAATCCTGCACTTTTGTGGGCCCCCCTTGAAATGTACGTTTTAGGGATGAGATGCTATGCAGCCTTCGCCTCTTCTGCACGGGTACCCATCAAAATGGCTTCGGTTCTGTTCCTTTTGGCCCTTGCCCAAAAAGCTTCCCTCAAAGAAAGACACACCCATATTTCACGGGGTTTCATGCCAATTGGTAGGAGAGTAGAGGGTAGAAGACAAAGTGAGCAGCTTTGCATCCAGTTGACTCCAGTTTTATGTCGTTTAGCCTCTCAATTCACAATTAGTGCAATCCATCGCTTTGCCAGAAATCCACGACGATGTGCAAGGGGATCAGCCCTCTAACATGAAAGGAGTAATCAAACTGCATGGTACTTTAAACCCAAAGTCAGCCATGATCGAAAGATCATGATATGTGTAATATGTTAGACCCTTTTAAGCCAGTCTGACTGGACATCGTGAAGCCAACCCTCAAGCATTGTGGCATTCCAGAGGGGGTGTGGGTTTTTCCCCAGCCATTTACACAAGGGGCAAAATAATTACTGTTAGCACCCTCCCACATTCATGACAAAGTTTCACTTTGAAGTATCCCACCAACATCATTCTCATTTTTAGGCCAGCACCTCCTTCCATTGGACCACTAATGTTGGCCCCAGACGAACAGCTCTGTCCAATTGGAAAGAGGGTTCTCCTCCCCACAAAAGTGGAAGGGTTCGCATTAAAACGCTGTTCCCAACGGGGCTCCCATTCCTCAGCTCCAAACTCATTGGCTCAGGTTTTTGGTCCGAGCGATGGTCGAGGGACTGCGCCGCTCTACACGGGCGCCTTGGTTGCAGAGAAGCCCCTGCCCTGAAAAGGCCCCTGTCACTGGATAAGAACTTTCCCTGGGAATAGGTTGGTCCAAGGGGTCCCGCAGGCTCCCGAAGGCTCCTTCAGGAATGCCGGAAATTTTTCGGGTTCCCGAAAACCTGAAGCGGGCACGGAATTGTCCCTCGCCCCTGATACCTACCTGCCCTTAAAGATTCCACAACGATTTATTTTGCCTGTGATGGCTAGTTAATGCTAGTGGTCGAAACATAGAAGATATTCGCCGTTGACTTTCTGCTTTATGATGTGAGCCTTTTTTCATGTCCCGTCAAGGACCAAGGTTCGCGTTGCAAAAAGGTTTTGGGAAGCACGTTTGCGCGACTTTTCTCCGGTTGGTCTGTGAACGCTGCGTTTGTTTGTTTGCGAGCGCTGGCTCCAAGCATGCCGGCCCCTGTGCAAAAACAGGCAGGGCTGTGCTATATATAACAGGGCTGTGCAAAAACCGGCAGGAGCAATGGAGTGGCCTTTTCCCAGGTCTGAGAAATGTTGGACGGTCATGCAATGAGGGGCTGAGGAGCGAGCACAAGGCTTTGCTCATGGTTCTTGCCAAGTGGTGGACCCACTACTACAGGTCTTCGTTTGTACTGTAATTGGTGGCTGTTTGGGTTGAGTTTCTTCGAGATTTGTTGAGTTGTTTCGGGGGCCTCCCGAAAACACTACTTTTTCCTGCGGTTTTTGATGGTTCCGAGGGCGGGCTGGAAAGTTGCTCCAAGGTCTCCCCCCCCTTTCCGGCTACACAGTGCAAAATGCTTTCTTCTAAATGATGAGGGCCTGTCTAACTCTAACCCCCACCTCTACATCTTCAAAATCATAAATTGGTTGGATATCTTCTATCCTTGTGTCGCAGATTAGACCACGGCAAAGTAGGGACGGAATTCCAAAAAACAGGTAGGGGCCCGGTTCCCACATTTCGCCAAGAACAACATCATGAAAGCGTCCAACAGGGAACCCAGTCCAACGGGGAACTCACCTCAACTGGGTCTAAATGTGCAGCTGGAACCGATGTTTCTGACAACTCAACGGACGTCAGTGTGTGAACTTCCCCGACTGTTGTACCAGGCCAAACTTTCAAACTCCTTCGTCCTTCTTCAGCGCCTGGGTCCAAACTAGCCTTTCCAATGCCACGGAAGTGGACGGGAGAGGCTTGGCCTTAAAACGGGTTCATGTTACCTTTTCTGGGTTTTGGGCTCTTAACACATAGGCTGGAGGCCGGACACACGAACGGATCCCCGTTGCCATGTGCCCGCAGCTTGACTCAAACTCTTCTTGCGGTTCCGACTCCGCGCCAATGTCTTGCAGGCTGGCTGCGGCACCGCGCCTGACGGATTCGCCTGATCGAACCAAATCTTGCTGCCGCTGCGACCGACCGCCCTCAGTGACATGCAGCTGGCGCGGATTTCAACTCGCCGGCACTCTTCCCGTAAAGCGGGGAGCAGGGTGTTGCCTCTCGACCAGTTTGACAAACAGGGTTTGGCCAACCGTCTGTTGCGTCAACACATTCACTCAACGAGTGTTTCAACCACCTTTCGCGATTACCTTCAAACGGAAAAAGGCGTTTCACGTGCTGACGCTCTTCAAGGGCTGCACCCTCTAGGCGTTTGCCGTTCCTTTGGCGAACATGGAGCCACCAGACACCTCGTTAAAAAGGAAAGTAGTGGTCTGGGACTTCCGCGTTGGCCAGGGGGAGGGTATGGGTGCCCAGAGGCAAAGCCCTTGCGGCAACATGGAAATCCATTTCCGAGTGTGGCGATTCGAGCACTGGTGCAGCGGCAAAAAAGCCGTCGAAGCCCTCTAGTCAAGCGCTACTGTGGATGGTTGCGAAATCTACTTCGCACCACTTTGAAGCCATGGGAAACCCGTGTTTGTTTTCGGCATTTACAGGGGAACATCATGCCTGGGTTTCTTAGGTGGTGCAGGATTTTTTCCATCCACAGTAGTTTGTTTCTTCCTGGAAAAATCGCACGGATCATTCGACCCTGGTGGTGCTTCAGTTTGGGGCCTCAAGTTGACAGCCTCCCTCAGAGACTGGCTTGTTGCAAAGGCATTGGGCCTCGAAAGGGATGTATCACCGAACCGATTAGATATTGTTTGGCGGAATTGAATATACCCGCATCATGTATGATATTACAGATGTAAACATATGTATATATGTACATATTAAATGTTACATGTATTGTATATAAAGGAAACTGAATGTTACATCTCTGAAAAAGAAAACAAAGGAACATATGTCCAGAAAGGAGCATGTATAAACACATCTATGCATACCATACTACATTTGCGTGCGCGCGGCTTCCTTCATGGAGGTCGCTAAGGCCCTTCCTTGCCATGGCTTGCGCGTGCGGAGCGAATGGACGGTGCAGCCTCAGAGCCCAAAGAGGCGAGGTCGATTCGACGTTGGGGGAGGGGTGGGGGATGTATCCATGGCGCATGGTGGTTTGTACATATGTGCAGAGAGAGAGAGAGACACATACATATATATATATACACATCATATGTGATATATACACGTATAACATGTATACACATTCATATAGATGCATGGGTATGGGTTCATATATGTACATAACACTTTTATGTAAACATAGATGTGCACACATTCATGTAGAATATAGATACATGGGTATGGATATATACATATAGATATGTTTGTTTTGTTATTCCTGTGTATCAGGCCTTCTTATAATGTTTTCGCTTCAGATGGCATGAAGCCATGCCATATGCTGGTTCAGTGTAGCGACTGGTAGTGACTCTCGGGTGCCAAGGTGCGGCTTGTTTGATTCCACGGTTCTGAATCATTGCAATTGCCAATGGCTGAGGCAGTTTTGGTGAAGGAAGGGGGTTCTAACACTCAGCATATTCACCTGGAACCCAAGGGAGGGCAAGTCCCTGGATTCCATTGAAGTGTTTTTTTTTGAGGCTACCCCTTTTGAGGTTTTTAAAGGCAAAGCCAACGATAACGTTGGGCTCCCTTTGCAATGCTGAAGCGGTTATGGGGCTGTCCAACCGTTGAGTGTAATGTTCTCCAAATCCCCTCCCATGGCATGTTTGGCGGGCGCCAGGCGCGCGTTAAAGCCTGCCTATATTTGCCTGTGGTTTGCCGATTTTTCAACTTGTTCGTGTTATGAGTATGTACTTGGTGGGGAACCTATGAGAAGATACTCTCCTGCCCACTAGCAGGAAGTTACCAAGATACATTTCCTACCCTTACGCCTGTCAGATGCCCATGGCATAGTGGGAGTGAGGCCATGGAGATGGTCACAGGGTTGGGTTGGCTTCGTTTGGTTCTACCTCCTTCTTGGGCCAAGTAGAGGTATCCTGCGGTCTTGGGAGCCCTTCCGTCTTTGAAGCATGATGGACCCATCGGTTTGGTCCCGCAGTTTCCCAGTTTTTGGGTGGAACCCACCCGGTTTTTACCGGAATAGACCTCATGTAACCCCAGAACTCGGCCGGCCAGCGGTGGGATGTTCCCTCCAAATCCGAATCCCAAGGACTTGGACCCCCATTTTTCCGAAAATCAGCCAGAGAGTCTGCGGAGAACCCGGGGTTCCCATTGCCGTGGTTCCAACGGGTGCAGTTAGTTTGCATGCTTGGTGTTTGCCGGCTGTCCAAAGTCGAACCGAGTGATTCTTATGCCATTAATTATGAATGTCAGATTAGGATTAAGGCTCCAATGCTAAAGAAAGGTTGGGCCATTTTGGGGAAGGGACCGGTTCCTTTCAAGTCAAATATGGGTTTACTTTCAGTCTAGTATTCTAATATCTGGAAAAAACCCTTGCAGACAAGCCGCAAAGGGGGAATGGTGCAGTTTGATAAATCGAATCCCCGTTTCAATAAATCCTGGATATCCAGAAGAGAAGAGCTTTACGAGGTCACCGCGAGATGCCACGACGGGATACCTTCGTCGGGCGCCTGGCGCAGTCTCTGCGGCGCTCGCCGCAGGAGTTCTTTGCCCCCGACTCTGGGGGGTCCGTGCCTCGTCAAGCGCACCACTTTGAGTCCATGGCTGAAACCAAATTGTTTGTCGCATATTTACGGGGGGAATCGAGCCATTGGGTTTCTTCGGTGCGTTGGATGGAGTTCGCTGCAGAGGGCCTCGAGCTTCTTGAGGCCCGGTGCCCTTTAGGGAAGCTCGTCGGAAAGCCATCTACATAACTTCCATTTGGTTAAGGATATGATGTATCTTCCCATGTTGGTGCTAAAGGGAACCTATCACTGAAATGTTTTTCCAAGAGACTTGAGCATTTGGATTATAACAGAATCTGCAGACCAAAACAATGAGTTCCCTATTTTGACAGCTACTTTGTGGGGGAAGGGGGTAGGAGGTTCATTTCAGATGCCACAGCAGCCGCCACAGCTCACGATTGACAGTTCAACGAAGGTGCATGGCTCAATTTTGCCATCTACCCTCAACCCAGTGTAGCACGTTTTTTGTGAACGCCATTAGGTGCCCTTTGCGTTACCGAATTTGGACAACCATACCTCTGCTGGATACGCACCGGGAATATATAGTTCAGCGTGTTTGGTGCAGTGCATCAGGGGCACTTCAGCCCCTGAATGCTTCAATTACACAAACTGACAAACTTGGTTTGTTTGAAGTTACCTGCAAGATACTACCTCCAAGCTGAAAGAAGTCACTGAAACAAGGCATGTTACTTAAAACGTGGGCGGCAGTATCCATTTTTCAACCCAACGGAACAACGGATCACAAGCGTGGCCCACTTGCATCTGTAACAGAATCATGCTAAGATGTTCTTCATACAACTGGGGCCATTCCCCAAAAGCAACCCATAACCCCATGGCGCGTTCCTCCTCCGCAAGCATAGAGGATGATGATGTGCCATCTAGTCTCACCCAACTGCAAGTCAGGAGATGGTGTGGATTCTTTGTTTTTCAACTGGTATTCCTTGCTAACATGAGAACCGGGGTTTCAATCAGATGCTCTCCATTCAGTGCTTTCACCCAACTGCAATGGGCCCAGTAGTGCAAGGAGCCAAACAACTGCTACAGCCATCCCCTTAGCTTTTTAGGTTTTTAGAATTCAGCGGTTTCCAGTCAGCCACTAAAAGTTTTCAGCTTTTTAGCTTCTCAGGTTTTTCGGATTCAGCGGTAGTTTCCAGTTAAGCCACTAAAAGCAAAACGTTTAGCAGGTAATCTGAGGGCAGTTCTATCATGACTTCAGCCATCCCGACTCCTCAGCCTCTCAACCCCTCGCTGCGCAGGAGCGGGCTGGATCCGAAGCCGAGTTGGAGCTCGAAGCCGCGGAGTCGGACGCGGTTCGGTCCGAGCGCAGGCGGGAGCCCGGCGCGGGGAGGTTGATTCATCCGGGCTGAGTGCTTGGCGGCTCCCAGCCGTTCAGTCCGGATATTTTATTTGTTTAGGGGGTTGGTGTTTTCGCAATTATCCCACCGAAACTCAAACTTTTAGAAGGGGATCAGAAAATGCACAGCCCAGCGAAGTCATATTTCTCTACCAGCGAATTGTGTCGCCGTCCAGTCCGCCTTGGTCCACGCGGACTTCCAGCCATGCCCTTGCAAACGTGGACGAGCGAGGCAGTTTTCCTGTGGCCGTGCATGAAATTGGCACTTAAGGTGAGCCACCAAAACGTGCGAGGCACGGAAATATACTGGTCTAGGGTGCCTGAACTGACAAGAGCCGTCCACTTCCCGTATGAAGTGTGCAGCCAGACTCGCATATTATATATATATATATACACATACACGCATACATACACACACACATACATACATACATACATACATACATGCATACATACATACATACATACATACATACATATACATATACATATACATATACATATACATATACATATACATATACATATACATATACATATACATATACATATACATATACATATACATACACATACACATACACATACATACATACATACATACATACATACATACATACATACATACATACATACATACATAAATACATACATACATACATACATACATACATACATACATACATACATACATACATACATATGTATATATATACACAAAACCAATGTCTCACTTGGACCCAACTAGTTGCCATCATTGCCCATCCAACCCGACCGCAAAGTTGCTTTGCGTCGGTCGGCCGTGCCACCCAAGCAGGCGGATGATGACCCCATGGCGGCAAAGGTATTCTTTTGTATCCTAGCCGCTTGGCAGAATGACAGTCTTCTTTGTGGGTACCCCCTTTTGAGGAGGGGTTGCACAGAGAATCCACAAGGAAAACAGCAAAGCAACCATTTTGGGTGCCCTATTTTGAGACGCCCATTTAAGTGTTTGTATTTGCGTGTGGTTTTGGCTTTGTATCTTTGTTTGTCGGTGGCTTTAAACATCTCCTGTTTTTTTGGAAGGGGTGATTTTTTAAGGGAAACTATGCGGAGCTTTGGAATATGTGTGTGTGCGTGTGTGTGTGTGTGTCCCACAATCATGGAAGGGCACAAGGTCCCCGACGCCG